TTTTGGAACACGCTGGAACGGCGATTCGAAGAAGACTTCTCCAGTGGCGATCGCGATCGAGGATTTTTATATAGTATGTGAAAAATAATAAGAAACAAAAATGCTAAACCACTTACCTCCTAGCAGCTGTGCTACCATGCGCGATGTACCTCCAGCTAGTATTTAAGATCTCGTTTCTGGGCTAACCCCTGACCATACCTTAGGTTAGGTAGGTATTGTACGCTTGTGCGGGCGTTGCGGGCAAGTCGTGGACAAGTGGCTGATGCTTTCTGAAAGGCGCCCTAATGATAAAAAAAAGGAAATAATAATGATAATAATACAAAAGTGACTATACAAATAATAACTCCGTGGGAGACTTGTTGGTAAGTAGGCACCTAATAGGATTAGGCTGTCGAATAAGTTACTTATACTAATTTCGAACGCGTAAGAAAAAGAGGAGGTAAAAATTGAAGTAGTTTAAGAAGAGGTAGAAGTAGGTAAGTGTGAGCTATCACTCTACCCTTATTATGTGCTTGAGTCGCTAGTTGTAGTAGGAGAAGCTAGGCCCACTTATAAAAGAATTAACTACATGTATTGTACAACACCCTGTTAAGGTACATTGAGGATGGTAGTCGAGTGTTAGTGGTTGTTGTATACATAGCTCTAAGTACCTCTACAGTAACCTATCACATATTGTACAATAGGTACAATACATATGGACATGCGTATATGCGTACCTAACCTGCCTAAGGTACGTACATATATAACCTCATACATGGTTAACCACGCAGCTCTAATCGTGTGGTCTAGTATTTAAACAGGTGTCGTTTTCAAGAGACCCTAGAGCTTCCAATAATGAATGCGTTATTAATTTCGTGCTATCGGCATGGTGGTGTTGCAATGTCCTTGGGAAGAAAGAATACTTATAAACTTAGGTAGGCTCAATTCAACGATAATACGATAATATCGGATTATAAGGTAGAAAGGTATAAAATCATTTGATCATGTAAAGAGACGATAGGTATCATCCCATGCCCTGCCATGCACGACTATGCTCCAGCATCGCAGTGAGTACATTCCATACCTCATATAAGGTATGTATGTTATTATTTATATCCTCATATAATAATGCCAACTAAAAGACACAAGTACACATAATTATATGTGACCATATCGACGTACTATACTGATAAGTCATTTACATGTGCATGGGTACCTAGATTACCTATGAATAGCAACAGTCATCAGAGAGAGGGAGAGTAGGTAGCAAGATCGGCCATATTCGCCCCCCAAGACTAGGATGAGATCGTACAAAAAAGAAAAAAAGTTTTTTCTTCTTCTTTGGAAGATGGGATTTGACAGAAATGCCGTCCCAAGGTGTCCTAATATTCCAAATGCGAACCTGACCGCACGTGGTGGGAAAAATAGGGTGCCGATCTCTGCTGGCATCCGTTGATAGGTAGCGTTCGACAATATAAAATTCTCGAAGAGGGTGGTCTGGGCGGGAGGAATGAGCTGCCGCGCCGGGGATTAGTAGGGTGTTACCACGAGGATCGGCCCGTTAAAAAGCTAACTTGTCGCGATTCCAATATATACAATGCACTTACCTTGTAAGGTACCCATTGTAGTAGTTAAATTGGAAGCGTGGATGAGCTTGAAGTTTCTCCCTCGATAGATGAATACTTATAAAGGTTAACCAACTCCTGACTTATTTCCCATTTTGAGATAAGAAGTAGCCAGAGCCTGAAGAGCTGTCAAGCCCGAAGCGGCACAGCATGGGGCTCTTAACCCGTGGGTTGCATTTTATGATAGGACCTACATATTGCATTGCTATCTTGTATGCACGTTCTATAGACAATAAGCACACCGGGTCGGGGATCTTTTGAGTTGAAGATGCATACGTACATACGTAGATGCCACTATAGCACATTAGATGCAGCAAATGCAGTAGACGTGCCAACTTCGCTTCGCTCTACTTTGCCTTGCCTTGCCTTGCCTTGCCTTGCGTTGGTGAGTGTGACCCTGACGGTAGGCTAAAAGCGCCGACGATACTTGAGTTGGGGGTTAACCGGCAGAGGTTCCAATAGGTACTTTCGTCCCTTACAGCGCTCTGCCGACTCCGAAGACGGCTAGAGGGATAATTAAGCTACACCTGTATCTCATAGTATAGTCTATCCTTTGATAGACAATTATCTTACAGGGGGAGTCAGATAGGACCTGTCTGACAGGCTGCAAAGCTGAGATACCTTTCCCATTAACAGAGATGGTATAATCGGGTAACCAATCAGGTTTAAGCTATTCTCCTCTTTGAGCCGAGTGACGTCAGTATTAGTGTTCCACTTGGGTTCGGCCGTTGCCCCTCAATTTTCAATTGTGTACAGTTTAAGTGCGAAATCCCCAGGTATTGTACCTAAAGCAAGGTATCTGCCAACCGCCATGTAACGTCGAAATCCCCAATGCCTTTCCCTACCTAGGTACCCAAGGTTAGGTAACTTAGGTTGCCTCACACGATGTATGCAGCAGTCGGCAACTTGATCCGCAATTCTATACGTTTGGTCATCTTGGTGGTAACACAATAGTAACATTAATAGAATCCAGTTACCTATGCTAATAAACGGGTTTGTGGCCCCCGTCACAAAGAGCCGGTCGAAGGACAAGATAGAAAGCACCTAATCTGCATACCTAACCTTAGGTACTTACCTATATACATCGACGCCAGGGCCGAGTACATGTCCCTCCAGGATCCGGTCGCATGCACGGCATGTCTCTACAAAGTACCCGACAATCGAATCCTAGGTGCACCATCGCCGATGCAGCATGTATCCCGACAGCCTCAACTCCCGTTGCCAGCCCATACATACATACATATATACCTCTTACTTACATCCATAGGGCACGACCTCCAAAAACGACAGAAAAGGGCTCGTGACCCCGTTTTCCAGCAGCGCTAGCCGAGCCGTTTCCTCCCAACGAGGCGGTCTACCAAAAACAGACAAAGAAAGGGAGAGGGCCGGGGGGGTGGTAAACAGGTAAAGAAGAGGAAAAAAAAAAAAAGAAAAGAAAAAACCCCCAATGGGTAACCCCTGTCAAAATGTTCGTCGTGCTAAAAAGCGCCGTCCCTCACGATCCGGCGAAAGGCTTCTCGGCTCTCCATCCTGATTAGGTAGGTAGGTCCCGCAGCAGAGGGGAATAAGCGGAGGGGAGAGGGGAAGGAGAGGGCCTCCAGGGCCACGACTTAGATACGCTAATCCGTACATGGCGATGACGTAGACGGGTTTTCCTTTACTCTCTTCATCAGAGAACAACACCGCGATAACAGGTATTTAGCTAGGTACCTAAAGAAACGAGAAGTTACAGCATACCCCGTACAAATGGATTTCCGGGAATTGGGGAAGTACGAGTCCTTTTTTTTTATTACTCTTCTTTCTTTTTGATCCTACTTCAGATTCTAGGTAGTTTTGACATGCAGAAATCCGGAGCATTCGCTCCCAGATGAATGCTGACCTACTAGATAAGCAAATCCTGCAGGATAACACCATACCCCGATCCTTAGGTATTACTTACAGATACGTTACCAAGTAGTTGCCTCTGACGTCATTGTTCCAACCCGAGATAACCAGCGACAGCAACAGCAACAGCAACAATATTGCGCATTTCCGAAATGTTCATGACTTCTTTTAATTAACTCTAAAGAAACATCTAGTTCCTATTTGTTAAAATACTTCTTCGGTCATATCGTACGAGCGCAGAAAAAAACAATCTTTAGTTAGTAAACAATATCGTCGCAATAACACTTTTTGAGTGTTGAACCTGAGACAGGTTTTTTTTTTCCTTAACCTCAAATCAAGCTGGACCCTGACGATCAGTCTCTTAATGTAAGGCTGTGGAGATCGTCTTAGGGATCATCATCGTCCCATATCAATTTGGACCAACAAGCTCTTTATTCTTATCCACCAAACCTCCCGGTCCACCAACTCGTCACCGTTACCGTCACTGTCACTGTCAAATGCCATGAGGAAACAAGTTACCTATACAATAACCCTCGTGGATCACAAACTCCGCCCACACCGGTATACAACTGACTTTCTCTATTCCACATACACGACGAACTCCCATCCCCATCGAACTGCAACTGTAACTGTATGTTCAAGGCAAAAGGGGCCCAACTATGCTCGGTGACATCACTTCCCCGGCATATCTCTCGCGGGGTACAGTTACCAACCTTCTAGATCCGGGCTTTTTCGCGAAGCCAATAGTAGACTACTACGTATCGTACAATACCTTACTAGGTAAGGTATGTACCTGTTTAAAGGGTAGGTACCTAATGTACTGTACCTGACGCCGACGGGACCTGTTGCGGGGGAGTGTCGGCGGTATCGGGAGGTAACTAGCTACCTAGGGCTAAAGGTTTATGTAGTAGGAGGTAAGTTATCAACTAATTCTAACAAGTTAGGTAGTATAGCCTTCCTCGAGTCAGTTCCTTAGTCTTTTAACATCCGAGACAATTCCGAGCTTATTTTGTATAATATTCATTAGGTTTACTATGAAGTCTCTACTTGAAATTCCCTGGATCAGGAGCGTGTTAATAATATATAATATAACTGCCTAAGGTAAGTTAGACAAATGGCTGACTTATTGATTTGGAACGAGGTGTAGGCAAATAGTTTGAGATTTAGAACATGCTATTCATTACCCCATCCTCCCCTAAGCATAATCCCCTATTCCTAATATCCCTTTCACCATCAGCCTCATAAGGATGGATATCTGCTAGTATATTCGCCCAAAGCCCCCTAGGATATGTTGGGAACCTAAAGTATTTGAACCCCTAGAACCAATCACTATATGCACTTCCTCACTCAATTCTGGAGCCCCTATATAAGGTAGGTAGGTAGGCAACCAGTTATACAATATAAACGGCGTAGTTATTCCCATTCATCAGCTCCTTTTTTCAGAAAAAATAAGGAAAGCGACGCAACTTGACCTGACTTAGACTTAGACTTGGATTTATACTCCTCCCCTCCCTACACGGCGAGCGGCTCGACGTTCCAGATGCCCTCAGCGTACTCGTTGATGCAGCGGTCGGAGCTGAAGAAGCCCATGCGGGCGACGCTGCGGATGCACTTGGAGACCCACTCGTCCTGGTTGCGGTACTCGTCGTCGACCATGCGCTGCGTGTCGAGGTACGACTGGAAGTCGTCCGACACCAGGTAGTAGTCGCCGTGGTCCCGCACCGCCGACATCAGCGCGTTGAAGTCGTTCGAGTCCCCGAACGCCCCCCCGCCGATCGCCTCGAACACCTCCTGCAGCCCCGCGTCGATCGCGTGCGTCCCGTACGTGTGCGCGTGCCGCAGGTCCTCCACGTCCTCCGACAGCGTGCCGAAGAGGAAGATGTTCTCTTGCCCGATTTCACGCGTGATTTCGATCTGGTGATGATTTAACCTTGTCAGTTTTCTCTCTCTCTCTCTTTTTTCTTCTTCTAGACCGCAAGGAAGGAGGTAGGAAAGAAAGAAGGAAGGAAAGAAAAATTGCGGAAGACTTACGTTGGCTCCGTCGCATGTTCCGATAATCAAGCCGCCGTTCAGCACGAACTTCATGTTGCTAGTTCCGGAAGCCCTATTCGCACGTTAGTCGCTGTTATACCTACCTAACCTAGGTACCTAGGTAACATAAGGTATCCTGATAGTTATAGGATCGATCTAGTAAAGGGGGAACTCACTCGGTACCGGCAGTTGAGATGTGCTCGCTAATGTCGGAAGCGGGGGTGATCATCTCCGCCTTGCTGACGTTGTAGTCCTCCAAGAAGATCACCTTGAGAAGATCGCCGATATCCGGGTCCTTGTTGACGACCGCGCCGACGCTGTTGATGAGGTGGATGATCTGTTTCGCCATCCAGTAGCCCGGCGCCGCTTTCCCGCCGAAGATCGACACGCGCGGCAGCTGCTTCTTCCTCTCCTCGGGGCTCATGGCCTTGAGCTTCAGGTACCGGTAGATGACGCCGAAGATGTTCAGCTGCTGCCGCTTGTACTCGTGGATACGCTTGACCTGCACGTCGAACAGTGACGACGGGTTCACCGTGACGCCCGTCGTGTTCTTGATGTACTTGGCGAGCCGCACCTTGTTGGCGTACTTGATCTCGGCCCACTCCTTCCTGAACTCCTTGTCGTCGACGAACGCCTCGAGCTTGTTGAGGAGCGTGAGGTCCTTCAGGAAGCCGTAGCCGCCTATCTTGCTAGAAATCAAATCCGAAAGCCTCGGGTTCGCCTGGTGCAGCCACCTTCGGGGCGTGATGCCGTTCGTGACGTTGGTGAATTTGTCGGCGCCAAAGATGTTTACGAAGTCCTTGAAGATGGTCGTCTGGATGAGATCCGAATGTAGCTCCGCAACACCGTTGACCTTGTGCGAACCGACGACGGCGAGGAATGCCATGCGGACCATCTTGGGCTGGGATTCTTCGATGATCGAGACCCGGCGCAGGAGGTCCCGGTCTTCGGGGAATTTCTTTTCTACCGATTGCAGGAAGAAAAGGTTGATGTCGTAGATGATCTGAAGATGGCGAGGCAGGAGATGTTGTACCAGGCCAACGGGCCACTTCTCCAGAGCCTCAGGCAAGACTGTGTGGTTCGTGTAGCCAAACTAGGACCGAGTTAGTATGTTAGAGCTTAGTTGTAGCTGGTTTTCAAAAGAGTACTCACGGTCCCTGTAACTATCCGCCAAGCAACATCCCATTCAAGACCTTCTTCATCGATTAGTATCCGCTGGAGTTCTACAATAGCCAATGTCGGGTGGGTGTCGTTGAGTTGGATGGCGATCTGGTCGGGGAATTCACTCCAACCACGCTTCGTCTTCTTGAATCGGCGGACGATATCGTAGAGCGAGGCGGCAACCCAGAAGTACTGTTGCTTGAGACGCAGCTCCTTTCCACGGTCGAGGTTGTCATTAGGATACAAGACGGCACTGATGGTCTCCGCTCTCTGCTGGTCCGCTACTGAGCTCTCGTACTCTCCGCTATTGAACTTCTGGAAGTCGAATTCGCCACTAGCAGCTTTGCTGGACCACAGCCGCAAGTTATTAGTAGAGGGTGTGTCGTAGCCGGGAATCGGTACGTCGTAAGCTACAGCAGTGACGGTTTCGCCTCCTTCCCAGAAGGCTACCGTCTTTCCGTTCTCATCTTGAGACTTGCGAACATTGCCGTAGAATTGGATCTATGATGTTTGTTAAACGACGTCTCGTAAATGCAGATTGCTTGCCATTAGATAGTAACTCACATCGACTGTGACATCGTGTCTTGGGAATTCCCATGGGTTGAAGTCGAGCCAGTAGTCAGGGACCTCGACTTGGTATCCGTCGATAATCTCCTGCTTGAAAATACCATAGCGGTATCTTAAACCGTAGCCCCAGGCGGGATAGTTCAAGGAGGCGAGACTGTCGAGGAAGCATGCTGCAAGTCGCCCGAGACCACCATTACCCAATGCAGCGTCGTGTTCTTGGCCGATGATGTCCTCGATACGGAAACCGAGCTCATCAAGACCCTCTGAAGCAAAGTTAGCATGGTTGAACCACCTAATCGAATGAAAACGAGCTGCATCATACCTTTGGCAGTGGCCTTAGCGCCAATGTTGAGCATAGCATTGTCTAAAGCGCGTCCCATTAAGAACTCTAAACTCAGGTAATAGACACGCTTGCTGTCTGTGAAGGTCTGGCGCTGCTGAGTCTTGTTCCACTCCTTAACTAGGCGATCGCGGAACGCTAAGCTTGTAGCTGAGTAAGCGGCCGACTCGTCGCAGTTGAACATGCTGCGAGCCAAAGTCGTTTCGACATGGCGAACAACCTCCTTTTCGAACTCATCCTTTGTCTTGAAGCCTTGGAATTGGTGCTTGGTCCATGTCTTGCGTTGGGGCTCGGGGATCGCCGCTATACGGGGAATAGTAATAGTAAATTAGTAGGTGGTCAGATTATAACGATAAGGAGTTCGACTTTTTAATAAATTGATCGATCGAAATCGCCGGTGGAAAGAAGAGACATAACATGACTGAGTTATACAAACCTTCTACGCTCTTGATCTCGCTGGCCCCAAAACCTGTGAAAGTGCGCTTATGTTTGGGACGAGAGATTCCCGCAGGGCTTACGGAACCGACTATATCGACGATAGGTGCAGCTGTGGAGGGGCGGCGTTCCCTGGTCGGTAGACGTTCTGTGGACGCCATCTTGGAGCTTTGAACTTAGAGCTCGACGTTAGTTAAACCCCTCCAAAGATAGAAAAAAGGTGCTCTAGAATATACGGAAAGCTAAGTGAAATTGATAATTAAAAGGAAAGAAGAATAACCATCTTCTTCTTCTATTGCAAGTAGTAGACAAATGATCAAGAGCTTGTTGGTATGACAATACACTGACTACCTAACCTAGACTCGACATACCTAGATAGACCTAAGGAGGGGAAGCTAACGATAAGCAAGAGCAAGGATAGGTGGTCGATAGATGGATAGGATGAGGGGGCGGGGTTAGTCGATGGCGATTGGAGCTTTCGTTCTTTGGCGAGAAATAAGAGAGAGCTCTCTCTGGGGTTCCTGGGCTTCGATGTCGATCAACCGCGGGGTACTCAACTCGTCCAGGAGCAGTCCACCGTATCACACAACAAACAGCAGCAATACTTTTCCTATCCTACGAACTTGGGGGGTGTACGTCCTATATATTAAGAACGGAAGTAAGGAAGAAAGAGCAAACAAAGAGAAACTCGGGGACATCGAGGCAAATAAAGGGGGCACCGGCTTGGTAACTTTTTTTTTTCGAGAGGAATCGGCGCGATGGTGGATACTGAGTTACCAGGGGGAGAAGAAGTTCCCAGTAGAAATCATGCCACAGCTAAGGCACGATGACGACGTGAAGCTTGCGAGAAGCTGCATGCGCCATGCTGTAGGAGTATACCCCGTTAAACAATTGGCAAAGAGGGCAGCCCGTAAGAATTGGCCTACCTGACGTCCAAACTACAATCTGGCATCTCCCAATCACTATGTCTCGTCTTATTAGAGAACTGATATGCGGACCAGGAAGAAGTGACTGGATGGTTGAATGGATGGATGGAGTCTACACGGATAATGCGGAGAGATATACTACCTTAGCATGTACGATTAGAACCACTCATACAAGATCATACAAGTCTAGAGCTGTCAACTAACGCTACTTGCCTATGCCACCAAGCTCCTTAGGTACCTAGAGCTTTCTATTACTTTAGCTTTCCCGCTTTGAGCCAACAGTCTAAAGGTATGCCCCAAAACCAGTACGACCTTAGTTGGATTTGAAACCCCATTCTAGCCATTCGAAGCGCAAGAAGACTTTTGGGAAAGGACTCGGTATATTAGGCATTGACTGAGTAGTTGACGGGTATGTACACCTTACATGCATCGAGCAGTTATGCTATGTATACCGACGTAAAGCGCTCAGTTGGTTATTAGTATCACCCCCCTTATTTATCGATATTGTAGCGTTTAGGATTATGCGGCTCGAGGTTCATATCCGAAGCTTTATGGACGAAGACTCGCAGACAGCGGCTCTGTCAGTTGGTAACGCATCCGACCTAATATCTACAGCACACTTCCATGTTAAGCAGCGTACATACCTAACCTAAACTTAAGATGATACCTACCCCTAAGGTATGCTGCATCTTCATATACTCAAGACGGCTGGCTGGCTATGTCATAACGCCCTGCAGATGCTATGCTACATACCTCTTGACGATGAGGTCGTCTGACTGAAACGGTTACCCATCCCATCCTTCAATACCTCCCATAAGTCCACAGCATCACCCGCAATATATATAAGCCACACACATTCGTTTCCCCGAGTTCCTCGTTTCCCGTTGCCGAGCTGTGCGCAAAGCAGCAGCGTTAATAATAGAAAGAGCGAAGACACAAGAAAAAAAAAAAAAAAAGAGAAAAAAAAAAGCCCATCCAGAACTTCGCCCTTATAAGTCGTTTGATGTTCTAGATCCATAACCCCGCCTCGGGCTTGAAATAGTGATACAACATCCACACCCCTCTCTCTACACCCCTCTGCCCCCCTCCCCTCGGCCCATCCTTGTAGGTTTCGGGCTATTAATAATTGGGATTGATACGCCGTGGTGTTTATCTTGGCACTAACTACAGTTCAAATGATTTACATGACATATACGTACGGTACCTAAGAGAGGATAGGTATTATTATGCACATACATGCATGTGATACGAATGCTTTTGCATTGGGTACCTATTTAGGTCTTCCAAAAGATAGAAAAAAGAAAAAAGAAGCATTGGTTGTATTTTCGTGGAGTTGCCGTTGTTCTGCTAGGGTAACGCACAAGGTATTATTATGATTGGGACGGTATGCGCGGGTAGATTCGCTCAGTATAATAACGAGGTTGCCCTAGAATGTTCTGCCATACCCTATTGATTCTTAGATTGGAGCATGTTTAATGGTATTTATAAACGTGCTATATGGGCACATCCTATGTTCAGTGTTTGCAGTATTTACGTTGAAGTACATGGCTGTGAAGAAATAAAAAGGGGGCCTGGGGAAAGATGCGAATCAACACTTGACACGAATATCAATTAGGCACATAAGCGAACATAGCGCATTCATGACTTTTCTCTATTGGTTTTAACGCTCTTCGCATCATTCCGATGCTGCATTTTGGTTTGTTTTCATGAATACCTAACCTAACGGAAGGACGCATCTACTAGTAACTATCTCCTCTTGGGATGTCCGCTGGACTATGAGCTACCACATTTCTGTTTCCGGTGCCCTTATACAGTCTAGACTCGTCTTTACGAATCATGTTTAGCGTCTTCCCTATTCCGCTATCGATCCTATGTCGGATGATGTATGTAGTCGTGGTGGTGGTGCCTATCAAGCATCGGGCAGCTTCATCTTCATCTTCTTCTCTTCTCTTCTTTTCTCTTCCTTCTCCTCTAAGTAGAAAAATGAAAACCAACCATCTCTCGCCGGACTCTTGCGGTCAGTATTTTTCTGCCTGCCATTCCACGTCATTCCCATATGCCGAAAAAACATATTAAAAACCTGTGAAATTGTCGAGGCCCCTGACGCCTTGCAAGAAAACACAAAAAAAGAAAAAAAGAAAAAAAAAAGAAATTCTGTGCGGTTCCCTGCCTAACAACTCCTGCCCAATGCTTTTTGTGGTTCTCACTCTCGGAGGCAATAAAAAAAGAACCGGTGAGTCACAAACGATAAAAGAGACGAAATCACAAGATGCCGGAATCTTTAAGCGCATTATTGAGTATCGTTTCCTTTACGGCCGCAAATACTAACCGAATGTTGGACGTATCCGTTGCCTGGGTTAAGCTAGATATCGAATGTTAGCAACTAGGAACGAAGGTCTTTGATCTGGACACGTGCAACATACTGAGGGTATAGATTCAGGTGGGCCCTATTAACCTGGTTGAATCTCCATAGCAGATACTTCGCAGCTTTGTTCACATCATTACCACCAGAGTAATCTGGGAAATAGTTACCTAGCGGCGACCTAGGAAGCTTGACTTTGAATATGTCAACCTTGTTCAAGAACAATATTATACTCGTTCTCAAGAACCATCTCGAGTTGACAACCGAGTCGAATAGTAACAAGCTCTCCATCATACGATTCTATACAGCGTTAGCTGAGCTTATGAGGCCTTGAGACCTTGTTGCAAAAATACCTGGCTACTCTCTTCGAGCAGTACCTGATCGTACTCGCTCAGCGCCACACAGAAGATGATAGAGGTCACATTCTCGAAGCAATGTATCCACTTCTTGCGCTCACTTCTCTGGCCGCCGACGTCGAACATGCTGAAGCCGCTAGGTTAGAATTTATGCCAAAACAGAATTGTCAACCCGGAGCTCTTACTGAATACTGAGAGCTCCCATCTGAAATCGGGTCTCGTAGATACCAGTTGTCTTCGTTCGAGCGCGGAGGACATCCATCTCGTTCGGCAGATAATCCGGAGCACAAATTCGCGATACCTCATCGAAGAAGCTGCAAAGGTGGTAAGCAAAAAACAAAGAACCATATTTGTACCAGTTTCTTTTACTCACTACTCAGCTGAGTCCATCAAGTAGAATTCCGTGGCATGCTGCATGAGCCGCTCGATGCATGGATCATGCCATAAGGCCTGTACTGCCGGCGCAACTTTGGGCTCAATATGTGCCGTCGGACCCGACTCGACCGTGTATCGCAGCAAATAGTTGCAATATTCTTTGGTTTCCTGGCTGCTCGCTTCGATATCGAATTGTTCCATCGCCGTTATAACTGCTTTGGCGCATTCGATTAGGTTCTTGAAGACGGTGGGGCGGTAGTTGAATAGTTCATCTTCCGAGTAGCCTTTTAAATGGATGATTTTCATCTGCTTGACGATCGTCGACTTTCCGCTCTCGCCAGAGCCTGGTGGGTAGTTCCTTATTAGTAACCGCAAAAAAGCGAGGTTCCAAAGGCTGAGCGTGGAAGGGGGGGTTGTTTAAGCTTACCCAATAAGAGAATTTTGCATTCTCTTCTTAGTCTCTTCGAATCCTCATCGAGTGCGCGGTCAATAGCTTGGCTCCGTTTCTTTTGCTCCTCTTCCTCCTTATTGGAGCTCATGCAAGCCCCCATCATGTATAATGATCGCGTTGGTTTGGAAGCCAACGCGATTATGGGTACGTAGGTAAATTAGTTAATGGTAATTGTTAATCTGGAGAGCGACAGGGCGCAAGTGACGTAGTCTGCGATGATTGTCGCTCAATGGCACATGCTATGTTTACACGGTTCGTGGGCGGTCAAGGTTCTGTTAGCTGCAACAGCTTCGCGCAGAAAATAAGTTGAGGACCACGATAGTGTACAATTACTATAATTGCTTGGACAATCCAAAAGCTAACAGAGGAAGTACAGCGATGGTCGTATTTCTTTGTTCGACGGGGTTGATAGGTGGCCTGGTAGGTTGTCCCGACAGATACCGTCTTATTAGCGGTGAGGGCGGTTGAGTTGTGGGTTCCCTCTTGACCGAAGGTAGCTTCTAGCTTCTCGGAGGATTGCGTTGTATAAGAAGATGAAGAGTGCAGGCGAATACAGCGAATGAAGCGGTAACCAAGGGAATATGACGAAATTGATTGACAAGAGATGTCAAGAGGTTATCTAAAGAAGGGAGGTGGTCAGCGCTAACTATCCCCTTAGTCTTGTTGACTTTTAATAAGTCGACTTATTAGAAGCGAGGCGGTGCGGCACGAGAATAAAGTTGCTAGGCTAATAATTGGGAAGTGTGTAAATGGCAAATGGTAGACGGTAAAAAAATAAAATAAAAAGTAACAATCCCGGCCGCGCCGGTCCAAAAAAAAATACCAGGGAATACCTAGTAGATATCATGTAGGTCTTGGGTATGCTAGGTATGGATTATACAAAAAAGACCTAGTCTTCATATACATAGGTTTAGGTAGGTATACACATATATATATATATATATATATATTAAACAACCAGACTTTTTGGAAGTAGTTATTTCGAAATGGAATTTAAATAGAAAGGTTTAATTATTTTCCTCTTCTTATATTCATTCACTTCTTGCCTGCCTGCCTGCTTGCTTGCTTGTTTATTTGTAGGTGGGTTTTACCTACCAGGAACGATATCGCGAGAACCTCTCTTTTAGAGATTGTTTTCACTTATCATATAGGCGAAGTCCTGCTGCTCTTTTCGTCGCTTGACTGTGTGTAATAAAGTAATGGAGAAATTAAAATTCATAAACGGGTGGCGCGCACAATACAATGGTCTTAAGAACGGGACGGGAACGGGATGCGAGTCCAGGGGAGTTGCGAAAAAAATAGATTGCAGAGCACACAAATGTGACGGTGTTTCTTTTCAGCTCTGGCAAGATGGCCGAAGGTTGTTGAAGGAGAGGTAAAGAAAAATAATCGAGGAAGGAAATCCGACTTAGCCTTGCAATGGCATAGCGGGATAATATTACAATGTAGTAATCGGGAAGGTAGTTGAAATCGGTATGCTAGGTAAGGTATGTATATACGTATATACACGCATATATACGCGACTAATAAGCAGAAGGGGGGTGGAGGGGAGGATAGAAAGCAACGTTGAAAAGCTGATGAAACTGACGATATTTGATACCGGGTAACGAATATAGAGAAACTGGGTGTATTTACTCACTTTTTTTTTCTTAATTATCAACGCACACGCGCACGCGCACAACTCCCAATTGCCCTATAAGAGAATAGCAATATCAATCAATGGTGGCAATTCTTCCTTAAAGTTTGGAGTAGGAGAATTATTCTCAGATGGGATTGGGGATCAATAACGAGAAAAAGGTGGGAAAATGCCGGCGCTTACGGCAATTAATACTATGTAAACGTTAGCAAGATTTAGTTTCACGCAAGTAAGACCTCACGATGTGACTCTTGCAAGGGGAAGAAAAGAAACAAAAAAAAAAGAATTATAGAACGAAGAAAACCCAAATATTAATCAATCACGCTTCTCGAATTTCCACTTGTGCAAGGTCACGGAGGATAGGGCCTCTTCACCGTTCTTCTGTTCATCGGCTTGCATCAAAGGTTCCCCTCTTAAATTCTCCAAAGTCTCCAGAGCCCCGAAGGGCTGAACTTTTTAATGGTTCACTGAAAGCTGATATGTAAAGGTTTCGTCAGGTGATTGGCGGGATGCATTTTTTGGTACGTATTCAGGTATTTTGGTACCCTTGCAATCCACGCTTGTTTGAGCTGTACCTTTCGGCTTAGGAGCAAGGGGGAGCTTCCAATCGCTTTTATACCCGCGGTACTTTTTCGATTGAATTTGTGCAGGTGGTTTTCGCCCGTGGCCGTCCAGTGTCCGTAGCGTCGGGTTATGTACAATACCTAGACCTAGGTACGTACCTAGGTACTTACTTAAGCACGCTATTGCCCCCTATGTCTCGACCTAAAAATAAAATGTTCTTGGGAACGGAGCAAGCATGATGAAACTATTGAACACGCGTTGCGCGATGTCTTACATTATGTAATCTAACATGTTTCTTTTCTTTGTGGTACAGAACTTGGTCGGTGTGTGTACGAAGTGCAAGTGCATCATACATTATGTAACTTTTGATATACCTACCTACCTCAAGTAGGTACCTAAGCTACCTTGTACTATGTAGTACAGCTACGGTGGGCCATATAGAGAGGTATACTACCTATTCGTAGTACGAAAGCTTCGTTGCCTTACGACAAAAAAAGAAGAAAAAAAAGACCCACAAGAGCTTCATTTAATCCCCATAGGTCAACAGGACCAACAGCTAAACGGGGATTATGCCATCCCTATCCCCACGAGCTGCCGACGTTAAACAAAGCAAACCACATGGGGCCCCATTCCATTTATTTAGGGCAATCAGAATCGTTCAAATCGAGATCAATTGATATGATACTACGTACATAGTATGTACCTAACACTACGAACTTGTCGAGTCAAGCACACGGAGAGAAACGAGAATACGCACATTGGTCCTTGGATGTCCTCGGATATCGTTGCTTTCATGGGATACCGCAGATCTTCTTTTTCGTCATGACTCTTACCCAGAAACGGCAGCTGTCTACGGTTGAAAATTGGAAAAAAAAAAAAAAAAAAAAAAAAAAAAAAAAAGTTAGCGACAACCTTCAAAACCTCTCTGTCCCATTGGCCCGGTTTATCGTCCATATACTACCATGTTCTCTTATCACCTGCATAATATGCTGCAGTTGCACGGGGAGCCAACTAACTGCCACCGCTTCCCGACCCAATTCGAGCCGGCCATTCGTTCTTTGTGCGTCCAAAAGGCCAAAGGCTGCACCTAGCAACGTGCTCAGGGGTAAACTTGTGTAGCAGTCTAATATGTTTTGGTTTGCCAAAATGGAGGCTCAAGGGCAAGCTGAGAGGTAGGCTAGGTACCTCATCAACTAAGATCGCAACTTATTGTCCAGACTTCTCGGTATGACTCCATTCGTCGTTTCATAGGTTGCCCCCTTGCTAATAAAGCTTTAAGTATCATTCACCGCTCTATAATTAGAGTAATGGTTAGGTAGGTACGTAAATGGTACTCATCAGACGGGAGGGACCAGTCAGCGGCAACAACTTCTCGAACAGGGATTATCAATACCGTTGTGCTTTCGTTCTCTAGCCATATTCAGCTGCAGTTGCATACGTACAGCTCGCCTGCTCGCACAAATCGCAGTTGGCGATTCGGCTACGGTTACCCTGCAAGACGTACCTAAGTGATAATATAAAGTGACCGGTCAGATCGAGATGCAAAAGATTACTCAAGGAAGAGTACTAACTACCTAGGTAATCTTACGTTAACGCCTACCTCTCACTACCTAAGTTACCTAGTACGGGCGAAAAGTCTTACGTGAAATAGGCTGATAATGCGTTAATAAGTATCAGGTTCTAGGTAGGTATTAAGCTGAGGTTTTATCCCTTCAAGCTCCGTCAATAACTATCACAGATACCCCTATTTTACACTCCATTGCCCCCCATTACTACCTACACAACAAGCTTTTCTTTTCTTTTTTTTTATACCACCATTATCATAAGACGATGATTTCTATGTGTCAGCGGCACCACGCCTAATACACTTAATGGTCGAGCCATAAACCATGGCGGGGCTTTTCGGACATGACAACGCTGTTTCGCATCCTTTACCTTCTCGCGGTGTGAAATAGTTTCCAAAAAACTTGTGTCCCTATATCCAATCACAACTAGTTTTCTGGCCATGGCTGACCGAATAAGTGTAGATCTAGTTTATAACCAGCTATCCCGCAGGTCAATACCACCCACCGGGTATGTCTCCAACTGGTCACCGCCGGTTTCTCACCTCTTGCAGATAACACCGCATATCACCCTCCTCTCGTCAGACACCTCCCTGCCCACGTGTTTGATGTGCCGCGGAAGGGTGCCTACTTGACGTATGTAAGACACGCATTCGGTGTCGGCGCCTCATGGCCTCAGTCATGAAATCCGCGGCTAAGATAATTCGGTGTTAACCGAGATCTTGTTCGAACGCTAGGACCAGACAGGAGCATTCGAGACAGAAAATCAATATCGCCGAGTCCCTAATCGATTCGTTAACTAAGCCTTATACTATACTTCGCATAAGCATACACTATAGACTCTCAATTATAACACTGATTAAGCGTCTCTCCCGAAAATCTCACCTAAAATCATTACGTACCTCCGTTATCTTTACCTAAAATTGATTATGTCTCTTCCTCACTTACCACAAGTATCCATCTATAGCAATACGATGACTGCCACTACCTCCTAACCTAATGTAGGTTATACTCCATTATCCTTATTACGTACAAGAGAATAGAGACCAAGGCTAACTAGTCTAGAATCGTTACCCTGAATACGAGGTTTCGTTCCATGAGAACTTATGGAAAGGAGCTATGATACTCTACGTTGCCAGGTTAATGCGAACACAGCCTCTTCGCAGAGCATTCGAAACTTCTACGCCCCTTCCAGAACATGTTCATGCAACCCCCACGTCATTCCAATAACTCCTATTCTTCCTTTGTTCCTTCTCAACGCCGGCTACTATGTCGTTTTTCCTACTGTACCTCTTATCATCCTTGCCTTGGTTTTTATTCTCATCCCTGAAAGGGATTCCTGCGGCTCATGAGGTTGCAGGCATCGCACGTGGTTTCTCCCGTCTGTGCTTTGATTTGGCAGGGTCCTAAACCATGGCGCCAACCACGTGTCGGCCGATTCCGTCCGTGTGCTTTGATTAATAGCGTTCCTACGGCAAGCAATATTCGGTCCTTCAAATACGAAATGGTTACGTATATGAGAACTGATCCCCAAGAGTATGTCAATAAATTAGTAGCCTCAGCCGAACTAGTTCGTCCAGACTATTTGACAGTTATGTAATTCTGGTTCTGCCACTATCTAATTGTCTCTTTACCATAGAAGCTTGACTTCACGAATGAGTTTGTTTAACTCTTGTCTAGTCGCAAAAGCGCGTCTATCTGGTTTCACCGTCGAGTTGCCTTACGTTACACAGTTGTTTGTCCCATTACGCTGGTGCGTGCTGGGTCGATCGCAATCTCAACTCGGAATCACTGAGTGGATATATTAAGGCAAGCATCACGATTCTAACAATGGACAAGGGGGCTTGGGGCTTGGATATCTTGATCCCCAACCGCCCCATAGCACGCGAACCGTGTCGGAACGCGCTCAACCACAATAGCCGAGAGCAGGTAAGGGAGGTCAAGATGATAGTCTTTTTCTCAGGGCTTTGAAATCTTGTCCTTACTCCCTCCACCTTATCCCCCAGTCTCCTTTTGCGAAACTCGGCTCGACAATTTTTCCTTGCATGACAGCCTCGCATTTTCTCGGAGCGACGGTATTGTCCCCGACGGCGAAGCCGAATATGACGCCCCTGCGCGCGGCACTACGGACCATTTCGCGCTGCTGGGCTTTCCGCTGCCCTTCCAGCCTCCGTTCCGCATTTTCTTTCGTCTCCTCGCTTCGTTCCGCTCGTCCCTTTTCCCCGCCGACGCTGCCGTTGACCTGCGACACGGTTTGCGGAGGGCGAATCCGAGTCCCGCTTCGTACCGCCATGCGCGCTAGGACGTCGCCATCTAGACAAATCGTCTTCGTTATCACCAAGATCCACGGCGCTGTCTCTGTCCTCCGGTGCTTCTGTAGTGACATCCTCTTCCCTTCCGTCGTCGGAGGTTGACGGGAGAACTCTCGAGGCGCGGTTCTTCTTTCGTCCGAACGTCTTGTCCGGGTCCGCATGATCTCCGAACATGGCTTTCTCTACCTGGCCGCAGGAGGCAATGACACGCGGATCGCCCTTGACCACGCGCTTTTTCGATTTATTACCTCGTTGAGCTTGACTGGCATCGTCGCCGTTTTTGCCGGAGAGTATGCGCACGAACGTAGCTTCGATTTCCTGATCTAGCTTCCGCGGCTTGCTGTTGCGACAACGCTGGGAACAATAGCTCGGCGCATTGGAATCGTGCCCTGCTGCAATGTTTGTTCGGCGCGAACTTATGACTCGGCCGCATGAGCGGCAGTAGGGCGTCGACTCGCCACCTGGTAGTAGGTAGAATGGCGCCGGCGTCGCTTGCGACTTACCGGGCCGCGACCACGAGTCCATCCAGCTCATCGTGACAGAGGGGTAAAAAGCCCGTGAGCTAAATAGAGAGAGGTAGGGTCGTAGATTATTATTATATCTTGTAGATGTGCTCACAAGACCAAACATAGACTAGCAGGTAGGTTCTAAGAAGCTCTTAGGGTAATAAGTAGAAATGGCCTACTGAAGTACCTAGAGATAGGGTTCTTATGACCTGATATGATAGTATTTAGTTGTGAAGTCATTCAAGAGTGAAGAGCGTGAACACAAGAAGGTATTCGACCAAACTGATAGTTAGATTCATCCCAACACTACGTACAATCCCGAGTACAATGACGTCACTAGCTAGGGAGGAATGGAATGGATGGAAGTCTTGGATCTAAAATGGTGAACAACCTTATACACTTCTAGATAAAGAGATTTGCTAGGTAAATCTTTTAGTTTCAAGTAGGTCTCTATGTAGTAGTATATTAGATACAATGATATCCATGGTCAACTTATTAAGTTGATTTATTCAACTGAATACCTGGTACGCAACTGTCCGTCTTAGATACTGTATAAACATCAACACCACGAAACCTAAGTTGATCAAAACACACCCGCTGTTACTCTTGCATATAATCCCTAAGACCGGATAACACGAGAAAAAAACAAAACGACTTGCAATGTTTGGGGGCACAAGCTACCTAAGTAGGAGGCACCTATACCTATTATCTCGTACTAGACAGCATCTTCGCTCACAGTCTTGCAGACCCAAGCACCTTCACAGCTAAGTCTACCTCATATACCCAATCCAACGCTAACGTGAGACCTCAGCCTCATATAACTATCCCCCCCATTGTTATTACAATAGTACCTAGGTATGTAGTAAAAAACTTTCTTGAAATAATACGGTGTGGTTGTGTCCAGAGTTCCCACTCTCGGCTCAAGGCTCAACTTATCCCAAATTCACCCTGACATATCCTGCCCAAACATTCATCCATCCATCAAACATCAAAATAACCCATATCAGCGCTAGGTATAGCCTGTGCCTCCTCCAAAAACGAGAGAGGGCAAAAAAATAACACACAACCTGCCCATGCCCATCCTAGATTCCCAGCTCCTCAGCTCCTAAGCCCCCCATGAGCATAAAACGTAACCATCCTGATATCGAAAATAAAAAAGGGAGTAGTAGTAGTAGTAGTAGTAGTAGTAGTAGTAGAAGAAGAAGAAGAAGAAGAAAAGCCGAAAGGGGAAAAGGGGTATACGTCGTCGAGTGAGTAAGAGGTAAGTAGTAAGAGGTAAGTAATTTATCGATAATCGTAGCGTGCCAACCATATATCATTAATAACTGTTTTTTTTTTCTTCTTCGCCGCTTGATAACGGTTTATATAACTAGAGGTATCTTTCTTTCCTTTCCTTTTCTTTTCTTTTATGAATTTTTTTTTCGGTCTCGTTCTTCCGGACAAAGAAAAAAAAAACCCGGGTATCATCGTGATCTATGTTGTAATGACTTTCATCTTCTCCTTAGCGTTAGCTACCTGCATTGCCGGTACTTGTGTGATGTTATTGTATTAGGGTAGATAGGTACGCACTAGAGAAGAACTAGCATAAATTTTGCTAGATAGATAGATAGGTATGTAGATAGAGAGAGTGTGTGAAAAGAAGTAATAAGTCCCGCGTCGGGAAGTCGTGTAAATAGGAGTGGTAGTAGTAGTAGTCTGATCATTCATTGACTCGAGCGACGACGGAGGTAGGTAGGCTCGCACTAGTACACGCCCGCTCTGCTAGGGACGGGCTGAGTCTCGCTAGCGGGAGTTATCGAACCGATAGAACCGTATTTGCGGTCCGTGTTCTTTCGGAGGGAAAGCTGGAATCGCGGTTTCTTCTCCTTCTCCCAGCTGTTGATGCTGGCGTTATCTCCGGGATGAACCGTCCTGATCGAGCTCGGGTCGAGGTGGGACTGCGGGAATATTCCCCAGCCCTTTGATGTCGTGCCGGACCAGCACCAGTGATCGGTGTAAGCCCCTGGTGAAGAAAACAAGGTGTTAGCATAAATTGGAGATACCACCGAACTTCTCAAAGCAGCTTTTGCTGTTGCTGTTGCCGAAAGAGCAGTAATAGGCTAGGTAGTAGGATAGGTAGACCGAGGAAAACTCACAGCCAATATTCTTAATAACGTCCCCCTTGTCGAATTTCAGCCACCTATCGTCGTTTTTCTGGTTCCACTTCCATCGCGCCACGGCTTGCACGTTGCTCGTGCCTTGCATTTTGATCTCGGCCTTCGGCGGCACGTCGATCTGGACGGAATCGGCTTCGAACGCGGCGCGGACGCCGTCATGCCAGCCGATGCCCCATTTTCCTTCGTACTTGACCGGGAACTCGATACCGACTATCCTAGCCCCGATGGCAAAGTGAAGAACCGGGTCCCTACCGGGCGGCGATCGCATGACTCCGTTCTGTATCTTCCTCGTTTCCGTCGCGATGGCAGAGGGTAATCTGGAAAGCTCCCGTGAGAGGCCAGCCATGACGGAGAGCGTCGGCGGATGCGGTAGGTGCAGGTCGAAGTTATCCCTGAATGCTGGCGGGATTTCAGGTCCTTCGATAACGGTCAATCCAGGGATCACGGGGAGCGGGCGAGGATGCTTTGCTAAGTGAGTGAATAATTGGGTCTGGTTGAAGAAGACCGTAGCATCGCTTTCTTCTATAGTCTTGCCCTCCTGAATACAGAACAAACATCCGTACAGCTGCTCCTCGACATGTCGAATCTGCAAATGGCTCTTTTGGAGTATACGCAGTCGAAACCCGATATAACTGGAAGTGAAACTGCCAGAAGCTGGGTACTATGTAAGACGGGATCCAACGGCTTATAAATTAATACAGGGGAGGTAGAGATATATCTTACAGTCGTTATTCAGGTCTTGCTCGACCGACTTGAAGTCGATCTCAAATAGACAGTGGTTGCACTTTGCTACAACGGCCATCGAGAAACCCTATCCTTTTTGTCAATAACACGCGAGATCAACGCGACGTATAAAGACATGTTAAGACTTACACCAACGGGCCGTTTGATTTTCTTGAAGCCAAGACGGCCGGCCATGACCTCCTCTGCGCCCTTGCAAAACCCTTTAAGCTTGTAGAAGGAGCTATACGGGCCTATCGAGCAGTCCGGTTCCCGCGCGGGAATGGGCTGCTCCTCCGGCATCGGGTTTTCCGCGTCGACCGGGATCAGGCCCGAATCTACGGTTCCTGGGACTTGCGTGCTGGGACGACGGGCTAGGATGGTAGATGAAGAGTGGTTAGTAATTGTCCCCATCCCGGAAGATATGCTGCCGTTCGTCGCTGCGCGTTGGTAAATAGGCGGGAGTCCCGAGTACTCTGGTGGTTGCTGTCCCGGGCTGAGAGGTTCCACTGATAAGACCGAGTTTCGATGCGCGGTAGAAGAAGCGATAGCACTAGTCGTAGCAACACCGGGGTTCATACAATCTACTATGTCGAAAACCGAGCTGTTAATAGACTCAGTTGACGGGTGGCGATGGGGACGACGAATTCCTCTTTCTTGAGCCCTCTCCTGAGCTCTTTCCTGAGCCCTAGCCAAAGAAGTCTGTCTTGGTGGGAAGCTGGGGATAGGCGGCAGGGCAGTTTTTGGGCCCTGCGTGTTAATAGCAATGTTCTCGGGGATAGAAGGGGTACGGCCAAGCACGGAAGATGTATCCGACGGTGACCGACTAGCGGACGGATCACGCAGTTGTCCTGGCCATGCAGCAGACCCCTCGTTAGAAGGTGACCGATTTGCAGATGTGAAGCCGCTATGGGATCTGTATGTTGAACCCTGCGTAGAGTTAGTCCAGCGATTCCTCTTCCTGGGAGACTGGGATCCATCGCTGATCGTCCCTTGGCTTTGCGAAGCCGCTCGCATTCGGCCGTCTTCGACGTCCCTTTGGGTTAGGTTGAGAGAGTCGTCGGTTCTGCTACGAATGCGTAGGGGCGCGGCGATGCTACCAAGGGGACTAACCGGTTGCGCTGGAGGAATAGTTGGGGAGTCGCTGGGGACAGGGGGGCGACGTTCCCATCGATCTCCCTCGACCGAATGCTCTACGGGACTAACAGGCGGGACCATTCCGACCTGCCACGGGTCGGCCGAGGGCGGTCTTGGCGGGTGTTCCGAGGTGGCATCGGAGACTTCGGAGCGGTGCGAGTTACTTCTTCGGTCGAGATCGCTCACTGATCGCGGAGGAAAGTTTGCCTCCAAACCTTCGTCGGGGCCGGCCACCGCTCCCATCATGCTGCTTAATTGCAGCTCTGTCTCTTCTATCAGCTTTTCTGTCGATATGTCCACTGGAGGGTTGACGATAATACTTGTTGCTGTTGGTAATTGCCCATAATGCAGGTTGTCCACGTGGTCAGGGGCTGCTGACGGTGCTCTACTCCTTGGAGGGGGGGATGGTAGTAACGGCGGTGCGGGAGCAACCAGTTTCATTCGTTTGAGGATATCCACGATCTTGGGCGCAGCTCTCCTAGAAGCCTTTTGTAACTCGTCGAACTTGGCGGGATCGAAGTCGTCAGGCTCAACATAGTCGTCGAAATCCCACAACAAGTCCTCCAGCTCGGATCGGAACTGCGCGATTTCGTCTAGTGCGCACGAATATATTTGGTCAACTTATAATTCTCGATTGGCCTATTATAATTTCTAGACGAGACGAATAAACCTTACCGTTCTCCTTGATCGCATCAACAAAGTTGACGCCATACTCTTCAAGGTTCTTAGTGCAGAGCGGCTCGATCCGCTTCAGTGCCCGTTCGCCTTCTCTAACTAGGTTTTGTGCTGCCTTGAGCATAAGCGGTGACGTTTCCTCGTCAGCATTTGGCGCATTCTCAATCGCTGTGTTGCCTTTTTCTACAATCTCCCTAAAGGGCGCGATCGCGAGCCGCTCGACTTCGTCCGTCATGATGGGCCAGCGGGTATGGTTAGAAAATTGAGCGTATACAATCTAACGCACACCGCGAGATTATCTATGTATTAAATCGTCGTGGAAAGTCGGGAGCTCCAAATTTAGCAACTAAGACGGAGATATGGGAGTGGAGCAGCGAGCCGGCAGGCTGGATGTCTCGCAACTCAGCCTTCACAAGCAGTTTTACATCAAGGTTGCGCAACAACGTTGGCGTAAACCGTGATACATAATGCGAGATGAGAGAAAAAGGGGAAAAAGGAAACAGGAGAAGAGAAGTGAGATATCAGATGTAGACAAGTTCACCCCGCGGCACAGGAAGGCTGAACTGAACAATATCAGTTAGAACTTAGAATGACGACCCCCGAATTCGCTAGAGTCTGCAGCGAATAGCTTACACCCACAGTATCATCGATTGCCCGGGGCATAACGGAGCTTCCAAGGGTCGAGTGGCGTCTTTTTGGACCAATGCAGAGCAGACCAGTGCATGGTAGGTCATGGTAGGTTCTGACCCTGGCTTGCGTGGACGCTCATGTGTATGTATGTATTAGGTATTGTACTATGTAGGCCTAGGGTATTGAGGTATCAGGGTTATCAGGGTGTCTGAACCTCATGTACTCCATACCCGCGTAGGCATTATCCACATCTAGCGTCACCGCCTGTCAAGACTCTGATTGGACTCTAAGGGGTATATGGGGTTGTCCAGGATCACCCCCAGCAGTTCTACGTTCTACACTGACAGGGGCAGTGCACACGTTCCACTGGCTGGCGCCTTAGCGCTCCCCTAACCATTCCAACCATTCCATTACCATTCTACCATTAGCGTCTACAATGAGGACCTCTTGGTTTGCGAATCTAATGCTTTAGAGGACCCCTGCTACGGTCACTATCACAATCCATATAGTATGCCTAGGACGAATGAGACGCACTAGCTTGATGAGAGACATAGAGGCTCCAAATTATTAGATTGCTAACGCTTGAGAACCCTGAGGAAAGCAGTCAAGAAAAGGACATTGTCTCCGCAAGCTTTAAGAAATATGTACCTAACACCTAACACAATACCAGACTCAGCCGTTGAGGCGGTGTCACATACACTATACGGAACTGCCACGTAGTAATTAGGTACTTATGATGGCGTTAACTAACCTAACGAGATTAGGAGGAATCTTAGGTACTTAGAACCTACCTAGGAACATTAGGAGTACTAGGGAATTATGGATATAATTCCAACAGTCGAAATCGCTCAGGTTTGGCGGAACGATCTTCAGATCACGGTGTCACCTACTTCAAAAAGCATGTATTCTCCGGCAGTCTCCCAATTTACTAAACCCAGAAGTTTGTTCGGGTTGGGGTAAAAGGAGCGGGATGAACGGACTCTACCTCGGCCATACTCGACCAATAAACAGACGATCCTAAGGATTGTCGATCTTTTTTTTTTTTTTTTTAATTATTTCTATATAACAATTCTCCATAACAGAGTCCGGGGGAGGTAGACTATCAGATAGTTAGAGCAATTGACAGGCAATTGATAACCTAGTAGATTCCAGTAAACTGGAAATGAGTTTCGCGCGTGCCTGAAGATGGGGGTACATGAAAAAACTGGTCTCTGACCGGCTGGCTGGCAAGATAGGGCGGAAAGCTTTCGCGATGGATCTGAGTCAACCCACCATCGGCAAATGCATCTCCACCGAATTCCGTGCACTTCGGACGAATCAAGAACCTCGGCGTATCTCAAAGGAAGCTTTTCTCTGCTGACTGGCTAACCTTACCGTAAATAAGACATTTCCTTGAGCTTATCCCTCGCCGTGGCGATCCAAGGCTGCCACCCAATGCTCGCCCACGTTACGCTGAAGAGAGAGATGAGACATGCATTCACCACACGTTGATAAAGGATCGAACCTAGAGTGTGCCTTATTCGCATCGTTTACGAACACAGTAACTATACCATTAGTAATTAGCACTCTGTTTTAGCTCTACGTCATGGTATAATACTGTGTCTTAGAAAGGTGAGCTTATGGGCTCTCGTCGGGAGATTACATTCCCAACGATAAACGATAGTTTCTGATCTATCGTCATGGTCGACGAGAGAACATGTGGGTACGGGAAGTGAAGATGGGACGAGAAAGACGAAACTAGACATGGTAGACGAGAGCAGACCCAAAAACCCAATTCTTAATCCCCATCTCCATCCCACTTAAGTCGGTGGGGGAGGTTTTTTTAAACCCCCGGCCATGCAGCTGATAAATAAGTGCGCATGTGCGTGCGAGCTAGCCTACATTTGTTTCGTCTTGGCATCAGGGCTGATGTAGTGTATGTACAGAAGACTTCCAGAGAGCTGGGACGAGGCAAAGTATATGTATACGGGCCTGGAAGCCTAGAGAAGCTTGCCCGGTGTTAATGGAGTCAGTCTACGAGGCAGACTCTAGAAGAGGCCCTTGGCCTGTTTGCCTGCCTAACCTAGGTACCTTTAGGTAGTAGGTATCTAACCCATTGAATGGTGCGGCTGAGTTATCGTTACTATTACCTACCACCGTCCAGATTTTCGGTATCGAAGAGCATGAGCCGGAAAGATTCGATACGGACCTAGCAAACCGGGACAGTGCTTTATACTGCCCGAACGACTAGTAAGCAAGCTACTCGAGAAAAATCAAACACTATTGAGTTTGCCAATCATACCTACCTACCTAGAAGTACTGTATCGCCAAACGTACAATACAGCTAACTCTCCACTTGTCCACACTAACGATATCTTCCGACTCATTAGCGCGCTTCTGTATTCTACCTGACACTGCTGGCAACCTACCTACTTTACAATGGCAGCTCACGTGTACTTATTGAGGCTCAACGCGAATTGGGCCCCCCTGAGTAACATAGCCCGAGCTGGGTTTATGTGATAATTGATGGGTGGTATTGGGGTAGGGTAGAGTATCTAAGATCAACAACTGGAACCTGACCTAATCTCTCAGATTCACTTGTAACCCAACCGAATGATACCAGGTACCGATAACCAAAACAGGCCACGGAGAGTTTGTTCACCTTGTAAAGCTGTATTCGAATCCTTCAATGGAGCCCATCCGGCTAACATGGTCGGTTCCCCACCGATTGCTCTCTCGTCCCCAAAAGATATCCATGACCAGCTTACATGCTTGCTTGGGTCCTCCGTTCAGGGGCCAGGCAGTCTTATCCTATCGCCTTCACCTTAGAGGGGGTTCACATGCTAAGCAAGGTCAATACCCCCTGAGTGACTGGACGGCAACTCTTTTTGACGGCCAGGACTCCCCTCTCATCGATGCCACCGTAGTATTCTCGAAACCTTAGCTTCTACCATGAAACTACCCCTTGCATCTATTTTCGTAGATGTGGTGGGGATTTTCAAGTCCATTTACATAGTAGGTGAATTCAACGTAACATGCGTTGCATGGCTTCGATAATAGCGTACCTATCTATCTGCATGCATGCCGTCTTGTCAAGTTGTCACCAACGACATATGGTATAGGCCGGTCTCGTGCTGGTTCGGAGGACGCCGACAGCTTTTCGGCACAAGTATAGAACTCAGGCTAATGCGATAGACCTAAAATACTTATAATATACCTCATATGATGGTGACTTACGGTAACTTATACACCTAATAGGTAAAAGGAAAAAATGATTTGCATTGCTGGGACTGCCTTACAAGCTACAACGAATCAAATTATAACAAACAGAGTAACCGCGCTTATGACCAATTAGAAATCGTGGATAGTCAATATGTAAGTGAATACAGTTTTTACTAAAAATCTAATATGTCGTGAGAATGGCATATGTTTCGTGTTTCCCATTTGACGAGCAAAATAGCAAACAATTACTTATTACGCAGAAGTGTAGAAGACATCGTCTAATGAGTTTCATTTGAAACCCCTTTTAAATATCACGATGAGAAACTCATATGATACAATGTGTAATCCAGCCACCACCTAAGCCCTGTGAGTTAAAACAACAGCTAACCTAGTTGCCTTACGCAACAGTGACGACTGCTAAATAAAACTGCACATGAACTTGGTGGCACCAATTTTCTTATAGGCCACAAATAAACGTAAACCTTAAGCATCAGGCTCTGTCAACATTGATATCCGCCATAACTATCAGCCATACTCACCTTAAGAAGTATCTATCATACATATGTTCAAGAAAGAAGTGCATTTTTAAATTGCGAGTTTCAATCAACATCTTTCCTAATTGCCTACCTCGTCATTTACCTCATACGTCTTTATATAGGTAAATATATCAACGATATATTTATCCCCTAACCCCAATAACCGCACTCATAATACAACACGTCTATATATATAAAACACCAACACAACCTAAAGAGGTACCTAAGGTAACAAGGTAGGTAACGTCGCCAAACGGCGCAAAAAGCGGGAGAATGTCCGAGACAATCAATCTCCCCCACAAGCCCAACGCCCCGCTGTCCTACCGACTCGTCCCGGGACAGGGCCCCTTGTCAACCACGCATCTCGTCGTGTACCTCAACGGGCTCATCGGCTCCCAGTCCATCTGGAACGCGACTATAGAAGACCTGCAACGGCGATGGGGCGAGGAGGATGAAGACGGCCGCTCTGCCGCCGCCGCCAACAATAATAACTACCCGGCGCTACTTACCTACGACCGGTACGGCCAGGGGGGCTCCGCGCGGGACCCGGCCGACGACCAGCGCGGCGGCAGCCACGATATTGAGGAGGTGGTGGCGGACCTGCACGCGCTGGTGCGGGAGATCTGGCGCACCAAGATAACAAAGGCACCTTCGGACGAGGGCCAAACCCCGAAGCTGGTGTTTGTCGCCAACAGCATCGGCTGCGTCGTCGGCCGGCTCTACGCGCAGACTTACCCCGGTGCCGCCGCCGCGCTCCTCCTGCTCGACAGCAACATGGCCAACAGCGACCAGGTATCCCTGTTCCCGGACCCGGACGCGCCGGACTTCGACCCGTGCTGCCTCCCGCCGGACAGCTCGGCCTCGGACCTGCGGCGCGCGCGGGCGGGGTACGCGGCGCACTTCGGGCCGTGGGCGCCGAACGCGGAGCACCTGGACCGGCGGACCGTCGCGTCGCTGCTGCCGTTGGCGGAAGCGCCGGCGCTGCGGGGGGAGCCCTGGATCACGGTCGTCGGGCACGACCCCGAGGTGTTCGCGGACGAGGGCCTGCGCGGGTCCCTGAGGGTGCCGAGGGGCTTGACGGACATGTTCGTAAACCCGGTCTGGGCGCGGTATAACGAGGGCCTCGCGCGGCTGACGAGCAGGGATAGGGCGCTGGGCCCGGTGGTCGCGGCGGGGTGTGGGCATTTCGTACAGAAGGACGATCCGGGGTTGGTGGCGGGGCTTACGGACCAGTTGTTGCGAAAGATCGAGGCGGAGGGTGCGGCGTAGAGGAGGGGGAGGGGGCAGTCAGAGGGGGGGTGTGATTCGAGGTTACATACCTACCTAGGTATTTTGCTTCTCACGTATGTACGCGTGTACAATATCGCTTCCGCGAGGCATCGTGATAAGTTCATGATTTTGCCATCTTCAGCCATTGATGTACCGGAATAGACCATACCTACCTACCTTAAGATACCCGATAGCGCAACTTTGCACGACGACATTATGAAACGACGTTGGATTCAAAGGTTATCTCTACACATGACATCCATCTTCACCATGCGACGTGTATTTCCCTTTCCTTTCGTGTCCTTCCCATCTCCCGCTCGAAAACACCCCGCGAGCAACGTTTCTAGTTACACAGCCAAGGGTAAGTAGGAGAACGACCTTCCATTCGTCTACCTACGGTAGCGTGCGTAATCCATCACCGAGTCTTCCCCGGAAGCCGAAGAAAAAAGATTGCATGATAGAAACGGCCGAAAACGGCACCCTCGATTAAGTAAGGTACCTGGTATTACAACGTTGCGCTTCACGTAGTAGTAGTATTTGTACCATATGTACCTGTTCACACGGCTCCCCCATTGGGCTGAGCTTTGACTCCTATTATTAGAATTGGGCTTGTAAGTACGTACTACGAGCGTGGTAGATCTTCTACTGATACCGCCCTAAGGTTGTTTCCGAATGCACCGTGATTGCTGTGGCTCGGAAATGACAAGTCCTCGAATGTGAGGTATTCGCTGGCTTGTGAGCGGGCCGAGCGTCCGTTTGGGTGGATGTCGAAGGATAGGGACTAGGCCAAGCAGGCGGCTTAATTCATCTGATAATGTGTAGCAGTTAGCGAAGGCGGTGCTTGCGGCTGTTACATTAGTATGAATCCCTGCTACTTTTTTGTAACTAGTCGGCGCCCCCATGGCAAGCGGTATTGGAGATGCTGGAGAGGTAGAGCTGATGCGGTGAAGACACTCGTGCCGGGTCCCGATTTCTCTTTCTGTCCGAATACCTAAGAGATCCTTGTATGCCGAGTGGGGTCTGCAGAGATGCATGTATTGCCGATTAACGAAATAGCATCTCCCAATAATACTTTATTCAAATCCTTGGCTTAGCTGGATACCAGGACCAAGACAAAACAGGCATCAAAATTATCCCGCTACAAGCTTACTAGCACGAACGAGACTGCAGAAGGTCTCTAGGCAATGTGTAAGGGATAATATTGTCAGGCCCCTGGTCTACCCCGGGGATACTATGCTCAGGTTGGTAGAGAATACTGGTGATCAGCCCCTATAGCCATCCTGAGTTTGGAGATCACTCCTATACAGACATCTGAAATCCAGCTACTATTTCGCGAAGTGACAAATAGCGTTTTGAGGATCGTAGGAGCCAATGATGATAGTAAATCCTCGTGCCACACTTTTCAGTAGGAAATACTAGTACTACTAGTAGAAGTTTGTCCTTGGGGTTCGATGGGAAACTTCCCATAACGGGCAAAGGATCGCTTGTACTGAGGATCACATGGCGGACAGTAGTGCCGTGTACCAGTACATCCTTTATCCGAGCATCATTTTCGACCTCACCGTCTAAAGGTGCCGTGGAGACTCCGAAAAAGTCCGGCCGGCCATGCCAACCGACCAGTCGCGGAGACGATGGACCGAGAAGCATATGTCATGCGAACTCTACCACTCCTAAGGGTTTGGCTCTTGCCAGTACTCGCATGGCCGTCCTTGCTAGATGAAGAGTTGATGTTACCCGAAACGTGTGAAAGTAAACCAAAGTAGATGGTATTCGTTGGACTCTCCTAGAAGAATATAGCGACGGAACTTTAGCTGCATCTGATGTAGGGCATTATTTCGTATTTCAGAGGGTACTTTGAGATACCGAGCTTGAAGTAGTCAAGTAAGTTTCGTTGTCAGTCACTAGTCCACCGTGAGTATTTGCTTTCACAAACGCGTCTCAACAATAATTCCCATCCATGAAATGATCCGAAATCCCGCCATCGTGTATCGTTAAACTCTAAGGCCTATGCAATTAGCAAAACAAATTCCACAACAACTTTATAGTTATAGTATAGTATATCCAAAGGTAGATGAATTACTAACACGCTTAGACAGGATTTGCCCTCGAGGTTTTCAGAAAAACCTAACATTTCTGTCTTCATGTTTTTGGACGATTCAAGCTCAGCTTCACTGGTACTGGGTACCACAATGCTGGGTGGATATAATAGGAATGGGGCGCGATCCAATTCCGCACGTCCAACGCCACGAACTTGATAGCTTCTTGGTATTATAATGACGTGCATGCGTCAATCGGCGCCTCTAATGCAAAATGATAGGTGACGTATATTATTGACGAGTCGGATTCCGATTTTTGAAGAATTTCGTATACCATTTGTCCCGTTGGTATTAGTGAGTACCTAACCTAAGGTATCCAGTTCGTCCGATATACGATGTACGGGATGCATACGCTGCATACCTACGCTGCATACGCTCATGCATGCAGCAGCAGCAGCAGTAGCAGCACCTGGCGCCATTCCTTTTACATAGGTACCTAACCTAGGTAAACTTCAAATGGCCGTTTCGTCCACGTGGTCTCCGCAATATCTGCACTTCAGTTTGGTGCAACAACGATTCCCAGCTAGCAAGCACATGGGTAAAAGCTGCAACTGAGACATCAACGACCTACGGTCTCTTTAATAGATCGGCTAGCCTGAAGCGTCTCGTCCATTGTTCTAGAACTTGCCTAGAAAAGTTGGAAGTCTCAACTGAAATTTTCTTAGCTGGATGTCGCTGAGCAGCCTGTGACGCTTTTATTTTTTATTTATGAATCTTCTGAACGGAGTAACTTATAAGATTATGTCAATATTCAAAGCGTGAGAAATAACTTTGATATATATACTTCGTGGTGGTTTAAACCAAAGGTCTTCTGATTAGATGTCGATGATAGAGGAGAGGTATACGATGTGTGTTAAGCTAAGGATTGTTCGAGAGAGTCACTTCCGTTATTTTCTTCCTAGTTGGATGAAACTAAGGGGCTGCAACCACTTAACGTTTATTTTGTAATATAAAGTTTAAATGTGTTTCAATCTATCAAATCCCATCCTGAGACTTGATACGATTGCCCATTAAAGTTTAACGCATGGGCCACCCCACAGATCTCCCGTCCCATCTTCTCCACTTTACGGCTTTCCAAATGCAGGGTCTGATGCTCCTTAGGTGGCTCGATTTAGCTCCACTGTCGTCATTGGTGGCTGACCACGTTAGCTGACCCGGGCTGACCTGGAAACGAAGGTGGAAATGACATGGGATCAATCCTAAAAAAAAAAGACCATGTAATAATAATGTGGGCGGGCTACGGAACTGGTCTGCTGCCTCTGCCTCCTCCTCCTCCTCTACCTCCTCTTCTTCTTCTACTTTGAAAAATTTCCCACACCAATGCGTCAAAACGAGCCGATTCAATTCCAATTCTTCTTCTTTTGGCTTGGTCATTTCTACCCTCCTGCCTTCCCCATCTCCTCGTCTGCGCATCGGCATCTCCAGTAATGATATTACTGCCGGGTTCAACCATAGCCTTGTTACTACTGCCTTCGATTCTTTGATCATAGAATAAAAACCTTTCCCAAATGCCGCCGGCCAAATCAAAAGCGAACCACGACGACGCCAAGTCGGAGACTGCCAGCGTCAAGGATCGGAACGGCCACGGATCCAATCATACCCATTCGAATGGAAAACTTCGACGTGTTGCCAGTTCCACCGGCTCCCAATTGCGAGACGTAACAGCCGTTAACGGTGGCTCGTCGACTGCATCGACTACTACGTCACAACCAAACCACACTCCAGGGGTAAGAAGAACACAAGCCAATCATTCTATGCCTAAGCACCTGCTTTCCAAGTCAACAACTTACAATTGGTTTTTCTTTTTCTTCCCATAGCTACAATGGCCGTCCTTCGATCGAGATGTTCTCCACGACTATCGTCGCAAATATCTCCTCCACACCCCAACCGCTTTTGCCAATCCGTACCACCACTGGGTGCTCTCGCGACCCGGAATCGGCCTGCGATCGCCCACCATGGCACGAAGGCTCGAGTACCGACGCCAGAGCAAAGAGAACCTTACGAAGGCCGTTAGGAAACACTTCAATGCCCTCGGCGTGCAGGAGACCGACGTTATTGTCGACTTCGTACACAAGGTCAGGAATCCGGGCGTCGGGAAGATTAAGAGGAATAAAGAGGCGCCGCACTCTTCTCCGTTACCATGATGCATGATGATACATGTCTACTACATATATACCCTCCGGAAGAGCGAGAACAATTGGCTGCGCTTCTGGATTAGAGTGCTTCTCTCTGATTGTTATACATACGGCATCATAGATGATGTCGTTGGGCTCTTGTCGAGTCTTTGCATAGGTACAACTGGTTTCCTCACTTTTTTTTTCTCCTTTCTTCTTTGCATTATCCTGGAGTTTTAGCGCTTGGGTGGGACTTCTTCCAACGAGAGGAACTAGGGCCGATGACTATGACGACTGACTGGGTAAACACATAATGGGGATTAACCACTCCAAAGGCTCTATGGATAGGGCGTCACAGGTATATAAGAGTTTTTGCTACTTTTCAATTGGGACGAAATACCAATTCGGTTTATGTATGTATTATTGTTATTATTACAATACTTTAGGTACCTAGATAGAGGTCGTATGTGGCCACGAAATATTTATTTATTTACTTACTACGTTTCTTTCTTGTTTTTCTCGTTGTAGAAGATGTTTATTATTAATTGTTTCCACTTTGTGGGTACTGCTTCTTTTGGTTCCTGACTGCTACTTTTTTTTTTCTTTTCTTTTTTTTGGGGGGGGAGTCTCGCGGTTCTGCAATGGCGTTGGACCGAACCCCTCACGCGGGACGCGCTTCTCACATTTCTCATTACTAATTTTAATTGAGATTTGGCCGCGCTTCTTTTAAGTGGCGCCGCATCGCATCTGGGCTTAAGTCCGAGGTCAATTGGAAGTGGGTAAAGTACCTACCTAGGTACCTATAGTATAGGTTTAATGGAGGCTAATCTCTCTTGAAACTGTGGTGCTTAATGAGATAATCAACGTAGCCCTTTAAGACTAACATTAAAAATAAATTAAGCTCTTTGACTCTTCAGATAAAAGTAAACCTTGATGTTTTAGAGCTTAATTCCGTTAAGCTTCCCTGGTATTTAAGTGCTATTGGCATTTCTGAGCTTGTAAATTCGATGTTCTTTGTTCGAGGTGACCTATCATCTTCATGATTTTAAATGTTTTAAATACTACCTAGCCTGAGTTAGGCGTATCGATAAGCAATGTCGTGTTGACAAATGGGTATGTACACCTACTGATTTATAACGGGTACATGATGTAGTGTGCAAACTTTTGCTGTGGCTGGTGTTATTATAGCCCCTCGCGTGGCTTTCCACATGTCAAACTTCAATATAGCTGTGGAGCCAAATTGGGAGATCGAGAATCTTCCCGTTTACTCGGCGCCGTATCTTAGCGCAAAAAAAAAGTTCGAGCGTCATCGTTACCGGCTCCGAATTTGCAAGTTAGCCATCTTCACCTTTTTTTCTCCCTTCTACCTTTGTGATATGCGCAAGTGCGACCTTATGAGCTGTCTGAATACGTACGATACGATATTATGAGAAGTTGTAAAGTCTGGTAAAATTCGACGTGTGACTCGAAGCATTAAAGATGAATTCGACTCTGTTTGCAAAGGCAGCGCTGCCCTCGCGCATACTCTCTCCTGCTCATATATACCGAAGGCAGAGATTACGAAGTCACTTACGAAAGCGCGCGCAAGTTAGCACGATATGTTATCTATCAAAAAGACCGAATATTATAGCGAAGCACCCTGCGCGCGATGCCGTATCATGCAGAAGGGTATGTCAGCCCTCCCCATATTTGAGTTAGGTGACGATTCTTACTGACCATTCGACGTAGTCCTTCCATGCTAGTCCTATCTCACTCGCCATGCAAGATCCATACCAAACTCTCGGCGTTGGAAAATCGGCTACGCCGGCGGAAATAAAAAAAGCTTATTACGGGTTAGCCAAGAAATTCCACCCAGATACAAATAAGGACCCGTCGGCGAAAGACAAATTCGGTGAGATCCAGTCCGCATACGAGATCCTGTCCGATCCGAAGAAGAGGGAGCAGTACGACCAATTTGGCGCCGCCGGCTTTGATCCTAACGGCGGGCCCCAGCCGGGAGGTGATCCTTTCGGTGGTAATCCTTTCGCGGGTTTCGGAGGGCAAGGGGGTTTCGGTGCGGGCTTCGGTTTTGACGATCTCTTTTCCGCATTTACTGGTGGACGGGGCAGTCCGTTCGGCGGAGGGGGCCGCTCTGGTGGACGAACTTCGTACGGCCAGGATATTTTCGTTGGAGATAATATCGAAGTACAAACAACCGTATCATTCATGGAAGCGGCGAGGGGAACTAGCAAGACAATTACGATCCATCCTCTTGTAGAATGTCATAGCTGCTCTGGAAGTGGTCTCAAACCAGGTACCAAGCGGACGAACTGTCCTTCCTGTGGCGGCACGGGCACGCAAGTACACGCCATATCGGGTTTCCAGGTGGCTACTCCTTGTGGTGCTTGCCAAGGTACTGGACAGTCAACTCCTAAGGGATCAGAGTGCCGGACGTGTTCCGGGTCTGGAGCCGTTCGGGAACGAAAGACTATCACTATAGATATACCGGCGGGCGTTGAAGATGGGATGACCTTACGATTAGACGGCGAGGGAGATGCACCTGTTACTGGCGGCACAGCATCACCCAATGCCAGAAAGGCTCGTGGAGATCTATACGTTCAGGTCCGAGTAGCCCCTGATCCCAAGTTCAAGCGATCTGGCTCCGACATCCTCCATACCGCAACTATCCCCCTAACGACGGCCTTACTGGGTGGTGAGGTGACAGTTCCTACGCTAGATGGACAAGTCAAGGTGAAGGTCTCGACAGGCACGAGTACCGGTGACAAGATAACTTTACCTGGATTAGGTATGAAGAAGCTTGGTAGTCGACGTGCTAACGCAGCCGGAGACTTGAAGGTCGAATGGCGAGTGGCGATGCCAAAGTATCTCTCCGCCAACCAGAGGACGATCGTAGAGATGTTAGCAGACGAGATGGGCGACAAGACAGCTAAACGGATAATGAACGTTAAGATGCCGGGGTAAGTAATCGGCCAACTATTTTCCATCGATGCCCCGGCGTATCTAACCCGAATAAACAAACAGATCCAGCAAACCGGGGGAAGCCACAAAGGATGACGACCCCGAAACGCATCGAAATGAAGGATTCCTAAGATCTATATGGCATAATTTAACAAATCACCCGGCCCACCAGAAACCAGGGGAGAAAGAACACGATCAAAACAAGGCTGACGAAGACCCCAAAAAGAAGTCTGATTCTAAGTCGGATTAAGCTTATATCCTTTGGGTGTCTCCTCTAGACGAATGGGCGATATATATCCCCTTACATCATGTACCATAATCACGACTCTCTGGAAAGGGGTGATGACATGAGGCACCCGAAATATAGAATAGAAATTGGAGCTGCATGGGTGGTGTTGAGGCTGGATTGGTGATGTTTCGACCGGGCATCGCCCGCTTTGGTACCCAAAACGGGATGCATTTCGGCTTGTATATTACGTGTAGTAGGGGGCTTCAAGGGATGTCATATAATGCGAGGTCACTCTCCTCAATACGAGATTTACGATGGACCGGATCGAGTAAGGTTTTGTTGTTTTGATCGCGCCAAATCTCATGGGGTACCTATCTCCATAAGGATATCCATCTATTTTCATTTGCATGTATGTAATTCGCTATGCACGTAGGACCTAGGTAGTTAATGTAAATACCTATGTTCAGACGTATGTATGTAAGTCAGGTATGGGGCGTAGATAATGTACGGAATTGATCTTACAGGCGGTCGCAGAAGCGGCCTCGGTAGAGACTTGTGGCAGCGTGAGCCGCGAGGAGGGGGGGAAAGCAGCCTTATTGAGTTTAAGGTCGCAGTGGCGGCCCGCTAGGCGCCTATATCCCTTGCTTCTTCGTCCGAATCGTCGAAGCTAACCGCCTGAGGGACCAATCGTGGCCCATCTAGAGCGGAAGGGGGATTGGAGTCTTTAGCCAATGACGTACCGGAGAGGGGTCTTTGCCGGTGCTGATGGCCTCGTCACCCGCATAAGCGTGCTGGCTATCAGCATACTACTGCCCGATGAACAATAGTTGATGCTGATTTATATGTGTGTTGCTATGGGCTATATTGAATGTATTTGGAAGGGGGAGGGGGGAAAGGATTGGAAGAAGGAGCTTATACTAAGAACTATATTATCAGGTCAAGTGATTAATGCATTCAACACATTTCTTATACCTTATGTAAGTACCATGCCAAAGGCGTCTTGTACATTAAGCGCTATGTTACACACCACGTAAGCGATTATGGATGCATAATACCATGGTTGCCTAACATCAGGGACAATATTATTACAGGGCAGAATCTTAAAGCTGCTGACGATTAACGGTGCCCTACCACTTGATTCAGGTCTCCGCACCAAAGACCTACCCCACTAAATAGGTACCTTAGGTAGGTACTTAGGTATTACTTATGGTAGGTACCCTTTGGGATAGCTGTCCCAACCATCTGCCCTAGCATCTGCCAGCAAAACCTTAGTGTTCTAGCCGGACCCCACCTGTAGATGTGGTAGGTTGTAAGTACTTGGTTTTAAGCCTTAAAGATTGAACGACCAGCGGCTACCTTCCTCGTAAACGCCTGCCCAGAATACTTCCAAACGTTCTCGTTGTTGCCAGCCCGAACCTCCGTTCGCATGGCCACTTCCTAATGTTAGGTCTCACTGCATTTGCTCAGCGCGCTGCGTGTCACCTTACCTAAGTTATTCGTGCATCATCTAAAGTTGATCAAGTCTAACTTTAATCCTACATGATTTTGATCGTCTTGTCGCAAACATAATTAATTAAGTTACCTACACCGTACGCCGTACGCCGTATACCATACGCCGCCATACGACGCCATCTTTTCTTATCCCCATCCCAACCTTTTTCCACTTCACTTCTTGGACGACAGCAATGTTGGAAGATACACCAGCTACCGTTACAATCTCACCCTCAAATAACTGATTTGGAGCAAGTGTCGTGTGTGATAGTGCGTTGAGAAGTGGTGACAAAATTCACGACGCACAATTAATAACCTGAACCCAGTATCCCTCGTCGATACGGCATCAAATTACATCAACCCCACATCTCTTTGTACCCGTACATACGACGATAGATTCCTTACGAAAACAACTTCCCCTCATGATAGACGGAACTAGGAAATATTAGAGAAGTTATTCGCCGCGCCCAAGTCTTCTACGACAATCCAATCCGCATCCTCCGCCATGACGCAAACTCCCATGATCTCGGTGCCTTTAAAGGCGACAAACGAGATCGATTGGATCACCCCGCTTAAGACCTATATCAGAGATACATATGGAGACGATCCCGAAAGATACGCAGAAGAATGCGCGACACTCAACCGCCTTCGGCAGGATATGAGGGGCGCGGGCAAGGACAGCACCTCAGGGAGGGATCTACTATATCGTTACTATGGGCAACTTGAATTATTGGATCTCCGCTTTCCTGTCGACGAGCAGCATATCAAGATCTCCTTTACCTGGTATGATTGTTCCTGCAGAGGTAAAGTGTTCGCATTGCATCGATATACTGACTTATGCATACCAGGTTTGATGCATTTACCCACAAGTCAACATCTCAGTATTCACTTGCCTTCGAGAAAGCCTCGATAATATTCAACATAGCTGCTGTTCTATCCTGCCATGCAGCTAACCAAAGCCGTTCCGAAGAGGCTGGTCTGAAGACTGCCTACCATTCCTTCCAAGCTTCTGCCGGCATGTTCACTTACATAAACGAAAACTTCTTACATGCACCTTCATCTGATCTAAGTAGAGACACGGTCAAAACTCTAATTCAGATCATGCTCGCGCAAGCTCAGGAGATATTTCTTGAGAAGCAAGTTGCAGACCAGAAGAAGGTAGGGTTACTGGCAAAACTATCTAGTCAGGCAGCCTATTTGTATCAGCAAGCACTTGAAGGCGTCCAGGAAAACGTCAACAAGGCCATCTTCGAGAAAGTTTGGCTTCTTTTTACACAGGTAAGTAACACTTCTTTTCGATATGAAGACGGCCCGGCTTACTCGCATCTAGATCAAAGCAAGCTTAATGAGCTCGAATTCCCAGTATTATCAAGCGCTTGCTGATGAGGATGCGAATTCTTACGGTGTTGCCGTTGCAAGACTTACGGCAGCTGAAGTTCAGGCGAAGGAAGCTAATAGGATGGCAAACAATTTCCCCAGCACCATGCCTCCTAGTTCGAACTTGAGTGCAGACACGGGAATGGTATTAACGGAAATCACAAAACGGAACCTGACTACTATTCAGGAGAAATTGAAGGAACTAATAAAGGATAACGATTATATCTACCATCAGACCGTACCAGCAGAGGCCAGTCTGATTCCAGTTCCGAAATTGCCCGCAGCAAAGCCGATACCCGTAAACGAACTATACTCCGGTCAGGATATTCAGCGCATAACTGGCCCAGACTTGTTCGCGAAGATAGTCCCATTCACAGTTACTGAATCAGCAAGCTTATACGACGAAGAAAAAGCGAAACTAGTCCGCGCTGAAGCCGAAAGAGTCGATCTAGCCAACAGTGAATTGACGACCAGTTTGGATTATCTGAAGCTGCCAAGCTCTTTAAAAGTACTTAAAGGGGGTGCTGAGCAAGAGATCCGGCCAGATTCAGACTTCCCAACTTGGTGTGATGATGTTGCAGGGCATGAGAATCCGATTTCGATATTCGATACGTTACGGATAGACAAGGATGCCATCATCACTGTGCTGGATAGATGCTCAAAGCAACTGGATATGGAGGAAAGCGTTTGCGAGAAGATGAGGTCAAAGTATGAGAATGAATGGACGCAACAGCCAAGCTCACGGCTTACAACCACTCTACGAGGGAACATTCGCAGTTATCGAGAAGCCTTGGATGAAGCAGCGAAGAGTGATGGCCAGCTATATACTAAATTCCGCCAAAATGAAGTAATCTTCGAAGAAATGCGGAATGCTGCACAAACAGGTGAAGTCGAGGCACTATTCCGAGCGGCCGTCAATAGAGTCAGATCAAAGTCCAATGACGCGGCAAGTCCAGCGGGTAGCGAAGCGAATCTGCTGGATGCCGACTTTGATGATGGCAGCCCAAGTGTTGCCGAGCAGATAGCAAGAATTGAGGATATCCTCAAGAAGCTGAACCTGATCCAGAGGGAAAGGAATCAAGTGCTCAAAGACCTGAAAGAAAGGGTACGTAAAGCCTACAAGTTTTCATATTAATGGACTAACAAAATACAGGTTCACAATGACGATATTTCTCAAATCTTGATCTTGAACAAAAAGTCGATACCGAACTTTGAGAAAGAACTATTTCAGTCGGAACTCGAGAAGTTCCGCCCTCATCAAGCCCGTATTCTGCAGGCAAATCATAAGCAAGCTTCTCTACTGAAGGAGTTGCAAGCATCCTTTGGCTATCTCCTACAGGACAAGCGTGTGCGTTCGGAACGTAGCAAGTACGAAGCCATACAACGGCAAAGGAATGCAGTGGTCAGCAAATACAAGAGAGCATACCAAGAGTTTCTCGACTTGGAATCTGGTCTGCAGAGCGCGAAGAACTGGTACACGGAGATGAAAGAGACGGTAGATAGTCTCGAGAAGAACGTGGAGACCTTTGTCAACAACAGAAGATCGGAAGGCGCTCAATTGCTCAACCAGATTGAGCAAGAGATAGCCGCAAACAAGAGCACACAAGCCGAAGCAGAACGCGAAAGATTCCGTGGCCTTATGGAGCGTATGTCTATGGATCCTAGCACTACACCGTCGCCAAACCCGGGCTCCAACCGGCCCGTCCCAACACCGCTCTCCTTTTCTAATACTCCTCGCTATTCACAAACCGCCAACGTCTCTGGCCAGTATCAGATGCCGGCCTCTCCACCGCCAAACCAAGTCAATTACCCGGGATTTTCTAGCCCTCCGACTACCACATACGCATCTACGCCACAGCAATCATTCACCCCTAACCCGCAACATAATAGCCAGCAATTTGGCCAGGCCGCGTACAACCCCAGCACTTGGGGCCGGAATCCTGGCCCGGCTTCACCACCACCAAACCAGACTACATTTGGGCTTGGTGTCGGAAGCAGAGGTCCTGCTTCGCCTCCACCTTCGCAGACATCATTTGCGCCGCACCAATATAGTACATATGGAAACCCACAAGCCCAGGCATCACAACAGTACATGCCTCCTGGATTCGTACCTCCTCCGCCACCTCCCGGACCTCCGCCGCTAGGACCACAACAGACCATTCACTATTCGCAACAACCCCAGGAATACTCGTATGGAGGTTCTCAGAACAACGCGGCGCGGTTAGGACAAGCGCAACAGCAACAACAGACTAATGATCCGTGGGCGGGACTGAACGCTTGGAAGTAAAGGATCGAGGCTACGACGATAACGAGGGAAATGCCAGCAATGACATGAGAATTCTAAAAAGAAAAAGCCAACTGCTTGTTCGTGAAAAAAAAAAGTTGCAGTCGCATAGCTACGCTAGAGACATAATAGCTTGTCAAGTTGCGAGTTAATCGTTCTTGGAAGGATTTCCAGATAAAATTCTGCTAAGCCGCAAGGTCTACTTAGGGTAGTTGTCCGTTAACTTTCGTCTGAGGCCTGGATATTATGTATAATCTAGGATTCATAATCCATTGTTTCTATAGAATAGGTCCTACCTTTCTTTGCATTGCTTACTGGTTTTTAGCAACCTTTAGCAACCTTTAGCAACTTTATGAGGCTGATGTCCGCTCACGATACCATCAATGGCAAGCTATACACTCACTACATGTACTAATTGGAAACATTCGTACTTACCAAGTCCAGTAAACGATGCAGCAGCAGCGTGACTACCTACCTAACCTAAGGTTACCTACCTAATTACAGACTCGGATTCGCATTGCAGATAAGGTCTCGGCAAGCCGCATAACACCTAGAAGGCGGCAGACAGTGCAATGAGTGAGCGAGTCCTCTCCACGCAGCTATTAGTCGAGTCGATTATTGAAATACGGTTAGTTACCTCCTATGTAAAGTAGAGAGAGAGAGAGACATGAGTTCGCGCGTGGGATTATGCCGGATGAGATCTCATCCCCAATTCGCACGGGAGAGTAGATAAATTCACGGTGGGATATTCCGTTCTAACTTTGCAGGATCGGTAAGAATTTTTATTTTTATTTTTTAGTTTTCTTAATTGGTGAACAAAAACGTTCGGGGAGGGAGGATTCTTGGCAAACAGTTGATGCAGCGATGCGGGAAGAGCTGTGATAAGTCGAGGTCGTTTATGCAATGCAAGACAGTTGGCATGGCATAGAGTGGGCGTGGGCGTGGGTATGGATGGGGATGGGTATGGGCATGGGCATTATATCGCCACATCTCTACCTAGCTTAAAACAAAATAGACCTAGTCCGCGGGTTAGACGAGGGGTGGGAGAATTGCGGCAGCGGGATATCCGAAGGGGAACTGTTCTTGTTGAAGGGTATCTAATGTTCTTATTAAAGTTACTTGGTAGCATAGGTACGTAGTACTATAAAATGGGTTTCTGTTATGGATATTGTGTAGCATTTCTTATATTATGTGGTGAGCTTCGTTAGGAGTGTTTTGAAGGGAAATAAATAAATACCTACATAAATAAATACATATCAGATTGACGCTAGTTGACCGTAGTGGGTAGGTGGGTCATTAATTCCCACGTCGTAGCGCTGTCATCGCTAAATCATTGGACGTGGGACCACCTGCAGCAACTGCAAGCCAGCAGCCAAGCACCTAAAAGAAAATCGATATTATCCAATCTTCTGGAATTTCTCCATGACCAAAAGACAAAAGACAAAAATACAAATACGTACCTACCTCACATTTTACAGGCCGTAAACAACAGCCTCTTCTTTTTCTCAAAAGGAAGAGAAAAAAATCTTAGATCTTCCCCTGCCTTGTTATTACATACATTACATATACACACAAAAAAAACTAACATCTCGATGCTGCATGAGGCATTGAAGATCATGTATATTACTCTACCAATGGCATTTATGTGACCTATGCTGAGCTGTCTACCATTCTTCTTCTTCTTCTAACAACAAATTTCCTTCTTGGTCGTCGATGGGGGGAAAATAGCTATCTAACTGTTACTGTCAGACCTCTCTGCTCCGGTAAACTTGCTTACACCTTGAACCGGAACTCGGCCATTGGCATCGTTAACTTTCCCAGCCTAGCTCCAAATTCGAACTCGATTTTAGTTACCTGATATTCAGCTAATTTCGAGCATTGGCGAACTTAACCGCCCTACCGTCACCAAGCCTTATTATTGTTATTATTATATTCCCGGAGATTCTATATGCTACCTAAGGTACCAACTCACCGCCTCCGCTGGTTCCGCCGAGCCTCGTAACAGGTACCTAAGATCGAAGCTTACCTATATGGTGGATTCTTAACCCACCTCGGATAGACGGCTTAGAGCTCGAAGCCATTCTTGTTTTTGAGTCGGTATTACCACGGCCGACTTATACGACTTGTACGTGTTCATTACCGATATCCTACTTCTAGTATCTACCGAGTCTTCACCCGCGCAATCCTTTCGTCTATAATATCGGTATATTGGTCGCCTTTGGGGCACGCGAGTATTCGACATGGCTACGCCCAATTCGGGCACTCCTGGGGAGGGAAATAAGGGCAGTAAGCCGAGCTTCGTGCCGCTGGTAACGGTCGTGGATTTCCATCACCACAGAGGCCCCGAAGTCGAGAGATGGTTTGGTGTAGAAGAAGGCCAGGACCCGGCAGTCGAGTATGACTGGCCATTGCTCCCGTTTATGGCTCTAAGCGATGGGGCTCACGCGTGAGTTTTTAAAAATACCTTTCGGGTACAGCATCTATGTGTATTTAGTACAAATCTGACCTCATTGGTTCGTCCCAGGTCGACCGAAGACTTCTCGTACTTCACCCTCTTACGACCCGCGAAAGACGACTCTCCTGCGACCTCGCTCTTTGGAATAGCTTGCACGAGACAATTGGACGCCTCGCAATTGCTGGTTCGACCCTCTGATGTAACGCGCTCGACGGTACAGAAGGCAGTTGTGGTAATAGCAGATAGCCCTCAGTTCTTTGGCATGCTAAGGGAAAGATTGTCTGTTGTTACCAGCGCGTGGTTTGCCCAGCGTGAATTCAGCGATACCGAGATCCTGCGGAGGTTTCAGGAGAGCCTGGCCGACGAAAAGGCGCGCGGCCAGTTGAACGAGGAGGTAGACAGGGATCAATACCTAGGAATGAGTCTGCGGGAACTCGTAAGGGAATTCCGCTGGCAGACATTAGTACTATTAAAATGCTGTCTCTTACAACCCAAGGTGAGCAATCTCATTGCTATACATTGTGCTATACGTTGTCGACCCGACTTATATACTCACTAGGAAACTAGATGCTCTTCTTCGGCTCGAGGTGCGAGCGCCTGTGCATGATGCAGTTCTCCCTGATATCTTTAATCCCGGGTTTGCTTAGGAATCTCCAAGATTCTGCTGGGCCGGACCTAAATAATTATGAGAAGAATTTAACGCAGCCGACGAGTTTGAGAACTAGTGATCGAAACTCGTTGCTTTCATACATGGGACTTCCATTGCAAATATTCGGCAAGGTAGGAAGGGGGACAGTCTATCTCGAAATCAGGGACACGCGTTAACGATTTATACAGGGGAGCCTGTTCGGGCCGTACACACCCTTACAGCAGTTAGACATCCTTGCAGACTTCGGCACGAAATCATATATAGTGGGCAGCACAAACTCATTATTGTTGCAGCAAAGGGACCGGTATAGCGACATACTAATCAATCTCGACGAGAACACGATCAATATTACTTCTACATCACTCCGAACTGCGTTAGTACTCTCCCACTCCGACAGAAGATGGATCGACTTCCTCACACAAGAGGTAAACGATACATGGGATGAATCCAATCCAGGCCGCCCCAAGACGATGGGGTATCGTGGTAGTGAGGAATTCATCCGTCTCCAATTTGAAGAGTACCTCCTATCTCTCATCTCCTCCGTCAAATACCATAATTACCTTGCTAAAAACGCACACAATCCTAAGGCGACTCTTCCGCACATTGACGGAGACCCCTCTGTAGATTTTGGCACCGAGTGGGTGGAATATTGGATGAGAACCGAAAATTACCGGATATGGGAGTCACATACTGATTCGCACTTATTCGACATCGTAGAGCCGAGGCACCCTTGTGCTGGCGGGCTTACAATTGATGACGTCCAACGTCGGATTCAGCAGCAGGTGCAGGACTTACATTTAGACGAAAGGTTCGCAGTCGGCAAGGAAGTACTAGGCAGGAATTTGACAGCGGGACGCGATAAAGCAAGTACCATATTCAACAAGCTGTATGCCGATATGGAAGCTCTCCGCGAGGCGCAAAGGAAGCGCGCAGAAGAATCCCAAGCGGCTCAGGCCGCGGCAGAAAAGAACGGAGCCGCGACAAATAATGCGGATTCGACGAAGGCTCAAGGCACGGGAACTTCTGTTGGCGCGAGGGCCGGCGCTTACATTGGAAGCTGGACTTCGTGGGCAGAGCAGAAGCGGAAACAAGGATGGGGCCGATCGAGTAATACTTCTAACGGAACTAGCGGAGGTGGTGGTGGCGGCGGCGGTGTTGGTTGGGGATTTGGTAGTCGCAAATCAAGGTCTGGTAACACGGATTCCGGCAGCGAGAAGAACACGCCTCTGAGCAGCCCTGCGCTTTCTTCGCGTGGATTCAGCAGCATGGAGAAAATCCAAATGTCGGACGTCCAGCATCGAGCTAGCGAGGGCCATGATAGACGGCCGCTTACAGGGGACAGCTTCGGCGAGAGCGTGCTCGATGCCGCGGGTTCGACCGACGAGAGCAGGTCTTCCAGTCCGTTCAGTCAGCGGAAAGGTGCTGGTCCCGAACGCAACGGTGGTGGTGGAAATCAATACGCGAAACTAATTAGCGAGGAGCATAGTGATGATGATTATGATGATGACGATGTCAACGGCGATAAGGAAAAGGGAGCTACTGAAGAGAAGAAGAAGGAAAACGGCACGAAACAGGACGACATCAAACCGGAAGATACAAAAGTAGCCAAAACTACGACGTAGTACCGAATTAGCTCATGGAATAAATTCATGCACGACCAAGTCTGCGGTGAAAGGGGTCTTGGACGAGATGCTGAGTAACTACCTGAACCGGATGGCGAATTTACATTCTACAAGTCGCCGAGCAGAAGGTGGGAGCCATAACTGGACAAGATGCCAGGGGTTGGGGGACATCAATACATCAATCAACTGTAAAGCTTTAAGGCCTTATTATACTATACTGTACCGTGGCTAGCATAAGCTGGAAAGAGAGGTTTAGGGTACCTTGTATATAGAGAGAGGAAGACAGGGAGGGGGAGGGAGGGAGAGCATAAGGGGGTTGGTTATAAGAGATGGTGAACCCAGCCACCCTTTAGGTACTTATTGTCATCCTCTTGGATACATACATACATCAAGGCAGAGAGAAATAAGACCAAATATCCCCCACCTTGCTCAACAGGCAAGAGAAATGAATGAATGGACAACGGAAGTAGAAGCTCCAAGTCAACTAACTACATACCTAAGGTTAGCTGGGAACATATGACGACTTTCTCTGCTGCTATGAAGTGCTACAATTAAGGAACCGGTATTAACAAGAGAAACTGCCGGCTACATCGGCACCGCTTTTGGTTGCGTGTTGAGTATACCCCATGTTAGGAGGTACCTATCTATATGTGTAGATGGCTTTCTATCTAGGTACTCTTCCCGCACTGCTACGGACATTGAATTCTACAATATGCCACCTCGTTCCACCCGGCGCCTTGCTTTAGGTACTAGGTAGGTATACACCTCCAGATGGATGGTATGATATGGCATGGCATGTTAGTGGCTTCACTGTCCCATACTTTGTCTTTCAAGTACCTACTAGCTTACAAGGTGATTTCCAGGAGATGAAAATACGTCGAGAGTTCAGTCCAGTCCAGTCTTATTTATGGCTCTGTGCCAAGAAAGACGTCTCAGATTCTGGATTAGCAAGTAAAAAAAGCCAATAGCATTCTGTTGAAGGAGGTATGTACCAAATGGGCCAAAGGCTGCTACGATAGTTTATTGATCTGGTAGGCTTCATTACGGCCATGGAAAAAATTACACATCCTTTGGATTGTTTCGTTGTAGTGAAAAAGCACATGTCCCTTGGGTGTCTCCTGAGATACAGGTACCTAGATTCTTATTGTTATGGAGGTTAGGTAGACTTTAAGCATATTAAACCGCAAGTTTAGTCACAAGTAAGAGTAAAGAGGAACACCGAGGCAAAGTAATTATTGTACACACGCATGACACATACACAAAGCGACACTCTGGAATGTAGAGTATTTATTCGTTATCTACGGGGAGGGGGAGTTTGCGGTTCCGCCTAGACCACAATACCTAGGCGACAATAGCAGAAGACTACTACTCAAACTCGCCTGGGATATGCATCACCGGTCCCTCACCACCACCACTATGACGGCCCCGGGGATCTTGACCTAGGTAGCTAAGCCTAGGTCTATGTAGAAAAACTGGGAGGTGGGGGGAAGAGAGCAAGCAAGGAGCAGCCAGCTAGCCGCAGATGCCATAAGCGAGGTGTTCCCATTCCGTGCGGTATGATACACGACACGATACTCCTTTCGCGCCAGATCCCGTCTCCGTCAAACGTATCGTGGGAAGCACCCCCAGCTTCTCGTCGCATTCTGTATAGTAACTCGGGGCTTCGTCAAACGCGTAATAACAAGTCTATCTAGTCGTTCTGAAAACCGACCCAGCGTCAGATAGCCCGCCAACCGAGAACCAAGAGGAAATAAAAAGTAGAAAAGCGCCTTCCCAATGTCCGGTCAGGAAGCCCACCTCCGGGTTTGCATTATTATATCGTCGTCGTCGTGAGGAACATAACCGCCACTGCCGCCACCACCGCCAATGGATTCCAGGAGAAAGAATACGGATGAGGTATTCGCGTGTATAATGCAGTTCTGCTATAGACCAAGAGACTGTGTCTCTGTCTTAAGCGAGATAACCAAGTTCGTCGTCCTCTAAACGCTCCAGGTACTCCTTATCAAGAAGGATCTCGATGCACTTCTTGATATCGCTAACCTTGGGCACAAACCGTGACCTGATTTGAGTAATACACTCGGTAATCAGTAAGTTGTGCTTCATCTTCTTTCGCGCCTTCATGATCCTGACAATAGCAGACTATAAAACTAATTAGCACCTCGATTATAGATAGGTAACCCAGATAGTGTTGTCATTTTGGGCGAACTTGGGGGATAGAAAGGGGGAAAAAAAAGTATATATAAGACTTACTTGTAGGACCATTTGTCGGTCTTCCTCAATGGTTTTGTTGGTGTCAGCCTCTTCCTGCTTCTGCTCCGTCTTGGTACCAACGTTGAGGTTCACGCGGATCTTCTTGCTCTTAAAATCATAGTTAAGATGAAATGTCTTTCCAGGGCCAGGCTTCTCGCCTTCAGGCTTCATAATCAGTACTTTGGCTTTGAGGAGGATACCAAGGGCGGGATCCAGAACCTCGCTTGTCAGCTGGGTAACTGAGGCGATATCTTCGTACGAATGGGCATCCTTCGAATTGAACATTAGAAGAATAGCCATCTGGTAAACGCTCACTTGGAAAGTATAAGGCGTTTTTGATTGCCTACAGTACCCGGTCTTGAGCTCACCCTTACAAAGCTGCCACAACCAGCTTAGTTTACGCCCTTCATGCTTATTCTTATAGAAGAGGGTGAACCGATCAATGTCGGTTTGAATCTCGGCTGGAGGGTTGAACGTTGTATTAGGAGGTGTCAAAGGCCAGAAGCTGGTTCCAAGAATGGAGTACGACGAGTCGAGTGGTTGCTTCTCCGACTGCAAGCCCTTGGTATGCTCTCGGAATCCGGTATTAAGATCCTTGGAGATTTGCATATCCTGGAACATGCGCTGTAGTTTATTCGTATACTCGAAACCGCAGGCTTCCTTGAGTTTACTTATCATGCTTGTTTCGGCGTCGTCAGACGAGGAATTGCTGTGCACAAGTCGTCTGGCTAACATCCTCGAGTAGAACTTCTGGAATACATCCTTATCCTCAATATACTTGAAAACCGTCATAATCTGCGTCAGAGTAGCGTCGAGCTCAGCCTCTTCCACACCAGCGCCGCTTTTCCTAAGTAATACATCTGTATATTTGGCTAGAAGTTCAGGTGACTTGCTGCTTCCCGACTTGCAGATTTCGTTGCGGTTCACGAACTCTCTGCAGGCATTGTCCAAAGACCGTGTAAACTCAGGTTCATCGGCAAAGGCTCGCTTAACCAATCCTTGGTATCGGGTATGTGTCTCAAGTAAAGCTTCCACGTAAACTTTGGGCTCAAGCTTCTCAGCATCCGAAGCAACCTTAGCCACCGCGTTAAGGCCCGCGTTGCGAACGTGAGCCTCGAACTTCTGCCGTAACGGTTCCAACCCATCTGGGATTCTAGATAGAAGGTTGTACATACGGGCCATATCTTCCTCTCTGTCGTTATCGAGGAGAACTTGAAATTCATCTTTTAACATTGCGGCATGGTCGGCAATCAAGGCCTTGTTGCATGTCTTCTTCAACGGCAGTGCTATGTCGTTGTGGAGGTACATGCGCACACGCTCTTCTTCTTCGGCTAGTCGGGCTTCTGCCTTCTTCATGTATTCTACGACGCTGTTCTCGGCGACGAATTGCTTAGATTCGGCCTTGTAGAATTCCTCGGTCGCTGCGAGGAATGGCTTCTCGAAATGGTATCTGTAGGTGTCGAGAGTCGACTTAGTAGCGTCGTGCTCATCGAGACCGAGAGATACGAAAGAATCAACCACCTGCTTGATCTGCCTATGCTCAATAGTTTCCCCGTTCCTCTGCTTCTCTACGAGCATGAGCACGGCGTCCATAACCTTTTTGTTAACAAGGGTAAAGAGCTCAGTGCGCCACTGATATAGATGTAGGGTGTAGACATCATATGTATTCTTTTTCCCTTCGTCCATTTCCCGTTTGACCCAATGCCGGTTAAGATATCGGAAGAGGTGGTGGATGTACTTGGCGGCGACCGTGTATCTATTCCATTCTCTGATGTAGAATGCGAGTAAGGCCTCGTCAGCATGTCCTTTGGATTGCTCATAGATTCCATGGAGATGGTTGTTGAGGTATTCTTTCAGTTTCTTGTAAAGGTCCTCACCGAGGAGATGCGCTTCGCCCAAGTTAGCGGGAAATTCGTGACTTCGAGACGGGTTATCATTACCTCCCCTATGAGCTTGTCCTACGGCACCGGAATTACCTAGTCCAACGGCTTTTTGCGATGTGCAGAAGTTATGAACAGCTCTATCTCTCGGGTCAGCAAATGTACAGTTAGGTAACAGTTAGGTAGCAGTCAGGAAGCGAGTCTAGGAGACTTACGTGTAAATGCCCATATACTAGCGAAGAGGTTAGCAAAAGAAAGCCATGCAAGTAGTACACTACACTATACTACACTACACTGGTAGGTTGGAAGGTTGGAAGGTTGGAAACTTACAGTGGCCATATCCATTCCATCCTGCAAATTGATCATAATTTTAGAAATACCACTCTGAAGGTATTCCCATGTCTGGCCGATATCCTCTCGGTTCGGCGCCGAGGGCATGGGTCGTGTTGTGACGGACATGATGGCTAGGTAGATTCAGATATCGGGAAGGGATATCCCTCGAGGAGGGTACGAGGCGTAGGCTTATCGACAAACAGGCAGAGAGTATTTTCGGACGAATATGAAGATGGGACTCGGGATCTATGTAGAGGCGAATGTCAAAACTCAAGTCAGCCAGCAATGGACGAGAACGAGAACAAGACGATTGTAGGGTGGCGCGGTAATCGGTCGTGTGTATAAGCGGGAAGCGTATCTATTTGCAGTTTATGCTAACGGGAATTGGGACGAGGCTCTGGGGAAGGTTTTTGTTTTTGTTTTTTTGTTGTTGTTGCGGTTGTTTATTTTATAAGGCATAATCGTCGGGAAGATAAGGCAATCATCAAGGCAAACAATGCACGTACATTGTCTTTGAAGTAGGTGAATCTTCCAGACTCGTGACCCTTGTTTTATTTAAGAAAGGCTGACTATTTGACGGTGGGGTTAGCGATGCGATGATTTAGGGAGAAAAATAAAAACAATGGGTTGAAAGAGACTGACACTAGAACAATAGGAAAGTGAAAGTAAGTCACAAGAGAAATCAAAAGATGTTGAAATCTGTTGTCAAACCAGTCATCACAGCTACAGTGAGAATTGGCAGTTGGAGTCGATTTCAGGTTGCCGCATCACTTAGGTAATTGTTGTTAACGGGTGTAAGGCAGACACTGCAAAATGACCCGGTCTCTTTTTCTCAAGGCTGCCGAAACCTTAAGGACCCGCTAACCGCCAAGAACGGATTAGCGTTTCTACTGATTGCCAGTCTCCGCCCCCACCTCTACAAAGTACTTACCTTAGGTACCTAGGTACTCACCTCAAGCTTACCTAACAGAGGGAGGTTAGGTAACATACGACTATGAATGAATTATTGTAAGTTAAATGAATGAAGTTTGGATAACTAACTGGGTATTTTATTCGTCCAAGACAATTTACATACCTCTCCTGAGGTATACGAAGTGCATTACAGAATTACAGAAAATACTTACCCAATACACACACACACCATCACATCAAGCTCCACGAATGCTTTTCAAAGCCGTCAGAGGTATATAATAGCAATAATCATCATCATGATAATTATAATAATTATATGATATATATACAACATTATCATATTGGGGTATATTCCTCTCCCTATAAGCTATTAACCTAACTCATTTTTCGTTTATGTTATCCATCCCGCCGAGCTTTTCTGCCAGTCTGAATACATTAATAGTGAAATTCAGAATCCAGGCGATCAACCCTACCAGCGTCAACGCCGCAAGACCCCTAGCCAAATGCAAGGACACCCTCTCCGTCGCCGCCCATTCGGCATCCGTCGACAGGCCGTCCCCACTATGGTACACCAACGCCTCGAAAGCCAACGCCGTACTAGCGGATTTCAACACGATAAAAACGAGGTCCAAAAGCGTCAACGACACCTTCTGAGCTGGTGCTCTAAGTCCTAATGGTTTCCCCGTATATTCGTCCCAAGTCATATATAAAATATATGGAATCGCCAAAGCGTCAATGACTATAGCTACAATCGCTTGCGAGGTTTCTGAAATGTTATCGTCAGGAGTTTCTGGATTTTTCTCCCTTTCAAAAATATTTGTTGCTACAGCGAGACCTGCGATCGTGGTAATCAAGACGATTAGACGGAATATGAGCGGCGCTATCGGATGCCGCAATACAAAGTTGGAGATCTTCATCCCCCACGTATCCTTCCTAGACATTCTCTTGGTCTTGGGATCCAATGGATGAAACGGACTCCGTACGGGTTGGTCGAGGCCTGGCATTAGCTCTTGGAGTGCCTGGTAGGGTACTACCTCGTACTCATCATCAGGATTCCGGCCATAGGAAGACGAGTGGATGAAATCTCGCCATCTTTCGTAAGGGTCTTCATTAGGTGCTCGATAGCCAAGTCCCATAATAACCGGCTCTGCCGTGCGTAGATGATCCCATCGTCGCCCTGGCTTGTCGGCTCGTTTCCTCAAGAACACGGGGAGTTTAGATACATGGTCGTGTCTTTCGTCGACCCATTCAACGTAGCCATCCTTCGATACCCTCCGTTTTAATTGGTGGTTTGATCTGTTCTGTTCCGGGCGGACAGTTGGTGGGGGTGGACTGATATGTTTTCCCTTACTCGGCCCATGAACGTGCTCATCGTACAACTCCACCCAAGCGGGCACAGTGGTCCGCAAAGGATTTCGGGTCATCGCGGTGCTCGGCGCGGTAGAGGCATAGGGATGCGAAAAGTTAAGGATAAAGGTGGCTGAGCAGGATGGCAATGGTGGAATAAACTGACAAAATTGCTAGTCATCGTCCTACATACTTAGCTTAGGTATGTCGTCAAGACGCGGAAGAGGTGGGGGTGGTTGGGTAGATTAGCGCGTTGAGTAGAGAAAGAACCGCTCAGGACCACTCCAAAACGTTGGCAATGCAGGGTATATATACCTACATAGGTAGCAGGTAGGTTATGACCGTGCCGGGTCAGTGTACGTATATACACTACGGCTTTCCGTAAGCGCCGGCTTCCATTAAACTTTTGACATCAACTATGTATGGCTGATCGCCAACGTTGGATGCCGAGTGTGGAGCAAAGCGCACAGCCAGAAGACGAGCAAGGACAAAGCGAGACTTCAATTGATGCGGGTAATGTAGATAGAGAAAGTAGGGAGGTTGGTATGAAAGAATGGTAACTTAAAAAAAAGTAGATAGTTAACTAGTCGATAAGGTCTCATAAACAATCCAATAACACACAATAGACAATATCAAATTGTCGTGAATATAGGGAAGACGGAAAGAAGAAAAGAAAGAAAAAAAAATCCCCGAATATATAAAATGGTTATACGACAAACACGTTCTTCTTCTTCTTTTTTGTGTTTTCGTAGTAGATATGTAGGAGGAAGAGCAGCTGAAGAAGTCAAATGACAGAAAAGTTACGATAGCTTTTAATAAATTAAAGCCCACTTCAAGTACAACAGCACTGAGGACCGCGTTGTCCGGGCCCCGGGGAGATTACCAGGATGTATGGAATACATGGAAAACATCGTATGTGAGATGGGGCCATATGTACCTACTACATGAGGTAAATGGTCTTGGTGCTATCTAGGTACCTTAATCGCAGGGAGACTTTGTGGATCTAGAGGTAGATCTCACATAATACCTCTAGTGTATTACCTCTAGTGTACATGCAAGCCACAAAGCCTATCCCTGCGGACATGCGTCACCAAAAAGCATCTCCATTTGTTACCCCAAAAAAAGTGCAGGGCCTCCTACGCAAAACTTGCTCTAAGATTCGACAAGGGTCCGAAATCTATAATTTTTTAACGTCATTGCTAAGCCTCTTGAAAACCTCATCGAACGTGACGACGATGACTCCCACAAAGGCTACAGACAGGTGAGGTAATCGAGGCTTCATTGCGACTTATTTTTATTTTTATTTTTTATTTATCCTTTTTATTCTAACCCATTTCCTGTCGCTGTCCTCGTGCTGCTTCTGTCGCAAACCTTCCGCAATACACAATATCAACCCCCCTCCTCACCTCGCTATAATGAGATTCTTCCTCCTCCCCATCTCAACTCGGCGAACTCTACTATACTGCCAAAGACTTCAATCCTTACCAACAAACAAGCAGACCCTTATTGATAAGGCTCCGGCTCGTGCCGCGCAGCTTTGGTCTAGCTGGGAGAAGAAAGAAAGCGGTTGGCAGAAGAAAGTTGTCGACTATGGTAACTCTCTATTAAGGAGGATCTCTTACGAGGAATGGGGCCTCAAATCGGTACCTCCTCTATCCACTAGACGAAGGGAAGAGGAGATCCTAGGAAAAGAAAAGAGCCATCTTATTTACCCAGAGACCCTGATCCCTTCATCAAAGGCTGTAAGTGTCCTTCGAAACCTCGGCACAGAGCGGGAAGCGTTACATAAAACTCGGTTAATATGGTGCCTTATTGGGATGCCCCTTAGTGCACCGTTTGCTCTCGTACCTGTGTAAGTGTACCTAACCTACTATCTTGTCCAGTGACACATTATACTTTACTTTCACAGGCTTCTAATCAACATGACATTAGAATCCCCAATCTGCCTTTCTTTTATCTAGCGTATCGAGCTTGGTCGCATTGGCGAGCTTTCGCGGGCGGCAAGCACATCCAGTTTCTTTGCGACAAGAATATCTTGGCTTTATCTCCATCACCAGTCCTCGACTCGTTCTACACTCCACTTCTCCCCGACTCTCCTACGACGAAAGAGCAAATAGCAGACGTAGATAAGGCGAGCTCGTCAACTGCTAGTAGTCCTAAAGAGTCTGCGGAAGAACGAATGCTACTCTCGCAGGAGCATGGGCGGCAGCTCGTAAAGGCGTTGGACATACCGGAGCTCCAAGTTGAACTGGAACGGGCTATTTGGCAGGTCGAGTCGGCAATACAAAAAGAAAAAGAGAAGCCCAAAACAAACGACACGGAGAAACGACAATGATCATGACATCAATAAATAAATACATCATCTCGGGAATACTAGTGACGATAGGGTATTGCATAATGGCAAAATTACGAGTTCATAGATAAAAGATACCCAGATTTGGTTTGGGAGGGAATAGACAAACCGGCCTCGCTCTTCATTGCCATAGCATCCGAGCAGCAGACAGGATTTCGCAACAAAAGAGTCCTCGCATGAAGAATAGATATGAGTGTCACGTTCGCCATACCTGAGGTATACCGATCACACGGATTGCCAAGAGGACCCCAGCGATGCAAAAGATCCCCATCGTCGCCATTGACCGCCACGTCGTCAGCATGTGCAAAAGCTGGCATGCTTCCCGTAGCGAACCGCCCTTATAGTCCCCAGCAGCAAACGCCTGCTTCTCCATATCCATTTTTCGCATACCTTCGTCGAGGTCGAAGTTATAGCATCCCAAATCCGCCCGTAAATAGTATTCCGCAACGGTACCGATAGGACAATAGTCTTCTTTGGACTTCGCTGTCACCGCGACGGCCTTGGCATTGCGTGCCGTTTGCAGGCGAGTCATGGCTGTGCCATCGTCACGCGAGGACATCAATCTCCACGCTACTTTCGCCTGTCGGCGTAGTAGTATCTGTGTCGGGCTCTGTTCGCGTCTGGCAACTTGGGGGTAGTATATCCGCCTACGCCGCTTCGATGTATCTTGCCTCGACGGGTTCAAGGGCGAGGGGATTAGGGGCGCGTATTGCTCTCTTAGGGGCATGCTCCAGGAAGCCATTTCGGTATCTTCGAATTCGGGCTGGCGAGAGCAAGCGGGAGCGAGAGAAGACAAGACCAGGTTGGAAGACGGGATGGAGTTAAAAGCCACCGGACAAAGAAGATAAAAAAGGCCCGAGGACTCCGATAGCGATATGCGTATGTGTGTGGTTTGGTGGTACCGGCGGGCAGCGGGCTAGATCGCTCTGTTGTCGAGTTTTATGTATTACCTCCCTTACTTCCACATCTGAGTTTAGGCAAAATCATAACTACATTTCTAGATGCGTAGTTGCGTAGTTGCCCTCGACGAAGATATTTGGAGTTTATATCGCAGTATGGGAACAGACATGGGCATAGAGGGAAGAACAGTTGTTCGATAACTGTTTTTCTAAAATCACAACGAGGAAAAGGAACTTTTATCTATTAAAATCGCGTGGGGTTTTTAAGAGGTGGCTCGAGTGTCAACAATATTCGGGATTGGCTTTGACCCTTTTTGTTGTTGTGTCCCACTCTCATACATATTTCTAAGGAGTAATTTAGGTACCTGTCATTCGCTTTTCCTTGAGGACACGGTACCATGGTTACCATTCGTTGCCAAAAGATAAACCCGGATCGGGAAATACTCAGCTCATCCGCCCAGGAAAAAAAAAAATTCACCAACAAGAATTGAAGTGTTTCTTGGCTTCTACATGCATACGTCTCAATTGAGCTTACGATTTATCCTTCCCGTATATTCGTACATCTATTTACTTTACGATAGGAAGTAAATACAGCTGTGGAATAACATCAGAATAAAGGGCGTCAAATCCAAAAGATTAAACTGCCATTGTTACGCGCCAACTTACCAGGATCAACTAAAAGCCCAGGAGAAAAGATATGCGGCTCCGAAGTTCGGGGATAGATTAGGTATGAGATGCCGTGCCCTTGGTTGGACTTGTGTCTGTTCTACACGACCGAATGCATTCAACCACGATTGCACGACGATACATATACTAGTGCTGTCTGCGTAAACTCGACGTCGCACCCCAAAGGGGTGCTGCGCTTTAATTAAGGAAACGGGCAAGATTAGGGATTCGATCCGAAGTACCTCCGAACAAGTGTAATTTCTACGCGTTTTAAAGTATTTTCCAACATTCATAAAATTTCATAAAGTTTTGATGTTTCTCTTCCGCTTTTAGCAAGTGACAGGGATCGGAATAACTTCTTACTGGTATTTGAAGTCTGGTACGCTACCTTAATTACTGCCCGATTTCCTAATTAAAGCGCAGCACCCCTTTGGGGTGCGACGTCGAGTTTACGCAGACAGCACTAGTATATCACTTAGGGTCATCTCAAGCGAACAGAGTTGGTGCGACATAGACCTTGACCGGTTTCTAGAGATTCGCGACCGAGGCGGGCACTATCGAGGCATGATATCTGTGGACGGTGAGAACCTAGCGGGCGAGAAGTATCCATAGCTAAATGACTATCATCTATCTCCAATGGGTTTGGCTAGATCGCCATGGCCGGTATCGTCATTCGCAGGGATGTGGTCGCCTTTATCGTCCGAGTGCTTCAGGGAAAAGGATTCTTCCGATGTCATCTAGACCTAATATCTATCCAAACGAAAGCGGTGCATGGGAATATCATAGTAAGGTACGATTTGATAAGGGCGCTGGCTCCCTCTACATAGTAGCAAAGAGCGGATAAGACAGGGGGGCCCTGCAGTTCCTACACCATACTAGGTATGTATGTATAGTTCATCGTAGCAAATGGTACGCCGGAATCGCGCAAACCATTTCATGTCGTCGTCAAAGGTGATCTCAGCATGGCAATCTTAGACAATTTGTCAAGATAGGTGTCTAAAGGGGTGTTGCACATAATTACCAGAATCATACTTCGACCTGATTTCGCTCTTTCATAAACTCTGCTATCTGCCTTCCTCTTTCAGGCAATTTGCGAGTGATAATGCGGACGACCGTAGAATGACACAGCAGGTAAGCTCAATATATCCAAGCAGCTAGACATACTTCTACACATTATCTGAATAGACAATTGAGCCTAGGGAAAGTTCAAGTGTCCTTGTCCAAGCATTATTCATGCAGATAAACTATTGGATGGAGCCTCGGGATGTCGATCATGCGGTTTTCAGTGTCAGAATATGTATCTAGGGAAAATTCTTGGCATGGGAATAGTCTGTCAGTCATCGGAATAAATTCAAAGTTCATCCAGTGTTAAGTGCCTAACTGCCTACCACTCTTCCGGTAAAATATGAAACGATCCCCAAGACGTCCTGCAAGATTAGCTCGTCCCTAAGGATCTACTCCGGATAGTGCCGTCCGAAGTCCGAGGTCTGCGACTCTGTGCGCGCATGTGGTATGGTCTAGAATAGTACCGATAACATGCCTTCCGAGTAGATCAGGGGGCACGATGTTCTTGTCTTGGGATCAAGGCAGTTCTCCTGCTCTTGCTTGATTGAGGATCATCTAGTGTTAATTAACTTGTGATAATAGAATACTCATCGCCAAGCTTAGGGAAGTTTCGACTATGGCGTTAGAGTAAAGTGTGCATGATCAGTAGGTATCACATCAATAAGAGGTAGAAAGTCACAGGAATGTGAGTTATTGGCACTTGAGAGTAAAGATATAACTAGGACACACCCCAACTCCCAAAAACCCTTAATATGCTATCATGAAAGCAAACCAGTTGCCGCTACGTCGTATAGTTTAGAGGTATAGTCTCTACAGGCCATGGTCCATTTGGCTGGTAACTAACAAGTAATAGCTGTGCTCCCTCATCCCACTAGTTTCTTCAGGCCCGTTTGAAAGTATGTTTTTCGACCCAAATGATACCTCTATGCAATGAACTAACATGACAGTTATAGCGGCGCATTTATTGGAATATCACCTTTATATAATACCTCATTGACAAGATGAAGCTTACGGCTGGTCCTCTTTTCACCATATTGGCATTGATTGCCTACTTGCCCAGCATCCTTGCCGTTGACGGACTCGCTGCGAATAGACGTTCGGTTGCCGTATCGAGTCAGGAGCTGGCTAACAATGGAACTGCCGCTGGGAACGACGCCGGAGCAGTGAATTCTGACCAGAACGAAGACAACAAGGATGGCGCTGGCCAGAATGGTAAAGAAAATAAGGACGGGAACGACAATGCGGATGAGGAAGAGAACGCTAATGACCAGAAAGATGCCGACAAGGAAAATAAAGACCAGAATAATGATAATAACGACAAGAACCTTGATGAAGACAAACTTAACAATGGAAATATCAAGGATAATCTTCAGCAGAATATCGGGAAACTCATGCTTCTGCTGGGTGTCTGCAACTTCGACCTCGGCAGCATCGGTGGTATAGGTATCGGGAACCAGATCCAGCTTCTTCTTCAACTCCAGCAACTTGCCCAACTGCAGCAACTTGGACTTGTTAACTCGTCCTCCATCGAACAGCTTCTTCGCCAGGAACTCCTCCTTAAGAACTTCAACCTCAGTGAGCTTCTTCCGACAAAGGCTATCTTGCAGGCGGCGTTTACTAATGGCGTCTAGGAATCATTAAGCGAACTGTCGATGCATCTGTTAAGCAGGCTGCCCGTGGGAAGGGGCGTACTATTGTGGCTAGGAAGGCGTGCCAAAATAAGGTCTAGGGGAGCTAAGAGGGCATACTGCTGGAGCACAGATTTGATCCTTCGAAGGCGAGGGGCCAACCATATCTTACCTACCTACCTAAGGTAAGATACTTAGCCTAGATATGGAATCATGAGTTCACCAGGTACCTACGTAGTTTTGGTGTTTATAATCTTCACTTATGCTATGGCACTTGTCAATAGGAATAAGTTGTTCGGTTAACGGGAACATTAATAAAGGATATAGTTGCAATATACTTGCCAATATTTTCACTCATCAAGCGTAAAAACTTGATGGCCTTCGACGATTTGCTCAAGTGATCCGAATAGGATACGATATTAACGCGGCGATTCTTATAAACATGAAAGAAAGCACGCGTCTCATCGCGCCCTGTTTGGTATGAATATCGAGCCAGAGGTATCAATGTATGTGATGCATTGTAGTAGTACCCACCATATGTTCTGCACCAAGTTCGGATAGATCGAGTTACGGCATGCTCGTAGCTTGGCCTATCCGTCCACGGTAAACATGTGTAGTATATGGCCATAGCTTAGTTCCATGGGTGTTGCATCTGTAACACATCCGATATCTAGGAATAGGCTAATGCCGTGCCGAGAGATCTCTCGGAAGTGACAAAGACCCCTGTTAATCTGGGGTTGAAAGGTGTCAAATCGAGTAGCATTACTCTATGATTGGCTGGTGTCAACATAGCTCTGAGCATGATGGCATTATATGCAGTTCCCCAGTACACTATCCGGAAGACTGAATAGCAGGTTCCGATAGGGATACCTTCGAAAACCCGAACCCAGCTCTATGCTGTTGTCATGAAAATGAACCCTGCGTTACATCCCTGTCGTTGTTAAAGACTTGCCAAGAACTCAATATTATAACTTCAACTCATCCTCATCAAGCCTTCATAATAGCTTTCATGATATGCAAAAACCAAGTAGGACAAGAATATGTAATTCAAAGTAGATCCCTTTCTTTACTATAATGTTAATCAGAAATTTTAACAGTTTGTGATGCCACATCTTCTTATCAGCAGCAATGACTGCAGAAAACGATATCGTTAATCCTTGACGACGATCAAGCGAGTTGTTAAACTAGTTCAATGTAACGGCGTCAAAGAGACACAAGCACACGCGCGGGGAAAACCTGCGATAACGAAAGTATATCTCAAGATATAGTACATGACAAGCGATTAGCATAGTCAGATCTCGTCCCACCTGAGGCTATTTAGACTAACCCCTCCGGATGCACACTTGATCGACGCATTGGGATCCGGCGAAAACCCTTCCCGGAATTCTCGATGGCACTATGGATCAGGGGGTTTTACCATGAAGGTTCTTGTCTATGCGAAGATGTTGTCACTACAGCATCCTCAGAGCTATTTCTGCCAAGACATTCCCACGAGCTTTTGAGAATCTCCATTCCGGATATGCCCCATCGACCTGGCGTGTTTTACTACTTGCACATCCGCCCAATCCTGTCTACATCCTGACACGCACCGGAACTCTCCTTCAACGATGTTCCGAATTACCATTGTGCCTTCAGAACCTTGGCGTTGTTTCTGGACTTCCTGATATCCGATCAACATGCTATGTCATCTCATATATAATTTGACATGAATGTCATCCAGATCAGCTTCTTTCTCTTAGCCATCCTACCCACCAATCTAAAGATATCTTCAGTCCTTTCAACCCATCCTCTCATTCATTCCTTCAGAGGTAAACCATCAGCTTCCCTTTCTCGACTAGTTGACTAGTATGGACTAACATTCGAATAGCTGTGCTCGTTGTTCGCTTCATTCTTTACATACACTCATTAGAACTTTCGAGGTAAGTCGAATAACAGCAAATGTTTATGATTAAACCATATTGTTGGCGCTAAAGCTAACTGGTTCATACAGCTGTGCTCATATTATTTAATCTTTTAATCTTCTAACACTCATCATACCTATCCAACATGAAGGCCGCCACTATCCTTGCCAGCGTTTTCGCCGCCGTTGCCGCCGCAGCTCCCACCACCATCGCCACTCCCGAGAAGCGAGCCGTGGTGGACCTCGGCGCCTTCAACAACTTTGGCTTTGCCAACCAGGACTTGCAATACCTGCTTGCCATCAACCAGTTCGACCTGCAAGCCTTTGCTCAGCTGTCCGCCTTCAACAACCTGAACATCGGCAACTTCCAAAGCCTCTTCTTGAACGACGCCTTCGACATCAACTCGCTCCTCCAGCTGCAGCAGATCGCCCTCCTGTCCCAGCTCGGCAGCCTTGGTATCTTTGGGAACTTCGACCTCGGCTCCCTCCAGCTGAATGTCTTCAACCTCGGCCTCATCGGAGGCATTGGCCGTTTCGATATCACTTCTCTGATCGACAGCTCCCTTGCTCCTCAAATCCAGGCTATCATCAAGAAGACTGGTGAGTGCCCCTAAAGTGATTCCATAGTATGCATAGTGCTGACCACTGCGTTGAAGAAATAAGCGCTGTTGTCATCTAGGAGCAGAAATACCGCAAGGCTTCAGTTACTTCACCACTTGCAATTGCTGTAACTGACCGAGGTTGCAGAGTATGTATTTTATGGGGTTGAGGGATATGACAAGGAGAAGGGAGAAAGGAATGGCAGGGGGTAATATCTATAAATGATTTCATTTCATGTCAAATACAGCTGCTCTAATCAGTTTGGTAACATCATTACCAAGGGGCTGCCATTTATTGTCTCTTTACAGTTGTAGAGGATGTTACATAGAAAGTTAGTTTGAATATGAGAGGGTTTCGCTGAGGTTTCTGAAAGGGATTGTTATGCAGCTCAGCTTGACTTAGTAGGATTACTTATTTGCAGTGAACTATCTTGAACCATTTGCGCCGGGTGTAGTAGAATTATATTCTGGATTTGCATTGGAAATGTTTCGAGTTGACTTGTTAAGCTTTACTCAGCACTGAAGACTTCCAGAATAAGAGATTTAGTAGAGTGATGTCAAGGCGAGCTCGAAGCTCCAAAAATGATAGAAATTAGACATAGAGCTGTCAACCACTTTTCATAATTTCGTCTAATTATTGTACGTATTTATGGATAATAGAGTTCCATGGAAATTCTGCCAACACATACCTACCCTAGGTAGAGGCCCGATCTTATAAGAACGTAGTAAAGAAAAAGATAAGCAATGTCGTTTTTGGAGGAGCATATAAGTGGCTGTACGATGAATGATCAACCCAGTCATGATGAACCGGGGGAGCCTTCGTTTTAACCCTTAATGGTTAACCAAGATAGGGGCAATGACATATGAATCGCTCAACCAGTCCATAAACAACCAAAGAAGAATAGACTTCAGCTGGATAAGTACATGTGGCCCTAGGATATGAACACAATCTAGAGCCTAGACCCCCTTTTATCGTAAGTGATACCGATACAGATGAATGCTTTGACTTGTTGAACCGCTTAAAGGGGTGTTGCTACTCATGAGACTCAATCACCTGGCGAAGCATCAAATATCTGTCCATTACTTTACAAAGGTCAGTTTCTTTAAAAACGTTAACTATGAGTAGTCGAGATATTTAAGAATATCTGCATGCCATATGGCTTACCTCTTACGCCCGGTTTCTACTGATACATAAGACAGAGTCACGGGTATGTATAATTGAAGGAACCCCCGGATAAAGATACTGCTGGGGTAAAATAGGGAGTGGTTCTCTTGACAGCAATTGTCTCATCTCAGGGGTACAGCTAGATATCAACCCCGATATGGTGCCACCATGGCGGTGTTCCATAAATAAGATATCTCTGGCGTGTATACGTATACCTATCCATGTTCGAATGAAGACGGCACATAAGAATAATAAGTATAAATTGGTAAACATGGCCCTACAGCTATTTCCTTGCCGATGAGCCAATCACAGGTTATGTTGTCTCGATATCGGATGCTGCAGCGATCTTCGCTTATATGCAGGCCCTGGAACTACCGGCATCTCACCTACGATGATATTTAGTCACATACAGCCTTATCGACCCCTTTCTAGATCGTGGGATGTAGTCGCAATCGTCTATTTGGGTTGTAATAGTTTGAGTTTATGGAGGCCTCCTAGTGGTGTTGCTGAGGTCGTCGGCTTTGAGACCTATGGCTAAACCCTTCTAATCTGCGAGGAACTCCAAAGGTGGGAAGGCCAATCCTGAATGATTTTAAAGGCGGCCAGTTCGTATCCCCCAGTCCCATTTGATGTAGGCATCGCTACATACTTCCCCAGTCTTCATCGAGGGGCTTGGTACCATCTCGTAGTACCCAAACTGTTGAATAAAAGAGGCGGTCTCAATCGGGGCCGATTTCTTACCGTCGATGCATTGTCTATCACTGTGCCCAATGGGCCTACTGGCCTACCACTTATGCCCAACGCGCGCTATCAACTTTAGCTGCGCCGTCAGCACTTATTGCGCAGTTGATCGAAGCACTGATTCGGTGCTTGACGCCCAGTAAAATTTCATAGCCGGAGTTTCCAATGGAACGAGTGTCATGAAAACATAGAGGGAAAAAAAACTGCCTTTCACAAAACGTCTTTCTGCATCTTCCCGCATAGCATCCATAAGATAGGAAAAAACCGTTAGCCATTCTTGGCTTCCGCTTGGACGTGGGGGCCATTGGTCCTAGAGGAAGCCAGATGATCGACGTCGAGAGGGAATGATCTACGAAGCTAAGGAAGAGACCAATCTGAAATGTTATAAGCATATCTTGTTATGGAGGTACCCTGGCTGCCCTAAAAAAGATCATACCCTCCCTCCTTTAGCGTAAGGGAAGAAACTCAACTCGGCGTTCTAAACCGTAGGACTACATGTACGGTATCAACGGCTTAGATAATAAGAAGAGTATTCCTTTTCTTACGGATGCTGCGGTGCGAGGTCTCAGCCACCGTGCGAACGCGTCCAGCTGTAAGGTAGTGCCTCTCGCTTGCATAAAGTCCGCGAATATATCTACCTAATTTATTAAGTCTACGAGTCATGGGTAAATTTAATAAAGGGGCGAGACTCGAGAGAGGAAGAGCTTCTCGCTTGAATAAGTAGTAACATATTTGGCCTGATAGGTATTGACAAAAACTGATACTAAGACTCGGAAGAGTTTATATAACTACTTCGTACCAACAACCTGTTCATGACGTGATGTAAGGGTCTCGGTCCCCAATACGTCCAATAACTCAGTGCGAGTCTCGGCATTAATCCCGGGCTTCGCCGCCCCACGTCCGGGAAGAAGCAATAGGGCAGTAGGGCAAGTTATTGACATTGACAAGGCAAGACCCCCAAAAGGCCGTAAGCAAATACCCGCACTAACTGTCCTCCCTATCCTTTCGTATTTCTCGGTTTCTTAGGTGGAGCCCCCGCGTAAGACGTATCACTTGTACGAGCTAATCCGAGAATCCTCCATCGGGGCAGTGCAGCGTTTGCGATTTTTCGTAATTGGTTATGTACGGTAAGCATGAAGTCAACCCCATGAAGTCGTTACCATGAGCTTTGCGGTTTCCTAGGCTTTTTTTGGTGGCTGGAACAAAAACCACACGACCTTGGCCAAAGTCCATCGGTGCTTAACCATAGTATCTTCCTTCCCATCTAGTTAGCCATTTACTCTCTTCCACAATCCTCCTTCGTTTGTAATAGGGTAGTATTTTTTTTAAATTTTTTTTTTTTTTTTTTTAGATTTGTGAATCAAAGCCTTGTTCCAGTCTTCATATACTTTTGTGGCTAGTTCTGGGCTCAAGATCCTCCATCACTCGCTATGCGGCTTCATTATATGTTACTGGCCTTCGCGGCGAGCGTTACAGCAGAAAGTACGGCACGACCTAGACGATCCGACGAGAGCGGGTTAACGCTTAAATCCAGAAAACACGTCGATTCCTCCCAGCTGGTAGAGGCAAGGTTCGCTTCTGCTGACGATGTATTTGTACCCGGGGGTCCACTACAATGTAATCCCACCAGTGACGAGTATAACGTCAAGGATTGTAGAAATTACATCAAACACCAACAAGAAGAAGTTGAAGAAGCAAATGACCGTCAGAAGAAAGATGGTGATGACGACGACGACGACAAGGAGAAGGGCCACAGTAAGGGGTTTAAAGTAGGAGTTACAATGGGCTGTTTATTTGGGCTTTTATTCCTTCTAACCATATGGTATTTCATCCGCATCCGACCTAGGAGGAGGGCGCGGATCCTAGAGCAGCGCAGGAAAATGGACGAACTCGGAAGCGGCTATGAGTTCTCTGCTCCGGGCACACATCTGCCAACTCGGGCAGCCCAATCTATGCCCGGCAGCCAGAACCCGTCCCATCAGAACGTCCGATTCCAACCTACGCCTTATCCGGGCAATGTGCCGTCCCCATCGGTAACAGATTCGTCAATATCCGGCCTGGCCCTACCCACTCCGGCCCTTACCTACTCGCCGACTGGCACATCCACCACCACCGCATCCCCCTTATCGCCACTGCCGCTACCGACGGCTCACGCGTCGAGCGACGGGCCTCCCGCGTACACGGCGGTGGCAGCCCTCCAGTCCTCCGAGCCGCAGCACGAAGCGAGCGCGTATCAGATGGGCCAGACTCCTATGCCGATGGACCCGCCACGGTATGATGTGACGGAAACACCGAGGACTGCCCTTATGGATATGAAAGGACAACCCGTGGCTCGATACTAAAGAATGATGTGTATTATGGGTAGAATGCAGAGCGTGTAGGAAAGGCTGTCAGTTAATTTCTGCGGGCGAGGGGAGTTTTTAAAGTTCCGAAATCCTATTATAGATATCCTCTAATATCTAGGAGTTTGTTGTTATTATTTTTGGGCTGCTATGTAACTTGTATTTAGAAAGGATGTCAATTTTTAAGGAGCGAGTTACACGGGAGAGTCATCAATTTTTTTTCTGGGGTTTTCTATGTCTGTTGAAAGAGAAAGAGAAACAGAGAAAGGGAGAGAAAAAAAAGCGATAGTTCTGTTTCTCGCTACAAAATAAATGTCTGTAAAATCCCCTCGAACATAATCATAGCGATGGATGGATGATACGATAATGTCCGTTTCCGCAACTCCCGATTTGATTCGATTTGATTTGCTGGTTTGATTGAATGAATCCTAGACCCGACCGAAAAGTTTCAAGTTACAGAGCGTCCTGAGACTTTAAGAGAAGAGGAAAAAGAGAGGGAGAAGAGAAAAAAACCATACCCAAGTGTGATGATGATATTAATGCAGAAAGCCTACTCGAATAAAATAACTCGTGTAAATGTGCTGCTGCACGAACGTATTGATGTAGATGGTGATACAACTTTGCCATAAAAAATAAAAAGGAGATCCGTAGAAGATCCTAGCAAAACCATGCCATATCATGTCATGTCATGTTATGTCATGTTATGCGTCTTTCATGAACTATCGTCAACACATGAGCCCCTAAGTACGGGGAAGGAAAAGAAGAAAAAAAAACGTTTCCTCTCAAGTAAAAACAAAAATAACCCATTTGCCTAACATCATCGTCGTCATCATCGAATCTACCTACGCAACGAGTGTGTGTGGATCCTCGACGTGCTCAACCCATTCGTAAACGCGGTGCATACCGCGTCCAGGACCGGTGAGACCGGCGAGAACGGAATCTTTAGGCGATGTTGATGCGGCGCGCTGCCGGTGTCGGACTCGGGGTCCAGACTCGTAGAGGGCCGAGTCGTCCATATAACCGCGTGCGGAGGCTCGCCTGGGGAGCATCCGCTCGGACATTCGGCTGGCCCTCGGGATCTCGTATAATTCTTCGTCGTCTACGGTATGCCTGCGCATCATAGGGGGTGTGGGTATAGGGGCTTGAGTCGGTAGTGGCGGCGGACCCATCGCTCGAGGAGGAGCCGGGGGAGGTGGTATGGACTGTCCGAAAGGTTGGTGAGTCGGAGCAGGGGTTTGACGCTGTTCGAATCGGTCGGCGAGACGTCGCTCCATCGAACTGGCACGAAGTCCACGTGCCCTATTCACTCCAGTAACATAGTCCGCCACTGAACCTGCCGTCCTTTCAAATGGTCCTACCGCCGGCGGTGCGGGAGCTGGTGGTGCAACAACAGTCTGTGCGCGACGTCTAAAGGGTTGATTCATATTGAAGGGTGTCGCTGTGTTGGCAGCGTTACCGAGGCCCATACCGTCGTCTGCAGGATCCATATATTCGTCCTCGCTGTCCTCGAACTGAAGTCTCCGCGCCAATTCTTCGTCCTGTTGTTCCTGAAGACGTCTACGGAGAAGTTCCTCATTGTAAGGGCTTGTTCGAGCTCGTAGGCTAGTAGCAGGCGAGCGTCTACTATCGAAGCCCTGCGCAGGAGGAGCACTCCTGAGACCCAATCGCTCGCGATCTATCATCGGTTCCGGGATCTGCATATGGTCGAGGGCTTCGGCGTCGGCACCTTCATAGTTGAACCATGGGCATTCACAAGTCTTCCACTTCAACCCACAAATCATACAGAACTCGGCACCGCAACGACTAAGCCTTCTAGTTAGAAATGAACAAAGTCGTAATCATAAATAAATAAAGAACAATGCCTTACCAAGTCATGTGATTACAGCCTTCTTTCAACTCTACCATATTCCTGCAGTTGTAGCAGCGCTGCCATCCCTCTTCCTTGGCTTGCTGTAGAATCTGGTTTGTCTCTTCATCAGCGGAACAGGGACTGGAGCCGTGCCATTTGTTGTTGCACTCGTAGCATACGCGAGTATGGCAGCTACCGCATCTGCCCACCTTGCGGCCGTTGCGGTGCAGCCGGATTTGGTCCGGTCTGATCCAGCGGCCGCATCTCTTACCCGGGCAGTACACGCGGTTCCGGGTGGAAAACTCGTGGAACTTGCGGTTCCAAGTCCTCTTGAAATCGATGTCGAACAGGTTCTCGACGTGCTTGAGCGGGATGCAGTCCGACGTGCAGCACCTCGGCGGCATCTGCGCGGGGTCTTTGACGGAGAGCTTGAAGCTGCGCTTGAGGCACGACTTGCACATCCGATGACCACACTTCAACTTGGCCGTCTTCGAAGACGGTAGGTCGTCAAGGCACACGATACACTCCACCCTACGTAAAAACAAAAGGTTAATAAATTAGGATTGGGTTATTTACCGGCGGGGCGTGCCGCTTAAAGTTTTCATTGTTCTGAAAAACTTACATCTTGGAGTGTTTTTCGGGAGGCGACTGGAGTCCTGGACCCACGAACCTATTCAGAAAAGGTGCAGAAGACATTGAGGAGGAACTCATACTCTGAGATGCCACATGTGAGCTGGGAGCCGTATGCGCCCGTGGAAGCGAAGGCTTCGTAGGATATCCCACATCCGATTCATAATACCTCCTTCGATGAGGTCTAACAAGATGGTTAGCTCAGTTTAGTGTTATGCAACTTTGACATAAAATTAAAACACATGATTAAATATTTTTTCAACGCTTACCGTCTCGATGAACTAGCTTCTGGTTCATCGTAAAAATCTCGATGACGAGCGCGAATCCGGGACGTGCTTCGCGACTCTACGTGCCCCGACCGCGGCACGGATTTAGACCTGTCCCGTAAACGACGGAGAGCAGTCTCGTATACGGGTTCATCATCGCTATCTTCTTCGTAGGCGGGCGCGGGCGCGGGTACGGGGGCGGGCCTTTCTCGATGGCTTGATCGCTGTCGTCGTCGGGGTACCCGGTCGACCGGGGGCGCAGGCGGGGTTAATGGGACCTGAACTGGTCTTTTGCGGGCTCGGCGCTCAAGCCTCTCATCATCGGTGGAATCCGATGACTCAGTGTCAACACTCGAACTTCTCGAGGAAGACGGTGATGGGAGCCTCGAGGTAGGCCTGGATCGATACAAGGGGGTGGATCTCGGCGGCGTCGATAGTTCGTAGGTCTCATCATCTCCGCTACTACTGGTCACGCTCCTGGTCATGCTCCTAGCCCTGGTCCTCGATTGCGTCCTGGGTCTAGATCTAGACCTGAGTCTCGAAATCATCTTCGCCTGCTCATCGTCGTCATCGCCATCTTCAATTTCGAGATATACCGCCCGACCTTTCCCGTTCCGAGATCCAACGGTGGCTGATCGGGGACGATTCAGCTTCTTGTTTGGTTGTGGAGGAGGCATTGGTGGGTGAGGGGTTGGGTCGCTTAAATCGCCGTCCTCGTCGTCGTCTTCGGACTGCGGTGCACTTGGCTGAGGATAAATTTTTAAATTTCTACCGGCAAACCTGTGTATTTCAGGTCCTCCGGGTCGGTAAGGCAGCGAATGGGGATTGGAATTATGCCGTGAGTCCCAATCATGGTGGCGAGATGGGGAGGGACTGCGTGTCTGGTGCCGACGCCTGGACCGCTGCTTGGCCGCAACATGCTGTGATTGTGCCATTTGTCCGTTGTGCCAACCCCGTACCAGGTAGGGAAGACCGTCTTTTGCTCTACTGCTTTTAGTGGGTTGAGTAATCCTGCCGGTATCGTGGGAAATGAACAGCTGGTTACTCCTGAATGGCTAGCTGCATGCACTCAATTCAGTGCTGATTGGGCTGTACGATTGCAGTATCAGGCGAAAACATCCCCAATAGACGTCAAAATCGTAGGACAATGATGCGTGATCGCACCTAATTGCGATTTTAATGACCTACGGAATCCCACACGATAACTAGACCGCGCTGTCGTGGGAAAAGAGATACGAGAGGTAAGGTAAGGTATGGAAAAAAAAAACCTGTGGAGGTGAGACAGGGAGAACAGGTGGTCAGGGCAAAATATTGGCTCTTTACCCGAACATGATACATGCCTACTACTGATACTGATGTTGATACTGTACTGTATCGTATTGTATTGTACAATACGATACTGGACCTATACGATGCCTACCTAACCTAACGTTAGGTAAGAATACAATTCTATTACTACCTAACCTAACCATACCTAACATAACCTATTACTTGTCTCCCACTGCCTCCGCCTTCGCTGGCTATTCCCCCTGCCCCTCTGTTTTTAACCCTCACCTGTGATCTTCACCTGGGGGTCATTGGGGAATGGCCCGAATGGTTGTTTGAGTGGATCTAAGTGGCCGGGAACCCCTGGAAAACGACTTCCCGTTGGTTGGACAGTGATTCTGGCGGCACAAGCGCGACTAAAAACCTGGCTTCTAAATGGTCCCCCTCATGCCAGATGCCCCTCACACATGTCAGTTCCAGCCCGTTCGTCACGTTGAGGAAGAAGAAAAAAAAATAATAATAAGTAATACTAGCTGGGTACCTGGTATGTAAGAGCTCTAGCCTCTCCCGTCGCACGCGGGTTTGGAAGAGGGACATCTCCTATGATGGACAATTCCCATCAAGTGACTCGGAGTAAATACCATTAAAAGCAGACAATCCTTCGTCACGAGTGCGTTAGCTTCCCTCCTGATCGTCGTCATCTATTCCAATAATCCAAGAGACCACCCTCCCAATGCAACGAAAAGGGGTGGTTGGATGATCAGTTATCAGGTAGGCAAGCAGGTGTTGAGTTACACAACAAAAAACGTATCCTGCGATAGATCACAGCTCGCTGTTCGCTACTCGCCCCTGATATACCTCTAGGTTAGGTTAGGTAGCTAACATACATAACATATTAATGATTACCATGGTTCCTGACGTATGATCTAGGTGGATTCAGGGCGTTCTTGCTTGTGCAGCCTGCCTCGATTCCCGCGCAGGTGTTACTAAGTTGCATACGTATCTAACACCGCATTGCCTATTTGGCCGGTCAGTACTACTACATCAGGCAGCAGAAAGAATTCTGCTGTACAACAACAGCAGGTTTCCAGAGTTCCATCTACATATGTAAAGCTGGTTCGACCAACCAGCCCTGTGCAGCCTCAAGCCTAACGGCTCATTTCGTGAATCTTTACCGAAAATATGCTGGGGAATTATACATGCGCTCCCAAAACCCCATTTCGTCGTTGTACCTACTATGCCATGTAATAACCCAGTGGTGTCGCTCCCGACCCTAGCGTAACCAGGCACTTCAGCTTTGGCAACTTGCATATGTAGGCCTAACTTACGGTAGTCTATCGACACCATACCAACCTAGCAACCTGAAGTTTTCATTCTCCGGTTCAAGTGAACTATTTACTTGGTTAGTTTCCAGAATAAGTGCGATCGATTGATCAATAAGGAAGTTCGATCCTGCTCGAGTAACTGAACGTAAAGCAAAATATAAGAACCGGGAGTTCCGTCGCCCGTCGGTGCCGGCCGTACGGACAATTACAATTAGACTAACCGATCGATAGATACTAAGCCCAATTGAGATACGGCAACATTGCTATGCCATTGATTGACATTTTATGCTTAGGTATTATTAGGTAGGTAGTGTATAACAACAAACCCCAATCAAGCATTCCATGAGTTATTCAGTGGCAGGTTGCTCGAATCTCTGGATTTTTCAGAACTAAAAAGACTATTGAATTAAGACCCTGTCTAAATAATGAGGTATGAGTATTAATTCTAATTAGGGAACTCCATAGGAGGTACACTCATATATTAACAAGAAGATTTTAAAGTCACTTTTAGAACGTAGTCTAGCGAGTATTTCAGGAAAGGGTATGATCATTTCTAGAAGCCAATAATCTTTCTTCAACGCATCTGTATTTAATGCTAGTTTAATATAACCCATTGAGTCCAAGTTGCAGTATATTGTGTTTCACAAACAGTCGATACAAGAATTCAACTAAGCGCTTATTAAGACAGGAGTCAGTTTTACAACATCGGTTGTTTAATACTTAGGTAGGTAGGTACCCAATGTGCTTTAGCTAAGCGATGAAAATACCACGTCCAGGTTCGCTAATAAATCGCATGGATGGCCCTTCAGCTCATGGAAAAGGTTGTACGAAGAGTGCAATACTCTTGTATCCTAGACATACCCCGAATTGAGCAAGCGTTCCTATCATCCGCTATAGAATGCCACTGCTATGAAGGTATAGCTTAATATTTACGGCTAGCCGCCGCGTTATTAACTTCCTTCACCCTGCGAGACTCTTTACCCGCGGCTATAAAGCTGCTGAGTCGAATTTGTCGAAAACAGGCTTGGTAACTAAAGCGAAGAGCTCCTCGCGAAGGTCCTTGGGTCTAATACCTATAATACCCTCGTCACTCTCGCCCGGAATTACCAGGTGCTTAATCGTTGCCTGATATCGCGCCTTTCCCCATCATCTCCTTCTTCTTCACTGTCGCCCTCACTATCTCCATTGTCCAGGTGCATCGGAAAGGCTACTAAACTCAGATATAAGGTCTGACGAAGCTTTGTTTTCGTCATATGATAGGCGGCGCTGTGGGTATCGAGGTCATAGAGATGGCGGTGAGGTTTCCATTTTTTTCTATTTCATTTCCTTATGCTATTGTGTATGGAAACACTTTTCTATAAGCGATTAGTTATTAGAACGTTGATACAGGTACCTAAGGTGGTCTTGTAGATAATCCCATGTATAAGGTTGCATATAATATTATAGGTAGAGGTAGGTACCTAAGCCGCTAAAGGGGTGCAAGTATTGTACAACGGAGAAAAAGGGGAAATACCTACGGTGGCGGCCCTGGGCGGCGCCATTTTAGTGCAATTAGTGCAGTTGAATCGGTGACGTCGGTACTGCATTAGTTTAGGTAGCGCTACACGTTTGTTATCAAGTAGAAACAGAAACAACTACCCGACCCTGCGGATCCGTGGATCTTTGTTCGACTCTGTCCGCGTGCTTCTTTCCTAGACCCGACTTTTTTTTATTTTTTATTTTTTTTTTGTATCTTTCTTAATCAATGCGTTCAAGATGCCATATCTGACATACGATCATCGCTAACGCCCACTAAAACTAAAACAACTCAACAGTCCCTCTAATTACCTAGGTATCCTTTAAATTCTTTTAATATATCCGCTCATTTTCCCCTTACGCCACCTGTAATATGTCGATACGTCGCTGTCTAGTGTACCCTGTCGATCCTCCCAGTTCTACCATCTAGAGCCTCGTCTTCTCATGTTCTGTCCAACGACTTATCTGCATTCCGTCATAGAACATCGACCGTAACCTGGCGTCTCCAAGGCCGATGATTGGTTCTTGTGGGGGACCTTCCTAAAACATGCTTCTCCTGCACCAAGTTGGCAGCGTCAAGATTGGTGAAGTCGTTCGCTACACCGTAACTTATGCGCCGTCGCACGATCGAATACTACCCTCGCCCGACGTCCTACACTTACGCATTCGTAATACTTCCCCTATTCCCCTACGAGCCGCCTTTATCCACGGTCCTTATACCCTCGACGTTTCCGCCTCTCCCGCTCACTACGATCCGAATATAAAATTCGAGAATCCCCAACGTTATGGCGTCCCTGAATTTGAGCCTATGCTCAAAGCTGGAGGTACATGGTCATGTCAGTTGATCGTACCCGACGATATCCGCGAGAGCGCCGGAACGGGAGCTGCGAGGGGTGATTTTGGGTATGAAGCTGGGAAGAATGAGGCCGCCAAAACGGCGAGTTGGATCGTGGAGGTTACGAGTCAAGTGATATTTTCTAATAGTGCAGCCGTGGGCTACGAGATCCTGCTCGCGCGCGATGAAAAGAGTCTAAACCTAGGTAGTGTACCAGTTATAGGCGGCCAAGCTCAGGTCCCGCAACCCGGAAAGGTAACCGATTTCCAGCAAAGCGTAGGCGCAAAGGATGGACACCACCCCGCCCAGCCGAAAGGTGTTTTCTCGAAAGCTATTACCTTGAAGGTGGAGGATACTGCAAGTCTTTGGAATACACCGCCGCTTCCCGGTTGGGACGAGAGTGAGCATGAAAAACACGAAACATCGGGCGTAAGCAAGGCGATCGACAGTGTTGCCGAGCCGGCAGAAGCAGAAACTGATAACATAAGAAGAAAGCCCCCAAAGAAGATCCACCTAGTAGTTGTGACCCATGGCCTACATAGTAACCTTGGAGCCGATATGCTATACATGAAAGAGAGCATTGATGCAGCTGCTAAACAAGCCAAAGCCGATGCGAGAGCCAGGAAATCACGAGAGAAGGCAGAAACGGGCAGCGTTCCTGATGCTGACGATGATGAATATGACGAGGAAGAAGTTATAGTAAGAGGCTTTTCTGGAAATGCTACTCGAACGGAGAGGGGCATTAAATTCCTCGGCAAGCGCTTGGCGCGTTGGGTGCTCTCCCTGACCTACCCAGACCAACCTTTCCTACCATCTAGGAAAAAGGCAACGACTGAAAGTCTTGCTAACGCCTTTAAGAGCGACGGTGGCAGCGATGATGCGTCTGGGAAACCTGCGCATAAGCACAGCACTATACATAAGGGCCAATGTCATTCTGATGACCGCAGGTTTCAGTTTACCAGTATCAGCTTTGTTGGACACTCTCTCGGCGGCCTTGTCCAGGTGTATGCCATAGCATACATCCAGAAGCACTCGCCTCAGTTTTTCGACTTAATACGACCGATAAACTTCATTACCCTCGCTTCTCCATTATTAGGCCTTAGCAATGAAAACCCTCTCTATGTCAAATTTGCTCTCGACTTTGGTCTCGTTGGGAGAACCGGCCAAGACCTAGGTCTCACTTGGAGGGCGCCAACCATTGCCAGAAGCGGATGGGGCGCATTAGTAGGTACTCTCGGAGAGAGCGCCCACAAGAGGGTAATAGGAGAGACACAACCAGAGTCGAAGCCGCTGTTACGTATTCTACCAACAGGTCCGGCGCACACCGCGTTGAAGAAATTCCGTAACCGGACCGTCTATTCCAATGTGGTAAACGATGGAATCGTACCGCTACGCACAAGCTGCCTGTTATTTCTAGACTGGCAAGGACTTGGTCGAGTAGAGAAGGCTCGGCGAGAAGCTGGCTTAGTTGAAACTGTTGTTGGGTTCGGTTGGGCGGAATTAACAGGTGCCAACGTGTCGGCACGAAGAGGTCCCTGGTCGCCGACAATTGAAGAGACGCCATCTTTGTCACAGTCTGGTGTTGAGTCAGAGTCTTCTCAAAGCGACTCTCATGAAGTACCCCAGCCGTCAACTAATGCAACGATAGAAGATGATAGACGCAGCCTAAATATAGCTACACCACATTCTGAGACGGGAACGACACACCAAAACTCACAAACCAACAACGATTTCCCTTTCTCCGGATTTTTCAATTTCTTCAAATCCAGCGAGTCGCAAAAGGCAGCAACCCGTAAAACACCCCCACAATCTCCGAAGGAGAACAAAATTTATCAGCGCAGTCAGACATTGAAGATAGATGGAACCGCAGACTCGGCATCATCTAGTAAGTCGAAGGTGTCTTCCGGCCATGAGCTTAGTGAAGATCCATCAAGTGATGTATCTGCTCCTCCGAGGACAACCTTCTTTGAGTCTGCAGGTGACATTCTTAATCCCAAGTTACCGACAGTGGATTACATGATTGATCCTTCAAAACGACCGCGGACCATCTTCCATGATCGAGTCTATCACCCCTCTGATATTCCCCCACCACCACTCAAGAAACGTCCGACCAAGACACTTAGCTTCCGACACAAATCAAACACTAGCGGCTCCCTTTCATCTTCCAAAGATGGTAATGGAAGTGTCCCTTCGCCAGGAGTCGGAGTTGAACATGCAGACACTGAACTATCGACTCGCGATTATGATGATCCTACGCAAACTGACCCTGATAGAGGCGTTGACGAGGTTGTTGATAGCTCCAACATGAAGGTTGAGGAAAAGATTGCACGGGCATACCATCGCGGACTGAGTTGGCGGAAAGTCTTGGTCAAACTAGAACCAGATGCGCACAATAATATAATTGTGCGTCGCAAGTTTGCCAATGCCTTTGGCTGGCCTGTTGTTAAACACTTGGTGGATGCGCACTTTAGCGACAGTGCATCTGCTCGCACAAGAGACGAGGCTGAACAATCTGGCGACCGTGCTAAGCCAATGGACCAGCTACCTGATGAGACCGGAGCGGAGACCTACACACAAGAAGACGCCCAGCCTCGAAAAGGGAGAAACGGTGCGATGACTCATAGGCATACTGTAAGTGAAGCTATAGAGGCCGTAGATGCTGTTCCAGATCTACCGTCCTTGTCTCAGGAGAGAAAACCAGCTCCTTACAGTTCCAGGGATTCGCCGCCTCGTCCATCGTACGAAAGGGTCGACTCCGTAAGCTGGAGTGACCGCGAATTCGCAGACAGTGGAGATGATAGCGAGATCGAGCTAGACATAACATTTAGCAAGACTAAGGCCCAGACAGCGCCAGAGTCCGAGGACAAGGGTAAGCAACGGGCCAGTAGCCCAGGGTGGAATTGGACGGAGAAGATCGTAGGTAAAGGTGCTGGAAAGAGGGTAAAGAGTCCCAAGGACACTCACAGACCCACAAGCCCTACAAGCCCCAAGCCAAGAGACGAGGGCGAAGGTGGAAATGGGAATGCCCCTGTCGATGCAGACGTAAAATGACAATGCGTCTCTTCCGACTTTTTTTTCTTGAAGCCTTGGAATAAGTTCAACATAGCGCAGGAGTCTCAATAGAAGGAGCATGGGCAACTGGGCATAGCATGTTAGATCTTTATTTCATCAATTTGGAATGAGAGGATCATATACCTATTACCTAGGGGATACCATCTATCTGGTATTGATACTAGTGAGCCATATAAACTAAATAACTTTGATACATACTTACCTACATACCCCTATATACCTAGTTACTACTTTTAATGCATAGTTAATATCCAATAGTTTTACAAGCTCGTAATTGTGGTCTAACAGAAGCCTCCTTTGCCATCCTAGTTAGGTGTCAGATTTATATGCTCATCACAAGACAGCATTTGACCAAGTGTTGGCATATTATCATACAATCGTAAATTGGAATATTTTAGGTGATAGAAATAAGACCTCAGCCAAAACCATGTGTCCTGTCTGCAGTTAGCAACAGCTTGTTTACAGTCAAGTCGCAATTCCATATCTTCTTAAACCCGTTCCGCCAGTTTCAACTATTCAGAATTGCTTCACATTTCTTACTCTAGGTACTTCAAAGCAAATCACCATGGCTCAAGTAGAAGGAATTGTTGTCATCAGTACTTAGTTTGATATGGTGAGATATACTGCCCTTGACTGCTACAATATATCTATCACAACTTCATCATTATTGGAATTGGCATAAGTTTACCGTAAGGTAACAAAAATCGCATACTCCTTTAATATTCACCTCAGAACAGATATGAAGTAGACAACCGAGAGTTCGGGATTATCACCTCAATGGCTTCTTCGGCCAAACCTTTGCGTCGCACTATTTGTACCATTCACTACCTAGGTACCTAGCAGTAGTAAAGTCATGGCGACGGGGATAGTAATGATATTATAAGCCACGCCTCAATAATTTTGAGGAGAGTCGATTGTTAACCACAACCATCACCATATTTCATCAACAAACCATTGGAAACAAGGACATAATCACCGTGAAGTACTGAACGTGGTACATTGTTAAACCAATATACATTAGAGTTATGAAACTCTGACATAGATATTATCCGCAATCAACCCGTGACCTCTCTCGTTGTAGAAACAAGCACGGCCGCAGTCTCGACTGTGAGCGGCCTGCTTACTCGCAACTCATTCATTTTGAATTTATTTCCATATTAGGGTTAACATCTCAACACGAGTGTCAGCCGTTTCGGCGCTGTTATTGCTCATGAGGACTATCTCAGCAATACTTCCATTCTAAGTTGAACCTTTTGATTGTGCTTTTAAGTGAATTCTCGCGTTGTCTACTTCAGGAATTGGCAAGTCATAGTCTTTATGCTTCACTCTTAGATCTGTCCTTGTTGTTCATGGGACGAGGAGCTTATTCTCATTAGGTTAGATTAGGTGCTCAACTACCAATGAAGAAACTCTCGATAAACTTAATTGTAGCGAGTTCATGTAAGCTGTTATGGGTATGCAAAGGCATAACGCTTAGCACGAAATGAAGTCTTAGTGGGTATTGCTCAAAGAACTAGCATTGATTCTTCGATATCAAGTAAAAGCAGGATAACAAGGACTTTCAAGTTATGAGTTTCGCTCTTACGGGCTAAGTTTAGATTACAGGGCTCTTCTGTCTTTTGGCTTACTTTCACTGGAACTATGAAATGGTATTGATGTTGTTGGTTTGATTCTACATTAGTTATTGACAATGTATTCGTACAGATAGCTAATCGAGTGAGTTAACTACATGTATAGCCTTGATTCTCAGAGCCATCTTAGTTTAGGTAGAGTTCCTTGTCGAATAACGAAGCTATTTGGCTACCTCGTACTCTATGTTATTTCTCAAGTTTACTTGACATTGTACGCTTACCTATTGCTTAAGGTCTTTTGTAACCTGCGGCTCATGCATCAAGATGATATGGATCCATACCTTAGGTACCAGGTAGGTAGGTAGGTTCAGCGGATAAGGGGGAAGCCCTGCCCTGGAAACCGCCAATAGAGAAATCTGTCTGTTTGTCCGAGACAGTCTTCAAGTGAAGTGATTAACCGGCCCCTTTCACTACCTATCGGTGTAACTAACAATACTCCGGCCCATCGATTGACCCCCTCCTTCCTCTAATCCTGAAATTCGACGAGAGCATCCATAGCCCCTTGTGCTGAGATATCTTGTCGTCGCCATAATCTTGAACTTGTATCGACTACTTAGTAAAATTCACTGTTCGCACGGTAGAAGGGTCATAACAACATCTTGCAACTATCGTAGATTTCTTCGAACCAAGTCGACTATCTCCGGGCCCGATGTCCCGCCTCGGCTTGCGTTATTCCAACGCTCACCGGGGACTCATGTTCTTGCATGCCTTTTCTCGCTTAGGTATCCTGAAGCTTATTAGTTAGGTAGTGTCTGTTCTCATGTCTGCACTCCAAAAAGCCCCTACATCTTGCTGGGACTGGGTTATGTATGTATGTATGATTGCGAGTAACCTCGTTCGTGAAGATGATACCTTGGCGGACGTTCCCCAGATGACTGGATAGGGTACATTGAAACCACCAAGGACCGATAGGATGTCTGCAGCCGTCGCCACCCGCGAGGAAGTATTCGACACGCTGTAGAAGGAGCAGGTCTGGTTCTAGAAAAAATTCAAGTTGAACCGGAAACATTTGACGTTACGGGAAGGGAAAACCTCGGCGATGCCGTTCGAGCCTCTGAACCGGACCGGCGTTCCAGTCTGTAGCACGGCATTCCTGCAATCTATACCTCTAGATAGGTAGCTAAGGAAGCAAAGCATTTCTTCGGCTGACTGTACCGAAGAAGAGGGGGAAAAGCCTGTTCTCGCTGCGACAGCCAGACTCGGTCTGCCAGGCAAAAAAGGGGTCTCGACTCCAACGCGGCATTGGCGTCCCAATGGCGTCACATTTTCTTTTCCTTTTCGGTACGAGCCGAGTTGATTATGCAATTCGCATAGGCCGTGCGCATGCTGTACAACTCTGAATTCCCGGCTGCCGAGACGAAATAATCTCGTTCTGGAGTCGCCACCCAAGCAATCAGGTATCTATCTTCAGAATCGAACCTCCCTCGCCGGTTTCAATGAATTTTTTTTTTAATTGACCTTATGAGAGAAACAATACCGTATACCTATGTCATCGAGGCAACCATGCAAGAAAGCGCGTATGATGAATGCTCTTTAGGTCCGGTACGTCTGCTGCTGCTGCTGCTCTATTGTCCCAAGCGAGAGACATCCCAGTCCTCGCGTTTCCCCCCTGATCGAAGCGAAGAGTAGTAGTAGTAACAATACACGGATGTACAGCAGACAAAGTTATGGTGTTGTGTGAACGTTACACGGCAGAGGGCATTCGAAAGAGGGAAAAGAGTAGATACATAAAATAAAAAAAGTAATACGTTATATAGGTAGGTGTGTAGACGAACATCCGGTGGCAACAGGCGATAAAGTGCACCCGGAATACAGGGTGAGGAGAAGGAGGTACAAATACCACGTCGACAGGCTTCCCCTCAGGTTTTTGCTTAAAAGTCCGAAACAGCCGTTGCGGAGATCAGACTCGTGGTAGGTTCCCCGTCTCGGGCCCAACGTGCGGGAATAGATTGCGGCTCGTCGTCGTGTGTGAGCAAGATATGTATTTACCATTGGGGGGAGGGATTAACTGCACAATTACCTACATACATACATACATACACCCCGTAACGCCCGTAGCCGCCCACTACCTGTCCTTAACGTTGACCCGCTCACGTCGGCGTACCGTGTCGTCCGGCGCCGTGGGTGCAGCAGAGATGGGGTGGGATGGCAGATGTAAGGAGGCAAAGTAGGGGGGGGAGTCAGATCAGACAATACCTCGGGGTTTCCATTGACCGGATGCAAGCCGACGGATTGGGTCTTTTTCAGCTTGCCTCTGATATTGTGAGGCCAAACAGATTTGGTTCGCTTAATTCTTTCCATTTGGAATAGGTTCGCCCTCATCAAGGTCTACAAAGTAAGGGGCAGCGAGCCTCTTTCCCCATCCCTCCTCTTGCAAACCCCGGCACCGGTACGTCTATCCGAAAGGCAAGGGACGGGACAGGATAGGAATGGAAGCTGAATTGGAAGAAGCACGATTAGATGGTTCGCGCCGATCCAGATTCCCAAGCCATGCAGCCAAGCCACGAAGCCCAAGAGATTGTATTATGTACCTGTTCCGAACCGATTTTACCTGCATCGCTCCTTGATTACCGGGCGAATATTTTGCTTCACACCGGCGCGTTGGCTTTTGATGACGGGCTTGCGGATTACGTGTTTTGATGTCATGAAGTTATCATGGCTTCTTGATCCGGAATGGACCTTCGCCCTAGCCCTTCGTCCGCCAGCGGTGGATATATTGGGATGGACTTGGCGTCGATAAGCGTATATCAGATCAGGTATACTTAACACGACAGCCAAGTTGGATCGATCTATACGTAGGAACACAACTTTAGACATATTTACCTAAGTTAGTCGAATTGTACTTGAGAGCAAGAGTCTTATTGACCCGCGGAATTGGTGGATAAGAAAGAGATTGGCGACATGATCATCGGCGATATCTAGCTTCGGGAGGTTTCATCTAGCGCCGGATACTGCACACGACAGTGTAAAGGGTCGCTTTTTTTTCTAGTCCGATATCACGAATAGCCGCTGGGTCTAGGTATAAGACTTCCTCATCTTACGTGATCCCTCTCTCCAAGCCGGTCCAATTATAATATTTCGTAAGGATGACGACGACGTTCACGACGACAGGTATAATAATAAGCACCAGAACGAGGCGGGTTTTTGACCAATCGAAGTCTACATAAGTCACTCTGTTCCGATAGACACGTTAAGCTTCCCAGGGGAACGGGAACGGTATGCGCCGTGTCAACTAGAGCAATCTCGCTTCTTTCGTTCCAAGCGAAATCCCTCACAGGCTATACACCGTGCCTGAGGGATCATAGCGGCGATGCTGTTCCTGGAAAGAACTTCATAGATTGCGCGGCCATTTTCCTCGGCGCCGCTTGGACCTGTTCCTATGCTTTTCCCCCTTAACTAAGGTGCCTAACCTACGGCTTGGTCCTGCCCTCCCCCGAGGCTATATCGTATATGCACCAACTGCATAAAGGTGCTAGGCAACGAGATCTCTTAGATGCGCATTTAATCAAATAATTAATGTCTCGAGACGGCGTTGAATGACTGATAGGTTGCATAATCCCCCCACAGCTCTTTAATGGACTAGTCGAGATCTTCGACCCCCATCTCAACCCACTGATTCAACCCCCAAGGGCTTATTATGTAGTATCGAGATTTCAAGATAGGGTAGAATTTTTTTTTGACACCACTACCTACACTACGCCGATATCTCTGGGGCGCGGGTTGTTACCCAAGAAGACGCTATTGTACAGGATTGATGGGTAGACAAGCGAAACCACTAAGCTCGAAATAGTAGCAACGATGTCGCGGGGAAGAAATCGCCAGATTTCCTTAATCGAGGAGGATCTGCGAGGGTAACTGGTAGTTTAGTCCAGACCCTCGCGCTTGTGATCTCGTCACCCTCGCCAATCTATCTCACACATAAGAAAGAAAAAGAGCTCAAGTCACTGACGGCACGCGGCCTACCGCTTGCTGCTGCCGCATTGTGTTCAAAGCTCCCACCAGGTCTGGCGCCCCAGTCGGCAGGAAAAAAACAACTTTCGGTCCAACGAACTCTTGCTAAGTTCTTGCAGACGCCACAATGCGGAGAACCAATGGGATCGGGGCCTTACTACTACTGGCAATTAACGGAACGAGGGCTGTCTAATCTGTAAAGGTTATAAAGGATTATCAAACTTTCAAAGTTCTGGAGATCCGGGGCGTTCACCCGAAAATGCCGGCCCAGGGGCTAGAATGAGATATGATATGATATCTTTCTCTCTCAAAAAACCCGTATCCTAGGTAGACGAAAGCAAAAGCGAAAGCTGCTCGTTTTCCGTGTTATGAAACTTGCGTCTCTCGAGCACGGATGCCTGTGCCACTTTAGAAGCGTACCTAACGTTGGATAGGTTGCTGAGGAGCTTCGTGAACTCTTGAAGAAGGCATCTTGAACTTGTATATAGATACCTTACACACGCCATCATAGACGAAGGCGTCTATATGATATGATATACGATGATCATATGCGCGCTTATGTAAATCCCCGTCCGACTACGGTTACAGTAGGTGGTATTGATCTTAGAGAAGTCGGCTCTTTGCACACCGAGAACCCTCCTCACTCTTAGCGCGATGGGGTGTCAACCCGGCAGCCCAGGATAATTATCGGCATCTCTCCCCGTATATTGAACCATAACATCACCACACCACACACGAACGTGAGAGAAGGTTTCTGTGGGGATTATTTTGGGGTACATGAAAACAGGGATTAAAACCCCATGGAGTGGACCGGCTGACTCTGAGCAAACCCTCACGTCTTGGGACGTACGATACTAGGTATGTATACATCCATACGGAGTCCAGGACCTGCTGTTTGAGAACATGGGTTAGAGTCATCAACACCGATGGATAAGACACAGAAAGTCTAAGAATCTCGAGAGTGTAACAAGCAGACAAGACACATGATCTTGTAACTCAAGCCTTCCACTGTCCTGAATCTCGACGACTTTGTAACATTACATACCACGTATATCCATACATGCCTAGGTATCTAAGGTAGAGGAGAGGTAGGTATTTTTACGTACATATCTCATTTTATTCCCGATATGGTAGTCCGTTTTGTTTTACGAACATAAACAAGATCTGACAGCTTACCACGTCGGTGGGCTCTGGATTGTTTGGGTACGCGATTCGCAACGTGTGGCGAATTACTCTTTCTCTCATCCTGCTTTTTGACCCCCCTCTCATTCGACGATAGGGGTGAGTGAACTTGTGAGAAAAGGGCGTTCCTCAAATCGCGATCCGGATCCTAACTATATCGTAGTTGCTATTTTGGTTGGATCAGCCAATGTAAAAGGATCTGCTCCACCCCACGCGCGTCTTCCCTTCATACCTACATACACTGCTGGACTAAGCACGTATGGTTATGCTATTGGGGCTCACAGTTTCACTATCGAGGGCGCAGTAACACATGGGCTAGACTGGGTTGCCCGACACCCAATGGAAACGCATGAGCGACTCTGCACTAGAGGTTTCTCACGTTCTATCATACGCCTGAACTTCGAAGAAAGGACCCGGCGCCGCCGGGGTTACCTTGTCCAATAAATATATATCGCCAAGCCAGGAACGCTAATGGCCGCATTTTCAAGCAAACATCCCATAAGGCGTAGATAAAAAGGCCAGCCAGGGTTTCAGAGTAATAATAATAAACTTCGATAATGTGCATACCCTTAAGGCGGAGATAGGAGCAGGGATCCTCTTGTCCGCACCCCACACAGTCCCTCTCCACATAGGCGGAGATAGGCAGGACAGTATCGCGGAGATGTCACACTTGGGAAAAGTGATGCTAGGTATGGGGCCCCTTGTGGGGCCCTTGGTCTCAGCCCCCAAAGCCGGAATAGGAAGTACCTCAGTAATCTCTCGATTTGCTCAGTCACCGGACTGCGTTGCGCAAGAGCACGACTTACATTATTTTATTCGTTCAGCCATTTTTCTTCTATCGTCTTCTTAACCATACCATATCGTGATATCGTCCATGTTCGTAGGAGTTGCGGTGTAGGTGGGAGATATCGAGCACAAGGCTTTCGCGATACTGTTACAATTGCAACCCCTGGAAAACGCATAGTTTATTCGACGACTCTTTTGTCACCTTTTTTCCCCCTTCCCCTTTCCCTTTTTATGTTCTCTTGGACCCCTCGAAACCGTTGACGGAGGATGCGTCCGGTCGATCATATTCGATCCGATTCGCGCTTTACGCCTTTTCACATGCTGCCCTGCATTACCCGTTGATTTTTTTATTTTTATTTTTCAATTTCGTTTACCCCGTAGTCTTCTTTGGAAAGGGAGGGGTTTTTTGTTTCCTTTAACCCCTCTCGGTGCCGACCGAGTTGTTCACGGCCTCATATTCACAGGCAACATTCACTCTTACCATCATCAGGCAACACGGTTGTATGTGAATCAGCTGATCGGCTTCCGCCTAGTTGTAGAAACCTGCTCACGGACCGCTCGAGGATAGGTACCAGTGTTTGTGTAATATGAAGCCTGCAGCTGAGGTTCCATCCTTCGCACGTATCGAAACTCGTCTCCTGTAATCGCCCGTCCCTGCATGAAGATTGTCCTCGTCGGGGCCAAGGTAAGGTCTCATATCTTGCATTTATTGCCCTAACAGTGAGGTGTATAGGTACCTAATATACCTAAATATTAGGAAGGCAAACACAAGACGAAATAGAACATAGAAATGACTCCTTATAGCGAGGTTTGGCCCCCCTAAGGCTTGCCATAAAAATACCTAGAAGCGCGCGGGGTCCAATCATCTATACTCCGCCGTATTACCTCCTTTGAACATCCGGGATAGAAGATGAATTCTATTGGACTTCGGAAGTCTCGCATAGGCGAACCAATGGTAGAGAAAATCCGTACGTACATAATCTGGGCTTTTATATATAAGTATAAGTATTAGTAACTTTACTTAGAGATACCTACCTGGACCTACCTACCTTTACCGTATGCATGTACCTAATGTATGAGGTGAGGTATGTAAGGGTAGAAAATAACCTTAGCCCATGGGGATAGGGATGGTTCTAAGTTTACCTAAGGTTAGGCACGTAAGGTAGGTTAGTCTTAAACTTTGCCTACCTCTAGTGTAGTCTATTATTAATGATAAATCTGGAGCCCCGCAAGACTTAGAGTTATTGAACGCGTAATAGAAGAGAAAAAAAGTCTGGGGTTAAGGGAGTTTTAATCAGACAAACCGATATTCGGGAATTTTAGGAACCGGAGACATCACCCAACAAAATACCTAAACCTTAGGTACAATTATTATGATGTACCTCGTACTGTAGCACATTAGGTAAGAAATACAAAAGCATAAGAGGTTTAAAAAAACAAAAACATGTGAAAATATATCCTCACGTCATAGTTTAACCCCCTTCTATCTATGTAAACTCATTATTTAACCCGCAATTATCAGGAACAAGCACCCCAAACTTTCCATTCAGCCGTAACCAGCTGGGCAACCTTGGAAGTTGGAACTGATCGTGTAGCATGTAAGACGAATTAGGTATCTCTCTCTTAACTTAACCTACAATGGAAAGTATCTACCACGTCAGCGGCAGTAAGCTAGGTACATAACTAGTAGAAAAAAAGAAGTATTTTCGAACACAGGTCGCCTTGTTTAGGATTCGAGGCTGAGCAATTCTCGCGCGCTTACACACGACAATTCGCTGCCTTAGCTAAGTTAGGTACCTACATTACATGGTATTTAAAGAAACCGGTCAATAGGAAGGTGACTCTCGGACAAAGAGGCCACCTAACGCTAATAAAAATTTATCTGCTTACTTTATAAGGTATGCGGTTGCGATTGTTGTTACCTATTGTTGTTCATTGGAGCTAAACGCATCTACCGTGTGGCAGGTTGCATACTAAGTAGGAGAGATGATGTCTTCTCCCACCGCTTCTTCAGCGCAACCCCAGGGATTGGACCACAACTTTTCGGGGACGTCCGGTAATAATAGCACTAATACGATAGTAATAATAATATTGGTTAGGTCTTCTTTGTTTCTTTCTTTTCTTTTCCTTCTTTGCCCTTCCACTTGTCCGCAGGGCTGACGGTGACGCACTGCCGCTTGTGCCTCATGCTTGTCATTCCCGGTGTCCACTTGGGACAATGTGAAAGAAAAAGAAAAAACTTCTCTCTAGCCTCATCTGTATCCTGCATCTAATTGTTACGAGAGAAAAATGCATGTTAAAGACCGTCAAGATTCTACTTTGGTGGGGGCCACTTCTTGTCCTCCAGTCGTACGTTGAACAGTTGAACTAATTGTAATAGCTTCTTCGTTGTGTGTCTGTTTATTCGGCGGTGAGGATGGATATATTAATAATAACGCAAGTAATCAAGCCAGAAGAAAAGTGAATAATTTTGCGTATCGTCTGTGTTGTTTTTTGTTTTTTTTGTTTTTTTTTTCTTTTTTTCTTACCTCTCCGGTGTGTGTCAGTCATTGTATGCAGATACCCTTTTCATTAGGTGTCGAAAATATTACTACAATACACTAGGTATCTATGAAGCATACTCATACGTACCTAACCTAAGGTAAAGAAATTTTCTTCTTTACAGTACGTCCACGGTATTGTGAAGCTAGGGTATATCCGCCTTGCCGTCTTATTGCTGTACTAAGCCGTACATTTGAGTATTTCAGAGGGTGATCTGGAGAAACAACCTTGGCAAAAATATACGTAGTAGCCCGCGCCCAGCCGAGGCTTTCCCCTAGGCTATCACACTCACACACTACACACACTCTTTCTCTTTCACTCCCTTAATTTCCCCATGTCTTTAAAGCATGGCCGCCGCCCCCCTTATTCGCACCCGGTATGCGGGGTGTTCCAACAAGTTGATTACAGGGGAGGAGGGCTCTGCTGCTGCGCGTAGTAATCCGCGATACGGGTGACGGTGACGGTAGGCTGGCGGGATCTTCTCGATAATTATAGGTGACTCTTATTTGTGCAACAAAGGACATTAGAAAAATAGCATTACTTGCGTTGGGTTGCATTAGTGGAGGAGAGAGCCTGGAGGAAAAAAAAAAAAAAAAAAAAAAAAAAAAAAACCGGCCGCTGTCTTTAGAGTCTTTTCGATCTTGTACAATACATGACGGCCAATGTATGTCAATACCCGCTTCTCATTTGGCTCCTTGACCTGGGGCTTGGGCCACACGGGTTTATACTACTAGTACGGCGTAATTTCTGAACCCGACAACTTGGTGATTTGTCACGATGATCAAGCGTATCATAGGTTTACAAAAGTCAATTAAAGTGGTGTGGGAATAAATGTTTCTTGGGTGTTCGGAGGTCTTGACCATATCTTATTTGACTGTGCTTTATGCCATTTACCATTATCAACTACCAGTATACTGTGAGAACCTGCCGCCTGTCTTTTGTGACTGGATGACCGCCAAGCCTGTACCAAGATATTGGCCCGAGATTGAGTTGAAACGCGCGCACTCAGCAAATAGCCCCTTTGAACCCCTTGAACGCTCGTAGTTGAGAAGAGAGGAGGTAGATTAGCTCGCTCAATAATTTTTTGACTGCCGATCCAGCTAAGCTCCATAAATGCTCCAAACACGCTACTCGCTGTGCTCGCCTAGTCCATCGTCTATGAGGAACGAAAAATCAACCCGGATATGCCAACGCTGAAAAACTGAGAGGAAATATGAGAGACGTAAAGGAAAAAGAGACATGGTTGGTCCTTGCAGCTCCTTTTTCCGGCAATTCTGCTCGAAGGGAAACCTAGGAGTAGAGAAACCTCATTCCAAATTCAACCTATAACACGAGATCTAACCGCCGATGAGGGTCTCAATTCTATAAGCTCGTGAATCCACCAGAAAACACGGTAACCCCAATTGTGAATCCGCCGTCCGTCCGTTGTGAAACTGCTTGGATTACTACCGCGAAGGTAGTGCAATTAAAACAAGCGAAGTAGCAATTGCTACTTTCGAAATCAAAATTTGTCGCCATGAGAACGCCACCTCTTGTCTATGTTAACCTCTATAATTAAAGTCGTGATTCATGCCGCAATGATAGTAACAATATTTTGAATTGACAGGCCTACATTCGATCCATGAGATCGCCGCCGGCTAAACTACCGCTTGCTGAACTGCGGCCGCTGGTATTATACCCATCGTTAGATAGAAGATCGTGCACTGCGACTTTTGGCACCTGGGGAACAGGAAGCTTTCTACTGCTGTCGGGTCGGCTAATAATATCCGTCAGGGACAAACCACTGGGCCGATGACTATTGGTAGTTGGTTGCGAGGTAGGTGTGTAAGGGCCTTCGAGATGCGGCTCCATCGGTGCCAACGCCGGAGTGTGTCCCAGGGTCAGATTACGTAGAGTTGGAAGCTCAATACCAGCGTACGGCCGAAGGCGCGGCGAATGAGCTGGGGTTGCTAGTGGTGTATGATCCGGCGTGGGGGAGAGAGAATCATGGGAGAAAGTTGGAGATGAGGGTGCGGTAGAGTTGGGTGAGTTTGGTCTCGACCGCTTAGCATGCCGAAGAGCGTGGTAGTGGTCGTCATGGTCGTCGTGCGACTGAGACCTCGACATATGGTAGGCAGAGAGAGAAGGGAGATGACCACGCGAGCTGTGGAGGCTATTAGAATAATAGGGGTGAGATCTTGCCGAGTGGTGATGAACACCCATATGCTCACGCTCAATCTGGTTCGTGGCATTAGCTAATATGCCTATGTCCGTGCTGTGGACGTGAAGCGGACCGTTGCTACTCATATTTCGGCCGTAGTGATGAAGAGAGGCTGGGTGCGAGTGATGAAGAGCGCCCGGGTGCGGCATGGTATATGCAGAATAAGAGTGAGGTGGCGAGACATTGGGGGAAACCAGCGTTGAATTAGGTGCTGATTTGATAGAGCGTGGGTTGGAGGGAGGAGGCATCATAGAGTCCGGCGTTAATGCGTGACCTAACCCATGATGCGCAGCCTGCCCCGACTTATTTCCTCGCCTCGAGTTAGGATTGTTATGTATCCTCGAGTGACGAGTAAGTTCATCTGAGCGGGAGAATTTCTTGCTGCAGCCGGGGTATTGGCAGGCATGCGGCTTCTCACCCGTGTGCGTCCTTATATGCCTAGTCTGGTGCTCTAATCGGTGGAAGGCCTTGTCACATAAGGGGCACTTATACGGTCGTGGCAATTCGTTGGTGTTTTCAGCGGGTTGACCGCCGGGGAGAGGGCCGTTCGGGCGGATGACAGTAACGGTAGCCATATCCACGTCTCCGTCCGAATTCACTTTCTGTCCGACAGTCGATTTACTGTCGTTGGTTGTGGTGGTAGATTCGGGATTCAGCAGGTTGGAAAAATCCACCGCTGACTGTGGGCGTTGCATGTGATCGCCAGCCAAGTGGGCACCGCCTCTTCCTTGCTATAACAGTTTGTCGAGGAAGTACGGCGAATATACTGACAAGCCGGATATCGTGATAGCCAGCTTGTCACGAAATTCCGAATAAATTAAGTATTCCCTTTGTTTTTTTTTCCAAAATTTTCCTTTTCACGCCTTTGGAAATTTGTTAATTCGTGCAGAGTGCTAGTTAGTAGTGGTAGTAGTAGCGGTGGTTGGTGTGAGTTGTATTTGTATTTGTAGTTGTAGTTGTTGTCTTTTTTTTTGGTTGTGATATCGAGGACGTACAACAACAACAAGACTGATAACGGCCTTTGAGTCGAAGAAAAGCCGGGTGGTGGTACTGGTGCGGTAGAATTTCAAAAGAAAGACCGTTTTGGGGGGGATGGGGGGCACTGGTATGATCTTAAATGAACTTATGAGAGCGGGCGGGTCGGAAAAGCTGCAAGGTGCCAAAACGTGCTAGCTCTGGGGGCGGTGGATGGGGAGTGGGCAAGTGGGCGAGTCGAGTAAATAAAAAATTGCGAGTAGCAAAGAACAGTAGGGTCTAAATATTGTACTGTACAGTGTAATTGTTGGAATTGTAGGGTACCTAGGAACTTGTAACATTTTTGCCCATTTCACCCAATTTCACCCCTCTGGGGCCCTGCCTTACAGAATCTCCCTTAGTGTGGGGGGAGCCAGTAGACAGACGAATATGGCCTGGGGGAGCTGGAACCCTGATGCTCCATTCTGAAGGAGGCGCGACTGTGTTATGTGATTGGTCAGTTTTCAGGCTACCTGTTGGTTAGTCGGTTGGGCAGTGGGCGGTCCTGGCAGTCCTGAAGAGGGGTCCCCCCTGGAGTACATCGCACGTTACTTCGCCATAGTTGCGCACGATAGTTAGAATGGTACGTACCTTATAAGGCCCGCATAAGGTATTGTACGTACACACACATACATAACGTTATTTGAGGTGTAATTGGGGTAGGGGGGGAGAAGAAACGTGGAGGCCGCTGAACCTACTGGAAAGATTTGCACAAGGGGGTAGGGGATAAGTCCAAGCCATCATTCAATGTGCAACCTCCCTAGCTGGTCTACATTAAAAAAATACTAGGTAATTGTATCGGTATCGGTATTAAAACTTATTAATTTTTTTTTAACTTAAGTACCTTACCAACTGTACCTACATACCTGTTATGTAGTACCTAGATGGATGGTCTGGACCATATTCTAATCTTAGGCTATCTTCTCTCGCCAGTTTCCTTCTTACCTCTCGTCTAATAAGTATGTCGTCAAAGTCGTCTATGCAGTGTATGCATATTTTATAGGACGGTGTGTACGCAAAGATAGATGTGGTGTGTGAGATTTAATCCGCATGTCGAGGTCAGAGGATAGCATGTGTTGTATACGTGTGGGCATGTGGTTACCAGTTCCGTCACTTGAAACCCCCCAGCTCTTAAGGGTGCTAAAGGGGATAAGATAATAATAAAAAATAAAAAATAAAAAAGGAAGCTTAGAATTGTGTATTGTGTGTGTCAGTAACAAGGGCGTGTGCTTAGACAAGAGGTAACAAAACAACACATGGTCTTCCTTCCCTCAGTTCCATCTTCTTCTAAACCACCTCTTAGTAAGTACTTACCTTCAACGCCATATTGTTCCAAATCTGGCCTCTATTACTATTAGTTGTTATGATGTATAGTATCTTGTATTGCACTTTTCTTCTTTTCAATACCCTCATTCCTAACCGCTACTAAAGAGGCTTTGGAGACTGGTGGAAGAGAAGAAAGGTGACCGGTGTGCATTATTTGAATTACTTAATAAGCGCATATGCCGCGAGCGAATCCCATCTGGATGGATCAGGAGCCCATCGTACCAAGTTCGTACTATTCAATTCTCATCTTACTAGCCTCAATGTAAGTCATCCACCTGGATGGCCTGGGTAGCGGCATAGTACGACCGAGGTGTGTGGGGATAAAAAGGTAAGGCGGCTGGCTATACGGCAACGACTAGCTAGCCGTTACTATTGATAATTTTTCTCGCGTCCCGAGAAACTGCCTTTGTTTATATTCTTCTTATTCTTATCAAGGTTTAAAAATAAAATGAGAAAAGAACTAACTAACGGGTGACTACTGGTGACCGGTAAAGAATCCTCACCATAAATTAATGAATGATTCATTAATTTATTGTGTTTTCCTACTTGTCACCTAAGTGGGAGCTGACTACAAATGACACCTTTTCCGGAGACTACGAGAGGAAGAGAAAAAAATTTATCAAAAGACCCGCGATAAAAAGATATGGAGAATGTGGGGCCGAGCTCGGCCGCATTCGACGGGTTGTGTTTTCTTAGTGCGTGGTTGATAAGAAAGCTATCTTACCGTACTCGAGTTCGGCAGTGTAAGTACTTTGAAAATATTAGTACAGATGGTCTCCGATGAGTGGATCAAGAACCTGCGCACTAGAATTCTGAACGGAACGCGAGATTCTTGCTGACATAAGAAGACTTGTAGAAATGACACTTGGACAAAGTTCGTAGATGGCCAAGGAAGAGGGAAAGAAAAAAAAAAGAAAAAAAGAAAGAAAAAAGAAAAAAAAAGTCCCAGCCCCTGAGCCTCTACTGCAAAGTCAGCCAACCAACTCTTACACGGATTTAATTACGTGAGCACTGCGTAGCTTTTTTAATATACTCTGCATGAAGTAGAAAGACTTTTGAGATAATTAGATAGGCGACTCGGGGTTTGATCTTCACAATCTCTTATTCTGCTTGGTCCCTTAACTCGTCTTAAATCTGGGGTTAGGGATTAGAAATTTCACCATATTCGCTTTGGACAACTTAGCCTACCGAACCCCAGAACTTTCTCCCCACAAGCTATCTATCTACCCTGGTATGATCTGTATATACATACGATGAGACATTCCTGCCAAGGACAGCTTGTGTGATAGATAGTGTAGCCCGAGTTTGGCTTTGTTCCAGATACTACTTTTTCCTGGGTTAGCCTTGCTTCTTATCAGGTACGCTGCTGCCATTCTTGTAAGGCCAACATTCCACTAAGAGCCAATAAGTAGTATGATATAGACTATTGAATACGCAGGCCGGGGTTCTGTTATCACTGGCGCCCAAGGGTTTGCACATGCTCTGCTGAGGGTGGCTGATGATAAGGTCTTACACGTGCTGACGACAACTGGCATGGATGTGATCGCACAACTGATGGTTCCCAAGTGTCGGTAAATTTGGTCGTGGAAGATAGACGTTGATGGAAGAAGCAAGTTTTTTTTTCCTGCTGTGATATCCTTCGGTAAGGAGTAAAATATTGATGCAATAGATGTTTGAATCCCCGTACAAGCTTACCGAAAGTCTACCTAACCTGGTCTATGCCAAGCTTTTGGCAAAAACGTGGGGGTTCGTATAAAAACCACACACAAGGCAGCGAGGCTTTCTACGTTTTTACTGCGTGTAGTGCATTATACATCAAGCTAGGCATAAAAGCTAGATGTGTGCTTATGCGTCGTAGAATAAGTCCGAAACTATAAGATAAAAATATAGCCAGTCAGTTCATCAGATGCATTGCCGTCTTCTACCCATGTGTGGATTCTCTCGTCTAACTGTCACTCGATATGTCATTTCTCTCTGTTCAGGGGTCTAGGTAGGTATATTGCTACGCCTCCTTTCAATCCGCAGTAAGACATTTTACAGGTGCTGCTAACCCTGATGAGATGTGTATTTCATATTTCCATGTGGTCCTCAGGTGATACTCTGTGAAGTTTGTATGTGGCTACACGTAATAATGCGTATACAAGGAAGTAAGCCTGGGGAAAGGCGGGAGTAGCCTCGAAATTAAACCCACTTTATCCTGGGGAATAGACTGCAGCCTCAATTTCGAACGAGTAATTTGATAATCCTGCCTTTGATCATAGATTGGACAGATTTCAAGGGACTGAATAATTAATAAGATTGGCATTGTGAACACGAGACGTTTACGTATGAGACAAAATATCAGACGTTGCTAAGATGAGCAACTCACATGCACATAAACCATCCAGATACACACAGTATAAATACTTAATTCGCTACATACCTACCTCCTACTTAAGCATGTTTCCCCACAAAGATAATACTTAAACTTTCCACTGATCCGGGGTCGTAGACCCACAGATAAACTCACTTTTTACTTTATTAGGCTTAAGGCTTTAGGTCCAGACAATGTTCTCATTTCCCAGATAGGAATACCGAGGAGCACCTCTTTGTCCATCCTAATTGCGCAAACGAGTCTTATTAAAATCTAGACAAGACATCACGATCACAACCAACTACTTAGTCAACTTAATATGTTTATTAACCAAGTAATTATATGATATTTTTTTAAAAGCCTAGCAAACAGCTGTTTACATAGAACGTATCAAGACGTCATATCATATCTATCCTGCAAGGAGTAGTAGAACTGCATTTCGAAAGCGAAGATCAGGACCTCAACTGTCCAATGCAGGGACCCGTCCGGAGGAATCCGAGCAATCAAATAGCTTAACAGGCATGTAGACCAAAATCCCTACGGGCTACTACAGATATAGCAACTCATACGATAAATACTGTAATACTACCTTGGAAGGTAGCTATGCAACAGTGTGCTATGGATCATGATGGATACCACAATATCAAGCACTACCCACGTATAGAAACATATATGTATGTATCTAGCATCGATACGTAAGAGAGAATTAAAATCGGTAGAAAACCCCTCCTTAGAGCCTACTTCGTATTATGTAAGTGTTAGCAGAAGACTCATCTTAGATACGCATACGTAATACGGGAAAGACGGAGGACGGCGCTTCTCCGCAACAAGCTCTCCGCAGGTTAATTCCCGTTGCGGATTCCGGAGTACGTTCTAGAATAAAAAAAATAAAGGGAAATGGCAGCAAAACGCACATAGGGTCCCGCGACGTCTTGGCTAGGTCAGAACATTAATCAAGGCGCCGAACGAGTTTCCTATCAATCAGGCCACCCTCTGATGTTTGAATCGGGCCTTAGCTATCTCGCAGGCGGAGAAAGAAAGAAAGAAGGAGGAGGTTCATCTACGTTTATGTTGATTATGAATTTTCCTGTCAACGTTGGGTATGCAACGCACAGTAAATACATACGAGAAGACGAGAAGCCGAGAAACCTACGAGTCAGGCTGGTTGTCGATGACACCTAATACCACCGTGCCTCGATGAGAAGCTGATGGTGCGTGATGCTTACGTAGTAGCCGTAAACACAGACACAGAGTCGTCTCCTCCTGGATTTCTTATCAGTAAACCAGCTAGGATTCTCAATCCTCAGAGCAATAATACGACCTTGTTCGAGGATGGATAATATGTACCCACTACGACACCATAGTTCATCCCTCAGATAAACTATACATACCTAGGTAGATTATATATAACAGGTAGGCACTAATTATTATAATAATGGAGGCATTTTCAAAAGGTCGCTTCTACTGCCAAAACAGATTTGCTAAATTTCTCACAACCCGCATGAAATGCCAACGGTATCATGAGGCTTGTGCGGCTTTTTCAGTGGGGGGTTCACCTCCTTAGATCCATATTTTCTTGATCTTGGACCAGGATTAACCGCAGGTAAATCGTTCCCCGGTTTTTTCTTCTGCTCTCGGTCGCTCCGAGGTTCCTGGGTGCGCTATGGGCATACTCCGCTCGCCATTAAGCCGAGATCGAACCCCTTGACTCGCGTATACGAATACCCGACATCATGGAATTTAATACCTTTAGGTACATATCCCCTTAAAGTCGTTTACGACAACATACGGCATAGATTATTCAGATACTACTCATGGTTTTGGGGTGACTTATGAGTGAGCAGTGGGGTAAAGTCGTTACGTGGTTATCCATCTTGTCTCGCTTTAAGAGGCATTTATTTGTTCTCCTTATCACACCGGCTCAGGGGATTAGGAGTACCGTTCCATGTTTCCGAGAGTAAGCTGATTTTCACGTCCAGACCCCAGAAACCGGTCCGAGTTGAAACTTTTCCCCGACACAACATGTACCTGCATCAATCCCCTGGTTGCGATCTAGAGATAGCCTTGATGGCGTAACCACCAAAGTTATGTAACGAGCCAATAGATATGCATGTCGAGCTCTCCGCATTACGGATCGACTAACTTCCATCAATGCAAAAGAAAGAAAAGATTCCTAGTCGGGACATGTTTAAGCTAGGTATCTTCTTTCGTTTTAAGAAGGTTTATACTATTTTTTTTTATGCTTGTGTACCTAAAAGTACGTAAAGTAAGTCCGAGCTGAACACCCCATATCGCTAATCTCAGCTTATGCTTTCGTTACCCGCTTCTCGAGGGGATGGAATCATCGCGACTCGGATTGTTCCATGAGTGTGCATATAGTAGCGAAGCAGTGTATTGCGCTGGAGTACTCAGTACTACCTGAAGTAGCCACGGTAGCTAAATCTCTCGGTTTCTCAGTACATAGCACGGGCGATTCGTGGGGGTACTTAATTAATAATGGTAACCTCGTGCCTGTTCAGGACTGGCCAGAACTACCTGGACATGGCACAAGCTGCGCTAGGAATCCTTCATCGCTGATATGGCTAAAGGAGGAGGCTCTTAAGCTCTCAGGCATCATGCACGAAGCATCAACTAGTTCGACATGTAGGGCCGATCTAGATATACCATGTTCTTGGGGTTGAGATAATTTCCTGAAAGCGTATAGCTCATATCTTGTTGTTAATTAATAGATCTCATCTTCTCTAACTAGTTGGGCGTTAAGCTCGATAACGTCAAACTAGCCAGCATCATTACCGTCATGTGGTCTGTCGACGCTGCGAGAAGAGCTGATCAGGTCTTTATTAATCTGTAGTTGATGGGGCGGTAAATCTTCCTTTAGCAAAATTTGAATGAGGTAGTCACAAGGACAGCAGTGATGTGACTCGAGTTTCTTGAAGTTGTAAAGTTTTAGAATCATGTGCGTAACAACTCGCAATAATAAAATGAGGGGTCGGTTAGGTTAGGTACCTCCTAAGGCACTTCCAGTTGTACTTGTTACTAGGTCATGTACAATTTGTACAATTTGTCAACACTGCCCCCCAAGTGGACATACATTAGGTAAGTACACGTAACAAAAATAATGGCCCTTATGTCACGTGCATAAATGCCGACAAGCAATGCTTCAGGGACGTTAAGATGATCAGCGCCTGATCTGCAAGCGGCGGCTGCCCATCAATGTGAGGCTCAAACCCTAACTGGGATTTGGAAACTCAAGTCAACCCCAATTTACAATTTTCAATCTCCAACCTTCACCGTCTAATTCTTTCAAAAGAAGTAGTGGAAAATTTTTTTTAAAAAAAATCTAGTCCACGTAATTTAAATTGCTCTACCCAACGAACGACCCATCAACTAACCCCTTCTTTTCTTTACCCCCCCGGATTCTAAAATGGACTATCCGTCAATCCACGGCCAAGATATATCTAGTTTCGATCTAACTTCAACTCGTAAGCAAATCATCATGCCACGTACTTCTTAGTTAGTGCTGATTGGTCCTAGATAGGTTGCCAACGGTTTCTGCGGCCCAGGCGCTTGAGGATCTGGGGACTGACCCCCAGCGATTCTTACCGACAAATATTGAGGCTCTTGATCAGACCCTCAATGATGTCATTCCTGAGAGTAATAACGCTTCGCCTCATCCTGGCGGCTTACAAAAAGGCCAAGTCATAGAAATATGGGGTCCCCCAGGATCTGGCAAAACTTCCTTTGGGTATGGGACACGCCTTTAGGAATGGTATAACGGTTGTACATTCTGAACGCCAATTACAGAACCCAGCTCGCTGCGAATGTCTTACGGCAGGGTGAGAAGGTTGTTTGGGTAGGTTCGTGTTACATTATCCATCATTATCATCATCATCATCACCCAGTTGCCCCCTATTCCTCTAGAACTGTCGTCTTTTCTCCTTGTTTGTTCATCTGTTATATGTTACCGAGTTATTAATTCACCTTGCAGATGGATTCCATCCGATATTTTCCCGTCGGCTTCATGATATGATCACTTCAGTCTCGACAGACTCAACAGTGGATCAATCGGATAATTTTATCCATTTTCAGACGCCGACCCTATCGCATCTTATCGGCCTCCTTTGTAAGCCCACAGCGAATGCTATCCCTAGCGGTACATCCCTCGTTGTAATCGATACCCTGTCAAGCCTAGTGAACCATGCCTTTCCGAAAAATTCCGAGATTCGACAGGCTCAGAAAGGTAATGCAATATCATGCAGCAATTATCATAGCCATTGTTCACTCACATAATGCACAGGACCAGGACCTCCGGCTAGGAGGTTGCAGGTTCTTCAATTCTTGATTTCGACCCTCCAGAAACTCGCCGCGACGAGGGACATCTGCATCATAGTCCTGTCCCAATGCGCTACAAGAATGCAGTTTGAGCAAGGTGCTACTCTCATCCCCGCTATTAATGCTGGCACTTGGGAACAAGGAATTGCTACTCGGCTAGTTCTATTTAGGGATTGGATAATAGAGAATGGCACGGTGCGCGATGTTAACTTTGTTGGTATTCAGAAATTAAACGGCAAGACGGCCCCAGGCGGTCTCAGTCAAGTTTTCCCCTTTCACGTCGAGAATGTAAGTTAACTACCTCCTATACTAGTAACCCGGGGCCGGCTTAAAATATTGACCCACCTAGGGCGGGCTTATTGGCGTTGGCCTGGATGGTAACCAAGCGTCCTTACCTCTGTCTCCAACTTCGCGACACAAGCGAAAATTAGGTCAAACCGATTTCGAAATTGCGGACAGCGAAGGTGAAGATTATGGTTGGGAGGACGAAGACGAATTAGAAATGCCAAGAATGCCCCCTCAATGGCAGGGGAGCGAGGACATTCTTCTTGGACAGGTAGCAGAAGACGATGATGGCCAGACAGATAACGGATCAGAACACCACGCCGGACATTTAGAAGAGACTATGCTGCGTTTGGACTCGGATCTTTCCGGGGATGAGGGGAGCGGCTCCAGCTGATATCCATATTTGTGGACCCTTGATAGTCTGGGTCTTTTATGAATGCGAAGCATAAGTGTGAGCCAGGAATATTCACGATAAATCCCTCTTAAAAAACCCATAAGTACAATACACCAGGTAGCTTTTGCATACCCCTTTACGGCTCCACTGCGGCTCAACACCAACGAAAGGACTCACCATGAAACGTCGGCCAAATGTCGGCTCCTTATGCTCTAGCCTCAACGTTGTCGGCCACCGCCACTCCACACCTCGGTCTTTCACGGCCCAATTCCATCCTATGGGCCAGTCCCATTGACCTCGGAGCTGCCGGACTACCCTGATCAGAAAGAAGAAGAAAGATTGTACAAACTGATGCCATGACAAATTTTTCAACATACTAACGTTACCTTCTCGCAGTGGGACGTAGAACTGACAGGATGGTACAATACATAGGTACATACCTCTTACAAATTACAAGTTGCATGGTAAGAACTTAACTTCTAGGTAGTGCTACTGCAGAATTTTTTTAATTTTTTTTGTTGATAAAAACACGCCTGTCAGTGGTAATATTAATATCCTTCAACACCATCCATGATATCCAGCTAACCATATTTACCATATTTACTCGAGTCATTATTCTGTCATGGATGGCGTCAAAGATGAAACGATAATGGAGCCATGCCCCGACACAAGGTGCGGGCGGTGTTCCAATTCATCAGGGACCTGCTGTAGCTAATTTTTTAGCCGGTCGCGGCACTGGTAGGCTGCAGGAGAGAAGGCCAAAGACCGTTACATTGCACTATTCACAGCTCAATGTAGTGAACCTACCTAGCGGAGGGCCCATAGAATTACCGCCGTGCTCCGCTACTAGAAGATATGTTAATAATTTAGACTCTTGTCTCTGCTTCTGACATTTGAGCTTACTTTTCCAGCCGTTAATATATTCAACCCTACCATAGACCGACCATCTCGATATTGTTCGCCAACTTCTGGCTTTATACCTGTAAGCGGGTAGGCATGTAACTGTAACCCGGCCGATCGATGGTTCCATTGACCTAAAGAGATAGCGTTGCGAATGACTACCAACCTATTCAGCCGCAAAAAGTCGAGTGTTAACTCGCATCTGCGAAGGCAGCTAGCGAATACGGGAAACTCGTTGCTTAATATATGAGCATTTTACTGCAGAGCCTAAGCTAGTCGAGACGGTTTACATTACGCCATTGAATCTCGCAAAATGTTCTTAGCAAGCGATCGTATTGGAATAATCAGGTAGAAGTGGTATTCCCTGCTATATGGATCGACTCTACCGAATGCTAAGCTCTCAAGCATTCTCACTTTCGGCAAGGCTTATAGATTGTTCGAGGAGCCTTGGCTTGATTATCAGATTTTAGATGTTGGGGTTGAGTGCGGAAAAATAGTGGCTGGAATATGCACGACTGCTACACCCTTCGTCGAAGAACCTGGTTCCACGAAAATAAGTTGCAGCGGGAATGTAACCGGATGTGCATCGCCTGCAGCCGGCCTGGCTTTAAACTCACCGGTGTGAGAGCTCGGGAGGACCTTCCACAATCCCTCGGAACCTTGTGCCGTTACTCCTGGCAATTCGGTCCCTTACCTAAGGAAAGCTAGGTACAACAAAGGCCATCATCATCACACACTTCGACATGAATGTCGTACATCGCGATGAGCGTTGTGGGGGTTCAACCTCCAACCCGCCATCGTACCTAGATCTTGGCAGCAGACTGCCGTGCCATGCACACCCTCCCACAAGTAATTTATATGCAAAGTTCAGCTGGAATTTGACTTAAGACGCTGAAAATATAGTAGAATGATAACATAATATAACCTTGCTTGCGAAGGGTCTCGAGGCAGAATTCAATTTATAGTCAAGTACCTATAAGCTGATATACTAAGACTACAATGCGGTGTATCTACATCATCGAAGATGAAGGGGTCTTAATCTACTTGTCTTCACAAGTTGATTCGATCGTGATACGATTCAAGGCATCATCACAGCTGCTTTACTTTACACGGATGTAGTAAGCTTCCGAGATGAGCAGGTGCAACTTCATCAAAGCTTGTCTAGGAGACTTATCTTCCAAGGTATACTATGTATTAGGAGGTACATAGCTACCTCTTAATATATATGATATATAGGGGCCGGCAAATTTGCAACCTGCAAGTGCCTGGATGAGGAACGACGAGACTCTATACTGTGCAACTACCGCCTCGGCGGTTACATTCGCTCGAGCGGACGGGACGCAACCAGAACACCCTACTTCTTTTACCTAGGTAGGCAGCTTGTAAAGTGCTACGCAAACATATAAAGGCACAAAATGATAGCTCACTCGTACGTCCACACCAACCAGCTGATGCGATTTGGTACCGCTTCGCTCCACGGCAACCCGACAGAAAATGCAATCAATGGCATGATGTGAGCCAATCCCCGAGGGCGAAGAGTAAGGGGATACGCAAGGGACGACAAACTGTTGGAGAACCTCTTTGGTTTGGTTTATTGGCCCACGTGGGATTAGGTATATGTCTTCACATGGAAAGAGAAAAGTTGAATACTTTAGGTACCTACCTGGTTGGGTAGGCATATAGTATGTTGTCACAGATCAAAACAATGCGGACGCTCGTTTGTTAATGGATAACCGATAGCCGTCGGCTTCCCAGTGAGAGCTCATGGGTGAACGGATGCACCTTTCATCTTTTTCTTTTTTTTCTATTGAGTCAAAAGAGCTCTTTATCAGATTTGCTACTTATCACTGGATGCTTTTGGGGGAGTTTGCAAAGAGACGATGGTAGCAGGTAGCATAACCACATAAATATACATGTATTTGAGCACATTTAAAGACTGAATGTGAGTAAGCTACCTATTGACAACTATGATTCACTCATTAGGCTATAGTTATGTCCTTACATAGGTAAGATAGAGTAATGATATTGAATGCTCTATGACCTAAGCTTGACTCACGTAATTGCTGCTTATATCAAGTGACGAGTGGGTTTACAGCTATGTGCTTTGTGCAACATGCGAATAGTTAAATGAAGTCAAATTATTTAAATATGAGTGACTCTTACAAACAACATAAGCTGTTATTATCGCTATTTTTTGCTAATAAGTATATTTTACAAGAGATGTAGTTAGATTTCGACGTTAGTTAACCACTTAAACTAGACTTGGTTAATACGTGAATACTTTGTAACTATTCTCCTTCATATTAAAAGAATACAAGATTGAGAATTCATCTAACTTCTCATATTGTTGCTTACAATGCCGAAGTCATCACGATGGGACGACTGAAATGTGCCGATTGAATAATAAGAAGGAATTATAATACAGGTAAGTTAGAATCGACAGACAGCGGAGTAAGTTTGAGGAGGTGTCATAGATGGAGGTATTTTTTAATATCTAAAGGCGGATCCCTCATGACTGAAAGCTTAATACAGAACATAGTAATGAGATCAGGGTCATTCAGTGTAACTACCTAATGTTTGAAGTGAGGTAGTAGTAGGTATGTGAATTGGTGATAACCGCTGTAGGCGCAGTAGCAGTAATAGATGGCAACTGCACGGCACAGTTTACGTAAGCACGCTATTAAAGTTTAAAAGTGCTGTGGCTGGGTGGAGGCTCATTTGTATTGTATTCAAGTACGTACCCCGTTCCTGCTGTCACCCCTGACACACTTGAACCTTGTGGTTTCCCATCTGCATTTTTCTTTGACGGCAGCTGCGAAGTGACTGTCGCGGCGGAGCTCATCAACAAGACTTGGTCGAATGTTCCTGCCGTCCAATTTTCAACAATGCTATGGACAATTAAATTTAGTGCACTCTTCAATTGATTTCATACCTAAAACAGCATTGATACAACAACAGCTACAAGTAAAAAGTTGGAAGTCAGAAGTCGCGACCAATTCGCGAAACAGCTGTGGCGTAAAAAGCTTAGTGCTCCAGCGCTCGAGTGAAGCTGTGGCTTGTCACCTTGTTCGTTCTGATGAATCTCATGAAGTGAATATTAAGAAGTTTGGAGTAAGTAAAAGAAACAAAAAAAAAAAGATATGAATCAATTGAGGATATATTTCCAACTTTTATAAACTGACTCACTGTCTTTTCTAGGTACGTTCCTCGCAAATTTTCATTTTGCATCTTATTATAAAAACCCCGCGTCGCACTTTAAAACCGGAATTTGATCTTGAACTTGACAAAACAACACAACCTATTACACTATTCCCAACTCAACTGTCGTTATCGGTCTTGAGGCACCCTTCTTCATTGAGACTTACAATTATCTTATTCTCTCTACTTACTGGCCTCTGGAATATTTCCTACCCTCAGTATTAGACAATTGCCTTCAAGGAAACTTGTCCAATCATTGAACATCATTTCGCATCTAACCTCTCTTATTATCACAGGGGTGAAAATCATGGCGTCGGAACCTGAAATTGTGGCAGAAGGTGTTAGTGGAGGAGTGGAACCTGTTGTAGAGGAGGCGGTTAATGTTGTTGTTCCTACCAAATTTTCTTGGTTGTAAGTCAATCCTCTCTCTCCTCTGGTATACTTATCATTATTACTCACCTCTATGTTAAGGCAACCCCATGTCATCTTCGTGGTTATCCTTGTTGGCGAAGATGAGGTTCCCTTCGGCATTCAGAAGGACTTCCTCTGCGCCAAGTCATCCTACTATCGAGCACAGTTTACCACGAAGCAGAGTGAGGAGCCCGGGCTTGAGCACATCGTCAAGCTTCCACAGGCTACTCCTGAAGTCTTCGGCTATGTCCAGAACTTCCTATACACCGGCAGCCTCTTTCCCGAAACAGACTCTCTTCCTGGGTATGAAATTTTGATTGCTTCTTGGAAACTAGGGTATGAGCTAGGTATTGAAGGCCTCTGCGAGGAAGCCCTCGAAGCCATGGCTGAATGTAGACGTGTCACTCAGCACATTCCTGCTACTCCCCTTCTTGTTAAGGCCTGGAAAGATTCCCCAGAGGGCTCCTCTATCCGTACGCTTCTCCTGAACTGGGCTGCAGAGTACATCAGATCTTCTGAGTCCCGACAAGAATTTACGAAATCCTTACCTCAAGAGGTACTTAGTGAGCTTGTGATAGCCATGAGCCACCTCAACTCCTCCCCGGTCATCCAGGTGAACCCCGTCTTGCCTGCTGCCAACCTGGTCCAGAGGAAGAATGTACACTACCTGGATCCGGACGAGACTGAAGACGATGTATACTCGAAACCGCAGAAGCACCGTCACTCAGATGTCGCCCCTAACCGGCTTATATCCGGCGAAAGAAAAGTTGGGGCTAAGAAACCCGCCTCAAGAGCATCACTTCCCCTGTCAAAGCCTATCAAGGTCAAGCGATCCAGTCTGAATTCTATCGACCCTTCGCAGTACTCAGCCGAAGACAAGCTCTGGTTCTGTGAGCGCCTCTTGGGTAAGATGCTCTCTGGACCTGGTAAGTCACACCCCTATAGATCAATGATATCCGCTGTTGGTTGTCACACCCATACTAACAAGGTCGCGCTAGGATTCTGGACTCGGCTGATTGGCCCGTTCCGTGAACCTGTCCGACCTATCGAAGATGGCGTGCCGGACTATCTGACAAAGATCAAGACCCCCATGGATCTCAGCACGGTCAAAGCGAAGATGGATTGTAAGGAGTACCGAGACGAGCAAGAGTTCTCAGCCGACATCCGTCAGATCTTTGCTAACTGCTACGCTTACCACGAACGAGGCTCTCCGATGTGGCTCAACTGCGAGAAATTCGAGAAGACGTTCGAGGAGAAGTTCGCGGACATGCCGAAGGAGATTGCGAAGATGTTGGGCGACAAGACTTCCTAGTAGGCGAGCTCCTTGATCGGCGGAGATATCTTTATTATATCGATTGATTTGCATGCATGGTGGGATTTGGATTCGGCTAGGTATTGCCTAGGTGTGCACTTCGCACGATTTGACCCGTGGCGCATGGACAGGCCAGTTTACTTGGATGAACCGGGTTTGGAGTCTATGGCGGCAGGTTATGTTATTAATATAGGAAAAAGGTAGCACAGCACAGCACACCATCAGCATGGGCACGAGCATGCATGTCTTGATGTAAGTCAGGCGGCGAAACAAGACTCTCTCATCCGAGTCCCTCCAGATCGCTTAGTCGATCCCCCTTAATGGCCTATTTTACAGAGGCATTGCAACGCGTGTGCATTTGCAGGCTAGATGCGACTTAGTTAGCATTAAACTAGCAGATTTGTCTTTTAGGTAGACAGGATCGTTGTTTTTCTTTTATATCTGTTTTGCCCGGAGTCTTTGCGTGCGAGGAAGAGAGGGAGGAGGGACAGAGACTGAAGAGGAGAAAACTTATACTTTACTGCCCTTTAATTCTAGGGATAGCACGGCAGCAAGGTTTAGGAGTTCCTGATATTGTGCTGGCTCCCCCGCAATGGATGCGATTTGTTTTCTTTTAGAGCTATTGGCTGGCCTTGTGCTCGTTCGTGTGATTATGATTGTGATTGTCTTCTTAAGATTTGTGTGTATGCCGTTTGATTCTTGTCTACCTGATAGATTCATACCTCACTTAGGGCACTTAAACCTCTATTCACTAGAAGAAATCAATCTGCAAATGAGACAGGAATGCATACCTACCTCTATACCTATCTTCTATTTAACCTACCCAGCTATTGATATGGGCAACCATTGAAAGATATTTTCAATTGCAGAGCGCGTGGTGTTGTAAGTATTGGTGTTCAAGATTAGCTGGCTAGGTACGTTGGTTTTATAGGTCTGCACTATTTTTACTAGAAAGCTATATCGAGAACTCAGGCTTGATTTGAAGTATATTGTTAGATGTTTGCTCCAGACTTTGTCACTGTAGCATAGACTTATCACGACTTAATATCTTTTCATCTAGTACTCAATGTTAGGTTTATTGGTACCTAATGTATAACCTATCCGAACATCCCAAACCAATGTCCATTAATAGCGTGGCTCGTCACATCGCATAACCCCCTCTCTCTTATGTCTCTTCGTAATACTCTATATCCATTCGATAGGTGGGATTGGGTTATACCCGCCCTAAAATACCAGACTAGGTAGGCTTCATATGCCGTAACAATGGGGATTGCTAAGACCGTGATACAATCATGATAACCACATCGAACTCATCGGTCCTCATAACTCGTCAAGCCGAATGAACCAATTAATTTAAGACAGTAACAACATCTCGCCGTGGTGCTTGTCGCACTTTAGATCTTGTATACTAAATCTCCGTCCGTATACCTGTGTCGTCACATTAGTATTTATTAATACACTTCAATTCCGAAAGGAGTCACTTACATGACTTGGTTTGCGTCATCCATTTTCTTAAGCGCCTTGATAGCCTCCGCTCTCGGGAAAGCAGTCTCCTTCCCTTCAATGCGTTTGTTGACTGCCTCAATGACCTGGGCCACATTGGCTGAGTCATCTTCGAACAGGTCTGTGTTCAGAAGCTGTCCGAGTGCCGTTCGGAACACAGTTAATCTCTCGGGAGTGATAGGCGCGTCAATGTTGAGCTCGGCTGCGCCGGCTACTAGTTCCGCGTCCTCTTGCGTGTCCTCTTCCTGCGTCTCGAGTTGAGACGCCGGCACAGACGAGGCGAATGAGACCTGGGAAGTTACGGGTGCGTTTGATGATGACGCGGGACCGCTTCGGTTGGATCGTCGCGGTGTGGCGCTGTAAATGTCTTCATCTTCATCATCTTCGTTGTTTCCTCGTGCGGGGGTACCGGAACCCTTGCTGGTGCTTGTACCGTTAGGACGGCGGCTGCCGTTGGCGGACGGTTGGCTGCGACCGGTCGTGCGAGTTGACGGGGCAGTCCTACCACGAGCCGTCGATCCTCTGTAGCTACTGTCACCACGATCACCATCGTCGCCATCGCTATCCTCATCTGACGAGTCTGACTCTAATCGCTGAGTACGTCTGCGCTTGCGTTTTGACTCATCCTCAACAACTTCCTTGAACAGGGCAAATCGGAGGATAGCTTCGGCTGCTAACGCATCTCGTTCTTCTACTCGGTTCGAGAGCCGTGACTTGGCGTGTGCAGTTGCCAAACGGATCAGCGTTTCTAGTGTACGGACGGTCAAAGGAGATGTTCTCCTTTGGTTACCTTCCATCTCGTCGTTGCGTAGCCCGACATATATTTCCGCAATACGTTCCGAGGCATCCTGGGTTAGTACCGGCTTAACTCTTGTCTTCGCGTACTGGATATACTTCTTCATAAATGGGATGCTAAGAACTTCCCGCTTCTTATTGGCGCCGCGACCAGTAGTGAGAGTAACACCCGCGTGTAACATCGCATCGTATTTCTCGTATACTTCGGTAGGCTTCTGAGCGGCGTCTTGACTTTGAAGTGCAACACTGAGAGCTTGTTGAGCGTTTTCGCGAACTGGAGCACCCTCATCAGCACCAGGCTGCCGATAGCGATGCATACGTAGGACGTGTTCGGAGACCTGGCGATCCCGGGTGTCTTCGATATCATCCGTGACAACGAATAGAAGATCGAAACGCGATAGGAGAGAATCCGGAAGGGCAATGTTCTTATGCGGGTCCTTGTGAGTGTCGTATTGGCCAAAAATAGGATTGGCGGCTGCGATGACGCTACAGCGGGCATTGAGAGATGTATGAATGCCGGCTTTGGCAATAGTAACCGTTTGCTGTTCCATAACTTCGTGGATAGCAACTCGATCAATATCCGACATTTTGTCAAACTCATCAATGCAGACAACGCCTCTGTCTGCCATGACCATAGCACCAGCTTCTAGCCTCCTTTCGCCAGTCTCCTTGTCAGTAGTAACCGCAGCTGTTAGACCGACACCTGACGAACCACGACCGGTTGTTGCAATGGCCAATGGTGCAGTATTGAGCACAAAGCGTAGAAGTTGAGACTTAGCCGTGGACGGATCACCGACCATGAGAATGTTGATATCACCTCTGAGATGTGTGCCATTTTCTAAGTTCTTCTCCATACCACCTAGTAACATCAATAGGATCGCCTTCTTGATATAGTCGTGACCGAAGATACTGGGCGCCAATGATTGTGACAGAAGCTCGAAGAGGTTTTTCTTTTTCGCAACCTTGTTGATGTTACGGATGTCGGTGTCGGTAATGGTCGCTGTTGCTACACCGCCGCTTGCCTTGGATGAGAGAAGAACGACGTTATTCGCTAGAATTATAGTCTTGAAAAGGGCGCTATTGTGGTTCGTATTTCGGTTTCCCAGTGTTCGAAAAATCCCGACAAGCTGGACTCTGTCACCGGGTTTCACCTTGTCGACTAGATCATCATCCAAAATGACATCTACACCACGGGGAAGTTGGCCAGCGGGAGCTCTTTCAGGCATTTCTTGTATGGAAATTGTCTGATGGTCCCGATACGTGCAGAACCCGTATTCTGTTAAGAGTGGGTTACCCTCCTCATCTTCTTGAGGATAGACACTTGATGTGGTCACGCCGTTGGTCATAGTCTGATCACGATATTCGCGGAAGTGGAAAATATTTTTCTTCTCGTTGTAATGTACACTCTTTACAACCTTTGGTCTTATGAGCGAACATCTTGTAACGATGCCTTCGATCGATACCATGTGGTTCAGGTGGTTTGACGACAGTGTTCTCGGATTGCAAGCATTTAGGCCGAAGCTGCCCGCCCAAGCACAGTAGTATAAAACATCCGGGTCGGTTTGATCGGGTCGTGCTTGAGGGATGGTTTTTACGATCTCCTTGAGGGCATGGTTGAAGGCCAAGGTATAATCAAAGGGATCGAATAATAAGCCGTCTGCGAGTTCTGTGTTGTGGTCACGAACGTGGTCTAAGTTGACGACTAACCGTCTCTGGTTCTTCTGCAGCATTAGGATGATATCGGATCTATAACTCCTCGCATGTTGATCATCTATCGAAGGAGGTGTTTGTTAATATCATTCGTAATCACTCACGATATCGGGCAGCTAGCTAACTTACGAGGATCAAGGAATTCTTCGGCCAAGCGAATGCGCTCCTTGGCTGCTTCATCGCGAAGCATAAAACTATCCATGATGCCTCAATTCTTGATTGTTTTGTTATTTCGTGAGGTTAATATAGTTAATTAGAGTAAATAGTTGGAGCACGGGATGCCACGGTAGTTCTTAGTGGTTTAATAGAGAAGGATGTGGCATAAGTGGGGGGGGGGGGAAAGTCTTGAGAATCTAATGTTGAGTTGCTAAGTTCATGTTGTTTTGTGATAAGGGGCATTTGGACAGAGGGGAAGAAGTAAAAAAATCCATGGCGCGTCTCTAAACGCGCTTTTCGTGTGGAACGCGTCTTCATTAGGTAAAGTGGTTGCAGATGCCCCATGTCAATTAAAGTTCCAATCTGGCAATCCAATTAACTCCGACTACCTCCGGCTCTCCTTTACTGCCCTCTGTCAGCAGCACCTACGGCAGGTGTAGGCACCTGATGTACAATACCCATGTGTTACAATTACATATTACAAACAATTTCTACGTAAAGGGAACATTTCTAGGTACTTTACTATGTACATTGATTATGTAAAAAAAAAAAAAAAAAAGATTTTCATGCATTCGGTCAAGGAATTCAAGTGCATCCAGCACATAATAGAGAATCAATGATTGGCGTGATGAAGCAACCGGTCAAGGAAATCAGCGGACATGCGCCTGCAGTTTAAACTACGGCGCGTAAATTCAGTGGTCTAAGCCCTGCGGAGTTCAACCGGTAGTGGAACATTGAATGTTTCAACTCCCCAAAACAGCCCCCAGATTCAGCCACAAATACCTTGCATATTATATTGAGGTACTGTACCATGAGATTAGGTTAGGTACCTACCTCCTAGAACAGGTGCCGTCATCTTTACGAGGCATTACTTAGGTACTTCCCTATTTCCTGCCGCACCAAGTTCCCGACTTCGTAAACTTAAACTAAACATCAACGCTCACATTCACGAATACGATACGCTCATTGATATTCCAACTACCAGCGTCGCGTTTCAGTTTCGCATTTGGTGTTGCCAGTGGTATAGTAGAAGCGGACCATGGCCGTAGGATTGTCTAACAGCCGCCATGCCGCTGACGAGGAAGCTCGCGCCGAAGTCGATGTGCTCAACTCGAGACTGGAAAAGACAACACAATTGACTAAGAAGATACAGGCATGTCTAGGGAGATTGGAGGCTACTGGCAAGAGTGTGCGAGAGGTGTCGGGTCCCCTTACGGGTGAAACAAAGAAGCTTCAAGTCTTGGGGAATAGTAAGCTGATCTCCGATCCCCTTTACCTATATATATATCATTTGGTAGCTTTTCCATTCGTGGCTCTCGCTGACTTCGCAAACTCTCATAGATATCGATGCTGTCATCGCAGCTATCGAGAGACTCCGCCAGCCGGCTGATTCGAAAAATGACGAAGAAGCGATCATCCGCCAGGGCCCCGAGAAGGCCGGGCTATCCAACTACCTGAACTCTATCAAGCGATTGAACAAGGCGCTGGCCGATATGAAGACTTCAAACCTGCGCGCAAACCAGCAAACGATGACTGATCTTCAGCGCTTGATCAAGTCTGGAAATACCCAACTCGAGAATTCGTTTGACAAGATGTTGCGGGCAGAGACACCTCGTTCCATCGAACCGCTTCAGTATACGACCAAAAACACGCCCTTCCCCTTATTAACTCAGGATAAGATCTCGCGCTTGAGCTTAATGAATTCTTATGTGTCCGGTAACTCTCTGTCTGAGAATCCACTGATTAAAATCTATGCCGACGTGAGAGGACAATATTTACAACAGACTCTGGTAAACCTCGCATATGCAAGCGTAAATACGGCCAAGAAAAAGAGTCCAGACGCTATCTACCGATCTGGCACCAATGGAATTGGTATGTATGCGCAGGCGATGGAAGGGTTATTCGTTGCCGAATACGATAATATCTGCAATATATTTATGCGACAAGACTGGGGACCAGCTTTCCAAATGACCTGTCAGGCCCCGCTGGCTGAATTGGCTCGAACGATTCGAGAACTCAATAATCACATAAAGGCTCATCTTAACACCGACTGTTACCTTGCATATGAAGTCATCGAGATAATGTCCAACCTGTCCAACAATATCGAAGAGCGCACAGGCGAACTCAAATCCACATTGGCCGCCGCATTAAAGCCGGTACGCGAGACGGGCAAGTCTTCACTTGCCGAGCTGCTTGAGGAGACGAAGCGAAGGGTGGGGGCGCTGCAAGCCCTCCCGTCGGATGGTTCGCCCATGCCCGTCGTATCCGAGACGATGCAACGTTTGCAAACCATGGTTGATTTCCTCCGGCCAATATCCAGCATCATGATCTCGCTAGGGGACGGTGGTTGGAGGTCGGGCGCCACCGCGAACAGCAGTATGGATGGCATTCCTAGCCTGGCATCGTTCGACATTGGTGCTGATGGAAAGGAGATTTTTGCGCATTATTGCACTGATACGATAGATGCACTAATGTCGGCACTCGAGCAGAAGGCGAGAGTATTGCTAAAAGGAAAGTCCATTTGGGGTGTGCTTCTGGCCAACAGTGTCACTATCATTGAACGCATGATTCGGGACTCTGACCTTAAACCACTCTTGGAAGGCAAGCTCGGCGTCTTAGAGACCTGGCGAAAAAAGGCGAAGGCCTATTATGCCGAAGCATGCAAAGACGTATCGATGCACTTATTTGACGTGATCCATACGAATCGGACCCAACGGCCGCCCTCTGGCTCATCTGAATCGGCATCGATTCTGAAAGGGCTTAGTAGCAAAGACAAGGACAGTATCAAGGCCAAATTTCAAATTTTCAACGCATCTTTTGATGAATTAGTAGCCCGACACAAGACCTACAGTATGGAACGGGAGGTGAGACAAATGTTTGCTAAGGACATGCAGCAGATGCTTGAGCCTCTTTACAATCGCTTCTGGGACCGGTATCACGAGGTAGACAAGGGCAAGGGCAAGTACGTCAAGTATGACAAGTCCTCGATCGCTGCTGTCTTCCTGAGTCTCTATTGATAAAAGGTGCCGAGACATCTGCCGACAAGCTTTAAGCCAACCGAGCCCGTTGGAGCGTTGCAAATTATATCAAACAGGCTTTACACCAGGTTCGTATGTGGCGATCATATGATTTATTCGCGATGCTACAGCATAACTTACAGGGTCGCAGCTGTAAGTTACTATCTAATTATTTCCGGGAAGGCTTTTCAATATAAGAGGTACCTAGCTAAATTTTGGGAGCGAAGCTTGGATGGGAGTGGGGCCAAGGTGAAGCGATCCAGGAAGGATTCATCAAAATCTCCGTTACGGTACCAAGAATTTGGAAATACACGAAATGCGCACTGCGGCGGGCGACCTGTTTCTTGTTTAGAAAATGATACCCTTTTGGCCTGTCTTGAAGTTCCGGAGGAAGGATTGTTGCAGGGGGGATTATATGCCGGACCTGGTCATGTTCAAGTGCCCTTTTGTCGAAAATGGTCTGATGAGTTGTATCCGATGTAAGACGATGTTGCTGTCGTCGGGGTCATGGAGACCAGCTCCACCAGGCTGAGTCCGCAGAGGGAAGATGAGATATCAAAATGTGATATGTGACCAATGGAGGCTGGGTTGGGACCAAGAAATATGTGCCTGCAGCGACGATCGAAGGAACATCAAAGCCATGGAGAACCCCGTCCCAGAGTAACACTCTTTCAGCAGCCGAAGCTCCTTACGCCAGATAATCCATATACTGGGAATTCTTGTGGGCCACGCTATCTGCGTTGCTATCCCTTGGCATTTTTCTGCTTAAGTAATTGTCTTCCCTTGTCGGTCGACCTGCATGCAGGGAATCGATGGTGCTTCTTAGCAGCGACAGGGCCCCGGCCCCCTCAAGGTGAAGTCGGTGAATTTCTGGGTCTCTCTCCCCCAGAGTCAGAAAGCAGCGGCAACTGCCAGAAGCCGTCGTCACCCAAGTACTGAGTCCGGTCCATTCCCGTGATATGAAATTTGGGGCCTTGATGTAGTTGAATAATCCGTTTGTTTACCTGTTTACCATATTCGTAATTCATCCCCAGTCAAAGTGAACTACCAAGTAATAGTGTGGCTTTCTACCCCTGGCTCCTCCATGTCCGCTGGACAGGATGTACCCCTCTTTCCAATAAGGCGTGCCGTTCAGGTATATTGGTTTAGGAATTGCTTTCAAATCGTCGTCTGCGACCCTTTGACCTAGGTATGCTACATGCCACATAACCCACACAAGAATATATCTGGCTAATCAAACCGGGGACCACGCAGTCAGTTCTACTATTAGTTGTTACTCATATCCTGGGCGATTTGTCCGTTACACAACGTCAACAGCGTAGCGTAGCGATGCCCAATTCGATTCTTTTGGCTCCACAAGATCCGTCGATTCCTCTAACTTGGGAGAGACTGACGAGACCGCTGCAAGCTAGTTAGCTCGATATCCAGGGCGGCCTTGCCTGGTTTGGTACATCCTACAGGCACACGGTATGCACTCGCTCGCTCGCTCGCTCACTTACATACATGCAGAATGTCTCGTACCTGTCGCTGCTCTTGGTTTTGCCTACTGCGCCGATAGAAGGCGGATGAAGGGTCTTAGAAGCACGGACTACCAATCCCATCTTCCCCATGGGGCAAGGCCGTTGCCCTAGTGCGAGGGTATTACAGCAAGTTCGCTGATAGCTAGGAACAAAATTACCCTTGGCGGCGAATGAGAGACAGTGCAGCGCTATACCCTCCTGCAACCCGCCATGCAGGATCGAACAGGAGAGGAACGATTCACGGTGCACTGACTGCACCACCCTGTTCGTCTGTGCTCCACTGAACTGACCTGGACCCTCCTCCACCACCCACCACCACCCTCTTCCAACACGGCATGGCTAAGTGTACGTCTTAGCTGCTATGCATACTGCAGAGAGCCCGTTAGTTAACTTTCCTACAGGGCTGTGAGTAGGTATCTAGTTCGCGACGGGTCCTGCTTCTCCCGCTGTTATATTCATCTTTCTGGATGGATGCGGACATGATATTTTGGCTGGTATCTGTTGGCGGTACGAGTATGTGTATGTACCTACATGTGTATATTATATATATGTATGTATGAACCCTGAGCACCGGCTGCTTAACGAACCAATCTTGTCACGGGAAAACGAAAGGACACTATACAAAATAATCATTGATGACAACCAAACCCCGACGCTTCCACCATAAACAAGGGCGTAAAGCAACTTGCCTGCTCTCTTTCCGACCCTTGCCCTAGGAGGCTAGCTGGTAGGTTAGGATTTGCTTAGGCTTAGGCAGGCTTTTAGATGATGATGATGATGACGATGGTGGTTATTTTCCGCTACTGGGCATCCTATCGCTATCGAATAAGAGCATGTCAGATACTAGAATTGCGCATCGATGATCCAATATCGACCCCATTGACCTGAGCAGTGATCTACTCGGGTTTGCCTCCTTGCTGGGGACAATTGGGATCTCGGCCGACGATGGGGTGATGGCTTTACTCGTTAGCGAATGAATGGCGGCAGCATCAGCAGCAGAAGAAGTATTGGGAAGGGTGGTAAAACAGGGCAGGCAGTGTATCTATCGATGCTACTACTTATGCAGTTATTCTCCGGGGGGTGGTCGGTCCAACATGGGGGGACCTTTTCTGCTAATCAGTCGCTGTCCCGAGCTGTCCGTATTTGTCTGCCTACCTAAACATTGCTTATACACCCTTGTCCCCTTCACGTCACTTGTCGACTTCCACCTGGTTCAATATGCCGAGGCATATAGAAAGGGAATGCTGCTCATAGACTTGTTATCGTGGTTGGCTACTCTCTCATGACCCATCCCGGTTCGTGGGTTAATAGCTCACGTACATGACAAGTACATGATGATACGCGCACGTATGTTCATGCTTAAAGTGTTCTCAAGTTAATGGAGCTACGTGGCGTATCGTTTTACCTTGCTATGTATAATACCATAATTTATCATGAGAGGTATGTATGATATGGATACCAATATCGTCTTATATCCCATGATTCTTAATACCTTGAAACATATAACCCTAATGGGAAAAGGATCGGACATAGCATAAGGCACAGCCCTTTGTCAGCCCCTTGCGGCCGTTTAGCAAAGCACGGGGTTGAAGTTCCCTTCGTTAGCTACCTGAGGCCGGTCTAAACAGTAACGCTTCGGTGCGGCGTAAGCCGTTACACACACACGTACATGAACAACCCCCGTAAGCCAAAAAAGAAAATAGACCATGATCCCGGGAGCAGCAATAGGTAGGCGTAGACGTAAACGTAGACGTAGACGAAACCCGAGACGCGTGTCAGATGCCCCATGTTAGAAGTAATCAGCGTTAACAACGTGATCGATCCTTGCTTTCGGTACCATCGCCTCCGCCTAAGGATTTTTGCCAACCACTCCCGGCATGGCGGCCACCGAATGGGACCGAAGCACCCACGGCGCCGAAGATCGAGGGTCGATGGTCGATGGGGGTCGTCCAGGACTATATTTGGGAACCCGGAAAGCCTTGAACGTGCAGACTGACTTGGGGGATCATCAATCATCATCATCATCATCATCCAAGAATCGAATCGCACAAGGGTGGATCACGAAAAGAGCAAGGGAGGAGAGGAGGACTCGGGGCTATGATAAAACGTAGTTTATTCATTTATTGATTCGGTTCTCATGGCATTCCTTGGTATCATCGAGAGTAAGCATAATCATTCCCAAATTGCCCGCATGACAAGGTATCAATATAAGAAAAACCAAAAATTGAGATAGAAATCACATGCTTTGGATGTCATTTCTTCTCCTTCTTCTCCAAAACCCCAGATAAAAAAAAAGCAAAATACAATTTCCCTTCTTAGACATTCACTTCCTCGTGTAAGTTGGGACACTCCGGTGGGCGGGAGAAGTAGTAGTTTTTTCTGCCCCCTCTTGACTGCCGTCCAATTCTCCCGCCCAAAATAAAAAAAAACTGGTACTAAAACCAATTGTCCATTTGCCCCCAATCTCAAATAAGGCTGGGGAGAACAACACACTTGATTCCCCCTAGCCTGCAGATTTCTGCTTATAGATCTCGACAACCCAGCGCAGGGGTGGGTAATAACCAGGGGGGGGGAGGGGGTAGTATATATCATCGCGTCCTGACTAAGAGACCAACAAGGAGAATCCCGCTATAGCTTTGCGGGCCCATCCGGTAGGTTCCCACCTAGTTTCTTTTTTGGTTGCCTAGGAGGAACGGGCGGGAAAGGAAAGCAGGGGAAAAAGCAGTACGGCGGCGGGAGGTGGGGAGGAATAAAAAAAAAAGGAAAAAGGAAAACAGAAAAAAAAAAACACCGTAGCTCCATCAGTACTGTTATACCTAGGATAATTGGAATAAGAGGAGAAAAATGCCCCCATAGACCCTGCGCCCCGACATATGTTATTGATGATGATATTCAGTTCCCAGATGTCATACCAAATAGGAAAACAAACAGCAAATCAAAAATCATCTCAAAATCTAATCCAATCCGTATCCGGTACCCTTGCATATTGCTCCGTACGAACTCCAGTTCGTATCCGGGTCCACCACCCCCCAAATTCCAATTCCAATTCCCGTTCCTAGCCCAACAATCAAATAAAGAAATACCAAATCGAGATGCGGGATGACAAAAAAGGAAAAAATGAAGAAGAAAGGAATAACCAACACATAGTACACGAGGAGGAGGGAAGGTGGTGACGATGCTGCTGCTGGTCAGGGTGTGCATGTAGGTACTTTTCGAAGGTGAGCCATAACGATGATGATCAGCAAGGAGGAGGTAGACAGAAGGGGAGGGTGAGTAGTATGGATGGTTGAGCAAAAACGCATGGTAACGAAGAGTTGCAGTGCAGTTTGCAGCATGCAGCATACGTAATACAACCAACGCGAGAGCCCTGTCTCTCTCACACTCACACATACACACTCTCTCATTTTATATTGGTCCTAGTTCTTAAGGACGACACTCCTTAAGAAATAGGAGTGAAAGAGAGAGAGAGTACCGTTGAGACAACCCCATACACGCCCTCCTTATCGTCAGCCTTGCATGAGACGGGCGACTCAGGTGAAGGATTCGTCGGTGACTCTGCATGAAGGTAGGCAAGGACCTAAGGTAGATGGTACGTAGAAACAGCGATAGAGTAAGTTTGAGTCAACCAATGTAGTGTAAGTAACCCAATTTGCTTGAGGATGGTGCGGTGGTAACGATGTAGCAGGTCTTTTGTTTTTTTTCTTCTTCTTTTGCTTTATTTTCTTCGTGCTGTTGCGCCCTCCCTTGGCGGCTCCTCCATACCGCATCTTATACAGCCTGTCATCTTGGAAGATCAGCCGAAAAG